CCTGCAGCTGGCAAGGTCCCACACGCCTTCACTCGTTTATTCACACCCCAGCTGTCTATGGGCAGAGAATAAGGATGAGGGTAGTCCCGGTTTATTGGTGAGGAAACCGAGGCACAGAGAAGCTAGCCCTCCCTCAAAGTGAGTGGCCAACTGAGGTTTGAACCTGGGCATTCAGGACCCTTGTCTGCGCTCTGAACCCCACTGCTCAGCCCCCCACTGCTTCAACCACTCAAGATCCTCCCTGTTCCTCCTCCTTTTTTTTTTTTTTAAAGATTTTATACATTTATTTGACAGAGAGAGAAAGAGAGAGCACAAACAGGGGGAGCAGCAGGCAGAGGGAGAGGGAGAAGCAGGCTTCCCGCTGAGCAGGGAGCCCGATGCGCGGCTCGATCCCAGGACCCTGGGATCATGACCCAAGCCGAAGGCAGACGCTTAACCGACTGAGCCACCCAGGTGCCCCCCTGTTCCTCCTTTTTAACATGGTGTGTTGGGAGGCCCTGGTCAGGCAGCCCCAATGAACCCCAGCAGCCAGCTCCCTCTCTGAGCTGCACCTTCTTCCTCTGTGAAGTGGGGACCCCTTAGAGCTCCCCCCAAACACTCAATTTACAGCATCAGTCATTCTACTTGCACATGGAATGCCCACTGCGTTTGGGGCCCAGCTTTGGGCTTGGGGGACATGGAGGCTCATAGGCTGGGGAGACAGATGTTCAACTAAGGAAAAGGACAAAATGTGGGAATGGGTGAGTGGGAATGCGACTGCCCAGGCTGGGCAGGAAGGGCTTCTCTGAGGAGGTGACATTTAAGCTGAAGAGTAGATGAAAACAAGCAGCCAGCGGGGGGAGCAGGGGGAAGGGCTTTCTCTGCAGAGGGCACAGCTCTTGTAAAGGCCCGGAGGCAGGTATAGGTGGGGCTGGAGCAGGTTGAGCTAGGGAAGATGGAGGACGGTGAGAGGCAGCTGTGGGTGGGGACTGGGACAGATTTAGGGTTTGTCTTAGAGGCAGGACTTGGGGTCACAGCCAGGGCTAGCACATATCGAGATCTTGGGGACAGGCAAGATGGACAAATCAAAAGGCAGCTTCTCAGCCTCTCTCCAAGCCCTTCCCCCTCACCCCCTCTTGCCCCCCCCACCTCCCCTGGCTTTCTGTCCCCATTCTACCCTCTTAACAGGGAAAGCAATTAGTCTGGAGTGGCAGATTGATTAATGCTGCATCTGAGAGGCTGGGAGGACCCTCCCCTCTCCTGCCTGCAGCCCTGGTCCAGAGTGGGGAGGGTCGGTCAAGTGCTCCCCACAGGGCCTGTCTTGTCTGTTTCACCCTAAAACCAGCTTGACCCCCCATGAGCCCAGACCCAAACATCCAGCTGCCTTTTAAGATTTTATTTATTTATTTGAGAGAGTGAGAGAGAATGAGCAGGGGGGAGGGTCAGAGGGAGAGGGAGAAGCAGGCTCCCCACCAAGCAGGGAGCCCGATGTGGCACTCAATCCCAAGACCCTGGGATCATGATCTGAACCGAAGGCAGACACTTAGCCGACTGAGCCACCCAGGCGCCCCTGAGCCCTAAGTATCTTGGTACTTTCCCCTGACAAATCTTCCCCATCCAGGTGGCCCCACCTCTGCAAGTAACTGCAGCTACTAGTTATCTGGTAAATGACTAGTCATCTGGTAAATGACTAGTCACCCATCATAACCATGACTTATCCTTGGATTCAAGGATACCCTTGAACATCCATGGCCATGGCCCATCTCTCAGTCTCCAAAACATATCCCAAATCCACCCATGGGCCCCACCATGGTCCATGACCTACCCAGATGCTGCCCCAGCCTTTACCCTGCCCCCTACAGCCCCTTTGCCCTGAGATAGACACAGGAGGCTTCTTAAAATTATAAAACAAGTCACTTCCCTCAAAAGCTCTCAGTCGATTCCCATAATTAACTCCCAACTCCTCTCCCCACCCCTGAGGTCCTGCATCAACTCCCCACCCACTCATCCCCACACTCCACTCCAGCCCCTCTGCTGTTCCTCAAACCCACCAGCTCAGTCCTGTGTCAGGGCCTTGGCCCATGCCATTCCCTCTGCCTGATATGCTCTTTTTCTAGCTCTCTCCTGGCCAGCTCCTTCTTCTTTTTCAGGTCTCAGGTCGAAGTTACCTCTTCAGAAAGGCCCCTAACTCTGCCAGGACAACATTATCAATGGCCCTCCCATCACTCTCCAGGTTCCTATGCAGTTTAATTTTCTTTCTAGCACTGTGTGCTGGAACTATCTTTTTGTATTTGTGGAATAAATAAATGAGTGAGTATGAACATGGGCAAGTGGTTTCCCCATCTGGAACTCACGTTCCACAAGAAGACAGTGGGCAGGTGATAGCTCAGTGGGCCTCCTGTTCTGGGAGGGGCCCACTGTATCCAACACACCCCACCCTCTGCTTTCCTGCACATCCTCCCAGCTGCCAGGAACCCTTCCAGGGGAGGCCTAGCGTTGAACACTTAGATTCTACATTAGAACTCAGCTACTCCTGGAAGGGGGTCATGCTCATATGAGGTTGGGGGTGGGAGGACTGGTTAAGTATCCTGGGTCCTAGAAGGATCAGATCCGTGCAAAGACCTAAGTGGGGTTGGCGGGAAATGAGCAGCCCCCAGAGGTGTGACTCAGCCTCTCAGGGCTTGGAGGGAGGCTGAGAAGCTGCCTTTTGATTTGCCCATCTTGCCTGTCCCCAAGATCTCGATATGTGCTGGCTGTGACCCCAGCGTCTGCCTTCAGCTCATTTCCTCTTCTTCTGTGAAGAAATGCCCTGTAGAAATATGGCCTGTGGAGGCTCAACTGATGTGTGTTCCTCATACCTTCCTCGCTTAACCCCCTTGCCCTAGCTCTGGCCCTAATTAGCCATATTTTCTTGGACCTCGGTTTTCCCATCTGAATGTTTGGTCTGATTGCTGAGATAGATCAGTTTGTGAGGCTCAGTGGCAGAGCAAGAGAAGGCGGGGCTGCCCCTCTGAGGTCCACCTCTCCCACATCCCATTTGCTCCTTTGACCCCCCCCCCCCCCAGCACACACTGCTCCGCCCCCTGCAGTGCCAGGAATGCCAAGTCTTGGGGTCAGCACCATTGACAGCTCTCAGCCTGTGACTGGAATACGTGGGTCTGTCCTTTTATTATTACCTACCCCAAGTAATTGGTACCATTTTCATCCCATTTCACAGATAGGAAAACTGAGGCAGGCTTTTCCTACACCACATGGCATGGGGTAAACCCAATTCTGTTGGGATGGAAAGGTCACGTTGCAATTCATCCTGATTCTGTTTGATTTTCAAATGTCTCAAGTGTTTACTCAGGGCATGATTGCCAGTACCATCTTATTTAATTTCTCCTGTTCAGTTCTTCCTTCAAGAAATGAGGCACTGAAGCTCAGAATTCAGGATTTATTTACCAACAGCAAACCTGGAAAATTTCTTAACCTCTGAGCCTCAGTTTCCTTGTTTATAAAATGAAGATAATGGTGAGTGTCTTTTTGGCTCAGTCGGTAGAGCATGTGACTCTTGATCTTGAGGTTGTGAGTTCTAGCCCCATGTTGGGTGTAGAGATTACTTTTTTTTTTCTTTTTTTAGAGATTACTTTTTAAAATAGAATCTTTAAGAAAAAAAATTTTTTTTTGTAGTGTTCCATGATTCATTGTTTGCATATAACACCCAGTGCTCCATTCAATATGTGCCCTCTTGGGGCGCCTGGGTGGCTCAGTTGTTAAGCATTTGCCTTCAGCTCAGGTCATGATCCCAGGGTCTTAGGATTGAGCCCCACATCGGGCTCCCTGCTTGGCGGGAAGCCTGCTTCTCCCTCTCCCACTCCCCCTGCTTGTGTTTCCTCTCTTGCTATGTCTCTGTCAAATAAATAAATAAAATCGTAAAAAAAAAAAAATACGTGCCCTCTTTAATACCCATCACCAGGCTAACCCACCCCCCACCCCCTTCCCCTCTAGAACCCTCAGTTTGTTTCTCAGAGTCCATAGTCTCTGTGAGTGTGCAAGAAAGGTTAGCTATTGGTACTGTTATTATTCGCTTGTTTACTTACTGCATATTTTATTTTTATATTTTAATAAAAATATACAATGCCATTAGAGGGCATATTACTGTAATAAATAGCAATATATATCATATAATGTTATAAATAATGAATATACTATGTACTAATTGATTAATAAATACTTCTGCAATAACTACTGTGGACCAGGCACTATTCATATCCTGCAAGTTTGAGATCCACATCCCCATTTCATAGATGAGGAAGCTGAGGCTCAGAGAGGTAAATTCATTCAGGCAGAAAGTAGGACTCAAGGGTGCCTGGGTGGCTCAGTTGGTTGAGCATCTGCCTTTGGCAGGTCATGATCTCAAGGGTCCTGGGATTGAGCCCCATAAGTCCCAAATCATTCTCTCTGCTCAGCAGAGAGTCTGCTTCTCCTTTTCCCTCTGCCCTGCTGCCACTCATGCTCTCTCTCTCTCAAATAAATAAATAAAATCTAAAAGAAAGAAAGAAAGAGGGTGCCTGGGTGGCTCAATTGGTTAAGCGACTGCTTTCGGCTCAGGTCATGATCCCGGAGTCCCAGGATCGAGTCCCGCATTGGGCTCCCTGCTCAGCGGGGAGCCTGCTTCTCCCTCTCCCTCTGCTGCTCCCCCTGCCTGTGCTCTCTCTCACTCTCTCTCTCTGACAAATAAATAAAATAAAATAAAATAATAAAATAAAATAAAATAAAATAAAATAAAATAAAATAAAATAAAATAAAATAAAAAAGGAAGGAAGGAAGGAAGAAAGGACTCAGATACAGCTCTCTGGTCCAGACCAGGAATCTGGGTGAGGGCATCTTGGAGCCTCCTCGTGGTCCCCTGGGTCTCAGAGAGGCTCTCTACCTGGGATCTTGCTTATGTCTCACCACTGTCTCTCCCCAGAGGGTCCGGGAGTCGGTGGATTCTGGCTTGGTCCCCATGAGCCCACTTGGCAGTGGTGTCGTTCGGAGAAGATTTTCAGGGACTCCACTGCTGCCACCGCTGTCAAGCCGCCTTGGAACCCCTGGAGAGGTTGAGCCCAGTGCCTGTGTGGTGTTCACCATCGAGGCTCGAGGGACGGAGCAAAGACACAATCCAGACCCAGGAAGGTGAGGAGGCAGATGGGGATCAAGGGGGCCAGTATCGAGAGAGAGAGAGAGTGCCTCATCTAGCTGAACATTTCTCTAACTTGTTCAGAAAACATTTATTAAGCACCTACTGTGTCCTGGGCCCTGTACTGGAAACACAGCCATGGGCAAGCAGACGCCCACAGTGTGATGATAGAGACTCATATCAGGTGCAGAGATCAGGGTGTCATGGGAACCCAGAGGAGGCTTCTGGCCCAGCATTGGGGAGTATGAGGTGAGGAAAGGACTACTTGGAAGAGGTAGTATCTAAGGTTAGCATGAAAGATGAAGATAAGTCAGCCACAGAAGCGCAGGGAAGTATATGCCAATTAGAAGGAACAGATTGTACAAAGACTTGGTTGGACTCAAGAAGATCAGGTGTATGAGGAACTGAACACAGATCAGTGTGACTGGAGGGGAGCCTGGGGATGTGGGCAGGGGCTGGACTACACAAGACCTCATGGGGTGCAATGGGAGGCCATGGGTAGGTTTTCAAGAGAGTGAGTTGATCAGATTGGCATTAAAAAAATTCTCTGTGACTACTGTGAGTAGAATTGTCAAGGCTTGGGCAGTTCTGGGTAGGAGATGGTGGTACATGGACCAAGGAGGAGCCATGGGCTAGAGAGAAGTAGGCAGATTTAGAAGTTATTCATGAGGTAGACACAGCAGGCATTGGTGGGCACCAATAGGGGGTAAAAGAGAGCAGGGTCTGGTGTGGACAGCTCCTGGTCTTTGGCCCTTCAACTGTGACATCCCTTTTCATCCTTCCAACAATGCCAAGATGTGGGGACATCATCATTATCCCCATTTTTCAGAATAGAAAACAGGCTTAGAAGGGGGGGAGTGACAGCCAGCCAATGGGGACCAAGTTGTCTCCCACTGTCATCTTTGGAGGGCAGGGGGCTAAGAGGAAGGGCAGTGACTGAGCCATGAAAGTAAAGGACAGAGAAGAGTCATTTGTTTTCCATCACCCAGCAAGACATGGCGGTACTAGGGCTTGAGCTCAGTCTGTCTGACCCAAACATTTCCCATTTCTCCAACCTGGGGACACAACTAGGGTAGAGGGTAGATAGTCTCTATGAGAAATAGCCTTGAAATAGCCTTCTGAGATCGTGGCTCTTCCTGCCCCCAAACATACTGCACCAAATGGCCCCAAATGCCTTCCTGCCCCAGCCCAGAGCCCACACCTACCCACCCAGCCCTGCTCCTGTGCATGTCTACTTCTGTTAACCATAATAGAAAATGTTCTCACTCTCCCTTTGGCACTTACCAGGAAATTACCCCTGAGATTAGGATGCCTGGTGGGCAGGGCCTTGAGTTTCTAGAACTGGGGAAGGGAGGGGCAGGCCTGGGATTTAAGGGCAGGAATCGTGGCTGTGAGGTGGGGCCCAAGGCATAGCGGGACGAATGAGATCCCACCATTTCTTCTGAGGGTCTGGGCATTGGTGTGGCTATAAAAGGGTGCCCCTCTCTACCCACCCCCACTGTTGGCAGCCCCGACTAGATGCAGCTTCTGTGTGCCCACCCTAGGGATGGGAGGGCCCTGTTACAGCCCTCCCCATTTCTCTGCCCTTCCCGGATCCCTGCCCTGTGTGAGTGGGGGTTTTAGGGCTCCAAAGAGACCCCATCTTGGGCTGAACCGCTAAGCCTACTTTCCTCAGTTTGGCAGAGAAACACCATCCGTGCCTATCTCTGAAGACCAGAGCTCTTGACTCTGCTTCCAGACTCCTTGCTACGGTCACTGGGAGGGTTGAGGACCCGCCGCTGCTCAACTTTCAGCACTTCCTGGGCAGATGACGCTCTGGTGTGGAGGTGCTCCTGAACCCCTGTCTCTCTGCGCTTCCTGCAGCTAGCTTCTCGCGTCTCATCCACCCGGAGCCCCTGAATCTACTACCGTCTTCCCTTTCGGCACCAGGAGAAGGGACAGAGCTTTAGCGCTGGGGGTCTTCAGAGCCTCTGTCTCCCTGCTCTCCATTCGGCAGCAACAGGGAGGACAATTTCTGTCTTCTCCACTCCAAGCTCCTGTCTTGACCCTCCTTCATTCAGCACTAGAGGGGACAGCAAACCATTCTCTGCTCTGGGGGTGTCCCCAGCCCCTGTTTCCAATCCCCACCCCAAGTTCTTCTTCCCTTGCTCCCCTTCAGCACCATCCGGGCACGGACAGCTCCGCGGTGTCAGCCCCACCTTGAGCCCCTGTTTGTTTCTACCTTCTCCCGCCTCAGCACCTCCGGCGCGGACAGCTCCTCACTGTCGCCTCCACCCCCGGCCCTGGCCCGACCCCGGCGCAGACACTCCTGGTTCCCAGGGACGGCTCCCGCGCCCTGTTCTCTTTGCTCCCTGCTCTCCCCGCTCCCTTCTTCTGGCGCATGGAGACCCCAGGGGTCCAAGAAGGGGCGGAGGCATCCAGCGAGCTGAGTCGCGCTCGCAGCCGCCAAGGCATAACCAGACCCCCGAAGCACTTGTGGCGTCAGCCCCGGCGCCCCATCCGCATCCAGCAGCGCTTCTACTCGGACCCGGACAAGTCCGCGGGCCGCAGTGAGCGGGACCGGAGCCCGTGGCCGGGGCTCGAGGAGTCGCGGCGCTCCTGGCCCACTTCCTACAGGCGGTAGGTGGGCGGGGGCAGGGCACTCCCGAGGCGTGGGGGAGGGGCGCGCGGGGCCTGGCGGGAGTGGGGGAGGGTCCTTGCTTCTCCTGGGGCGGGGGTCTCTGCTGCTTGGCTTGAAGCTGGTTCTCTGGAGGAAAAAAGCTGTGTTTATGTGGGGTGGAGCTGGAGGGTGGTGGTGTCATGATTGCTTATGGGTCTGTGATTGGGTGTTCTAAGGTGCTATCGCCTCTGAGTGTGTGTGTGAGTCTGAGCAGCTGCGACCCGTGTGTGTTCCAACCTGTCGTGTGAGTGTCTCCAGCCAGCTGGGTCTCTGGGTGACTGGATGTGTTTGGGTGTGTGTACACCAGCTGGGTACGTGCCTCTGTGTTTCCCCTTGTGGTGCCCATGGGTGTGTGACTGGGCGTGACTTCACTCTGATCCAGTTGGGTGTCCGAGGGTCCTCCAGATCTTGGAATGTCCTAGGATGTTTGTGGGCTTTGTGGCCACCATGAGTATCTGAGGGCACCTTGGGGAGGATGCATGAGAGGACCAGGGCGGGGGCCGTCCACAGCACTGGGGAAGGAGGCTTCCCTGTGGTCTGTCTGGCCCCCTGTCACCTGGGGAGGAGTGGAAGCCTCTTGGGGAGCCTGAGCACAGGATGTTTTTTCCACATCAGAAGGGATGGAATGGAGAAGGGGGGAGTAAAGGGGGAGTGCTGCTCCTCCTTTTTCATATAAACCAAGGGGGGCAGGCAGGGGAATAAGAGACAGAAAAGAAACAAGGAGAGGGGAAACAGGGACCTTAGAGGAACCAGAGTTGGGAGTCTCAGGGCTGGAAGGCTGAGGAACTGGAGGAGTGAGGAGCAGGATCTAGGAGCCCCAGGCCCTCCTTGGATAGGAGGGGGAGCCACCTGACTCTAGGCCAGATCCAGGGTCTGGGGTTTGAGGTTAGGCTGGGTGACGTCAAGTGGGTTCCTTTCCTCTCTGGATCTTGGTTTTCATTTCCTCCCACCTTGGTCCATGCACATCCTGGGGCCACTGACTTCTTACTTAATCAACAACCCTGGCCTAACACTCCCAGCCTGGTCCCCTAGCAGCTCTGGGATACATCTGGGACAGATGGGCCCCATGGCTCAGAGGATTTGGAGCTGTTCCCAGGTGACCCAGCAGGCCCCTTGGCCCCACCAGCCCCCCCATCCCTCAGCTCCTCCTGCCCCCACTCCCAGTGACTCATGATTTTCCATCTTCAAGAAAGAACAAACAGGTTTGAGCCTGTCTTAGGGGGGAGACCCTAAGTGGCTCTGGAAGGCAGGAGATTGTGTTCCTGTGAGTGTTCACAGGGGTGCATGTGCATATATATGCTGGTGTGTAGGAAGGGGCTCAGCCCTCGGGGAAGCTGAGTTTAAGGACAACCTACTGTGTGGTCCTGAAAAAGTGACAGTGCTTCTCTGAACCTCAGTGCTGACAGTGGGATGCAAACATGAATCCGTATTTTCTACATTTTGTCTTGAACTTTCTGTGTGGGAGCCTGGTTCCCAGATCTGGCTGTCCTCCCCACTGCCCCAGGCAGATCATGTGGTCTGGGAGGATCCTAGCATCTTGTTCAGCAAGCATTTATTAAGCACCTACTGTGTGCCAGGCCCTGTACTGAAGACACAGCAATGGGCAAGCAGGTGCTGACAGGCTCATGGTGGAGACACTTATACCAGGTGGAGATAGCACAGGGTGATCTGTGTTGTGATGGGGAGAGCTCAGGGTGCCAGGGGAGCCCAGAGGAGGTTTCTGATCCAGCACTGGGTGAGTAGGAGGTGAGAAAAGATGGCTTGAAAGAGGTGGCATCTAAGCTTAAACTGAAGGATGAAGAAAATTTAGCCAGGAGGACTGAAGGGAAAGATATGCCAAGCAGAATGAACAGAATGTGCAAAGCCTTAGACTCAAGAGGATCAGGTATATGAAGAGCTCAACACAGATCGCTGTGGCTGAAGGGAGGGGGGAGGAGACTCTCTATTTACTTACAAGCATTTATTGAGCGTCTACCGCGTGCCAGACACTGAGGGCACAGCTGTGAGCAAACGCAGGTCCTGCCTTTGAGGGCCTGGGGGGCAAGGCAGATCCAGATCAAGTAATCATGACAAGGAAATGTAAAATTGTACCCATGAGGGAAGGGTGCTCTGAGAATATTTACCCAGCTGGTCAGGGAGGGCTTCCTGGAGGGGTCATGCTCCACCTATGATCTGAAACATGAAGAGTCAGCAGGAGAACATTTGAGCAAGGGCATGGGGTGGGAGTGAACTTGACTGGTTCAAGGAAAACTAAGGAAGGAGATGAGGCTGAGGCAGAGTGAGCCAAGAGGAGGGGGATGGGGAGGCTCAGACCTCAAAAGGGTAGGCCACACAAGGCCCTCAGAGAGGTATGGATTGAGATGGAAGGGCAATAGGGAGCCATTGGAAACGTCTGGAGCAGAGGAGGGTGAGATCTGACCCATGTGAGCATTTATATACACTTGACTCAGCCCCTGCTCTCCTCTCTTTGTCTAGATTCTCCATGGGGGTGGGGGAGGGGGCACCTGGGTGGCTCAGTCAGTTAAGCGTCTGCCTTCAGCTCAGGTCATGATCCCAGGATCCTAGGATCCAGTCCTGTGTCAGGCTTACTGCTTACCAGGGAGTCTGCTTCTCCCTCTCCCTCTCTGTCTACCCCTCCCCTCCGCTCATGCGCTCTCTCTCTCTCAAATAAATAAATAAAATCTTAAAAAAAAATAGATTCTCATGGGGACTTGGACAAATCATGTCTCCTCTCCAGACCTCAGTTTACTTGTCTGTAAAATGGGCATAACAGCACCCACCTCCTGTCTCACTGGGGCCATCTGGTGGCAGAGGAGAAAAGTGTCTGCCAAAGGAAGGACTGCTTCAGTGGGGGAATTCCAGTTGATGATATGCTAAGGGCACTAGAGTGCTGGGCCCTTCCTTGTCAGGCAGGACACAGGGACAAAGTCAGGATGGGGGTCCTCCTGTCCACCCCTCCTTCAGCCTCAGCCCCTTACCCGGCTGGGTTTGGGGCCTCCCAGAGTCAAGCAGACCAGGCTTCAAATGCTGAGTCTTGGCTCTGTGGCTCATTTTCTCCATCCCAAAATCTATTAATAGAGCATTACTGTTAAAACTGGTAATAAAATATTTAAAGTTGAATCTATTAATGTTTCAAACCATTAAACTATTAAAACTCTTGATAAAACATGAATGTCAGAGTAGCCTCTGGGACTTCAGTGAGGATAGAGTCAGTTAAGCATTAATTGGGAGAGGGCACATGCTAGGGAGCCCTCCAGCCTAGGCTTGATTGACCCCGTGGCCCTGCCGCTCAGGGCTATGTGACTTCGAGCAAGTGAACACCACCTCCCTGTGCCTCAGTTTCCCCATCCACAAAATGAGTGTGATAGTCCCCACTTTGTAGAGTTGCTCTGAAAATCAAATGACTTTTACACGTGCTGCCCTTGGCTCAGCTCCAGGCAAGTAGGAAGCAGTTGGTATTGATGCATTTCGTCTTAGCTTTCCATTTCATGTCTGTGACTTCTGGGGAGAGACTGAATCTCTCCGTGCCTGTTTCTCCTTAGGGACATGGGACCCTTACAAGCCCCTCCCATGGGGCCGAGGTGGTATCGAGGCTCCTCTGACCCTGTCCCCAGTGCCTCCACCAGACTGATCCTGGCAGCCTCTATCCCCTGGGGACTGGCTATAATTAGGTCCAACCACAGCAACTACAGATGGTATTTTTGACAGTGAGTCTGGTTCCCACCAGGTGTCCGGTTGCAGGGCCACGGGGGCAGGAGGGGGTTCCCAGCCAGGTCCTTGAGACTCTCTGCACTGCTGGGCCCCAGTGTGCCCCTTCTCTGAGCCTCTGTTTTCTCACCTGTACAATGGGGACAATGGGATGGTTGCGAGTCAGGAGAGAGTCAGAGTCTCCTCCCTGTGGCACCTCAGGTTCCTCTACTGAAGCTCTAATCACCCCATTGTACATCACATTCCCCTCGGAGTGTCAGAAATGTGGGTGCCATTTGCCTAGGGACCCCAAAAATGCATGAAGTCCCCTGGACAAAGCCCAGGCAGGGGAGGGGATGTCATCCCCCAGCAGGGACACAGTTGGACTTAGAGCTTCTGTGAGGCCTCAGCTGAGAGGCCCAGCCTCCCTGGGCCTCAGCTGCCTCTGCTTAAGACATGGACATTCAAGGTCCTGCCACCAAGTGTGACACCCTGAGACTTGGTTTCCTTTTCTGTGGAACGGGGCAGGGCCACCCAATGCCAGCATTCAGAGGATAGAGCACGTGGTACAGATCCCTGAAAGCCCCCAGAATCTCCCATTCCAGGCCCCCTGGGGTCCTTCCTGGGGCAGGGGAGAGGCAGCTGATGCTTCACAGACGGAAGATCTGGTGGGAGTGGAGTGCGGATGTTTGTCCAGTAGAGACAGCAAGAGAGGGGAAAGGATCCAGAGACAGGGCCTGGGGAATGTCAGAGCGGGTGGGGGTCATGTGGGGACTTGTGGAGGGAGACTGGGAGAAGGGGAGCTGGGTTCGAACCCGCTGTCCTGCAGCAAAGCCATGTGCCTGTTACTACCTCTTTCCAAGCCTCAGTTTCCCCACCTGGTAAAGGGTTAAGGGTTTGTAGTTTTGGGGCAGCCCTGGTGGCTTCAGGCCTCATATTCTCCATATAGAAAATGGGCAGAGGGGTATTGGAAACACTGCACGGGATCTGAGCAGCCCCTTGGCAAACTCCGTGCCTCGGTGACCCTCTCACAATGGAGGACACTTCCCTTTCTGACTTCCGCATTTCACTCTTCAGCCAAGTTGTCAACCCAACAAGCTGCCCTAATTGTGGTCGTGTTGACAGAGGGAAGTGGCTAAGATCCGGGTTCTGGGACCCACGGGGGCCACCCCCAAAGGGAGGGAGCAGAGAGTTGCGGCCAGCTCAGTGCCTCAGTTTCCCCATTTGTCCCGGTAGGGGCATCATGGAGAGGTCCAGCGGCGAGGCGGAGTCGGTGCGCCCTCTGCCCCCTCCCCGCCGGGCCCCGCCCCCGCGGCTGTCCAGAAAAGGTCCCGCGCAGCCCGCGCTGGGTTCAGCTTCCACGCGATCTTGGCGATGCAGGGACCCCCCGCGCCCGCCCCGGCCCCCGGGTCCAGCTCCCCTCGGGGCTCCCCGCGCGGCTCCCCGGGGCTCTTCAGGAAACTCCTGGTGAACCAGAGCATCCGCCTGCAGCGGCGCTTCACTGTGGCCCATCCGCTGTGGTGAGGCGAGACGGAGGGCCTGGCGGGGGTCACCAGAACAGCTAGGCTGGAGGTGGGAAGGGCAAAGTCAGGGACAGCTGGAGCCGGGTCGGGAATCAGGGTAGGGACGCTCTGCCCCTCCCTCTCTTTCTCGATATCTCTCTCCCCCTGCCCTATCTCCCTCTCTCGTACTTGGAGACTCTGTCTTTATCTATCTCTATCTGTCTCTCCCTCCACCCGCTGCCTGTACAAAGGCCCGAGGGACCAGCGTCTGTCCCTTTCCAGCTGTGTGGCCCAGAGCAGGACGGGCTGAGGCTCACGTCTCCTCCTGACCCTAGCCTGCTGAACGCCCTGCGAGGGAGGGGAGGAGGAATGACTCCTCCCCTTGTTCTCGCTCCCCAATCAGTCCCGGAGCCAACACCGAGATGGCCCGGGGGCCAAACACCAAGCCTTCGGTGTCTACAGGGGAAGACCTGATTTGACGGCGGGCCTTCGAAGCAGGGTGTTCGCAGTGTAAGAGGGCGAGTTCCGTGTCCCACGCAGAAAGCGGATCTGCGCTGAGCGCAGGTTCCTCGCAGCCGCGCTCGGTTGCGTCCTAGGAAGACTCCATCCACCGTTCTGGGTTCTAATCCCGACCCCTTCAGGAAGCTGTGACCTCGTGGGGCGCGGGGGCGAGGCTGGGGTCGGAGGTGGGGCTTGTGGGCGCCGACTGTGTCTGGCACCTTGCTCTGGATTCGTGCCACATTAGCACTCGCTTGATAATTTGGCACCTGCCGGCTCAGGGACTGAAGGTCCCTTCACCAAGGTCACACGGCCAGTGACAGCTGGCAGGGTGGAGGCAGTCGTGACCGTGGTCCTTGATGGCGCCCTTCCAGTCCGGGAGGGGTGGGGTGTCCCAGGTCCCGGAGAGCGCCACCAGCGCACTAGACGCCTGCGAAGAGGGGTCCCCGCGGAGGGTTCCGGAGAGAGTTCAGGGGCGTCGAGGGAGAGCCCTCGGTCCCAGAAGGTGAGGCTGGAGGAGGGTGGGTCCCTCTGAGGCCCCCTTGCCTCAGTTTATCTATCCAACCGATGGACAGACGCACGGTTCCCACAGTCCAGGCGACCTCGCCCCGAGCCGCCCGCGTCATGGAACCACGGTCTGACCCCACCGCTCCCGGCTAAGTTTAGAGCAGAAAGAAAAACAGCTTTTCTCGCGGCGCGAAAATCCCCGCCCAGCCAGCCCTTAACCCTCCGCACCCATTACTTGGATTCTAATCCAGCACCCTGTTGCCTCTCCTGGCCTCAGTTTCCCTATTGATCCATGGGTTTGCTCTTCCAGAAACTTTGGGGAGAGGCAAGGGAGGGGTAGGGGGTAGCCACTCCCAAGGCTCCCCTTCCGAGGGCAGGTTTGGGTATCGGCCGCCGCTGGCCCTCCTGCGTGTCTCTTTGCTACCCTCCGAGCCCCCGGCCTGGGCAGGATAGGGTTAAGAGGCACCCGCCCCTCAGGGTGACGTCACGAAGCGGGGGATCGGAAGCCCCAGCTGTCTGGGGATTCTCTTGGAAGCGCCGAATTCGGAAAGGCCGAGACCGCCGAACATAGCCGACTACGTCCGAACATACCCGAGTGAGGCCGGACTAGGCCGAAAATGCGCGACTCGGGCCGAGGGCCACCCGGGCTTGTTCGTAAACCTAGCGCAGCCGGATTTAGGCGAACATGCCCGTATGCCTCCGAACCTGCCTGAGCGGGGTCGGACGTAGCCGAATCTTGCCGAATTCGCGCGACTCAAGTCCCGGGGTCCAGATTGGTTCCAGTGGGAAGGGCTCTGCGGTGCAGATGTGGAGACGGAGGAATGAGGGGCACAGGATCCCTGGGTAGGGGTGCCGACTGTGGGGCAGGTGGACAAACTGGAGGCGACTTCTGCCCAACCCACCGAGGCCCTATCTGGTCCAGAACCTATCTGGAGCAGGCCCAAACATGTGTGATCAGACCCAAATCGGGTCAAACGTGGCTGTACGTGACGGAGCCGGACCGAATCCAGCCGAACTGGACAGAATCCCGTCGAATCCCCCACCCCCACTGCGGTCTGAGCCGAATCCCCCGCTCAGAGTCTTCTGGCAGATGCTGATCCCGCCGGGTGGACTGGGATGGGGTCACTTGGCAGGGGACCAGGTGGACACTGGCCCTTGGCCAGGAGCCCTGTGTCTTGGGAGGTCCCCGGTGTCTTCCTGGCTTCGCCTCTCCTGCCTATCCCCTTCTCCCTTCTCAAAAGCCCATGACCCCCACACCGGCAGCCCCTCTCTCTCCTACTAACTCCTCTCCTGAACTTCTATTTCCCCCCGGCCCCTCCCACTTTTTCTCTGATCTGTAATCCCAAAGGATAGGGGTGTAGTCCCCCTTACCCAGTCCGGGTGTGGCCTGACAGAGACACAGGGCTGAGAGCTGGGAGGGGGTGTTGGGGATTATTGCAACAAGGGGCACTGGGGAGAGGATGGTGCTGCAGGGGAGTGGGGAAACTTAGGACACAGGCAAGTGAGCTGGGGGCATGGTCGACAAGGTTGGGGCAGGGCCATATGGAATGAGCCTGGGGCCTGGGAGCTGGGGGTGAGGACAGGTGATCTGAACGAGGACAGAGCTGGCTGGGGGAGCCTTGGAGCATGTCAGATCCAAGCTGGACCCAGGCTCCCTCTAGAAAGGAAAGCCCAGGAAGTTGTTTGCTGTCCCGATTAATTTTTCATGCGACATAGACCTTAGTTTACTGCTTAGTACGGGTACACAGCGGCAGTCCGCTCGTGCTCTGTGGTTACTCCCTAAAAGTGCCATCGGGGAAGGAGTATACCATGCCCATATTAGAGACCAGGTGGGTTGATGTCCAAAGAAAGGCCAAAACCTACCCATGGTCACACAACCACATGGGGACAGATCTGAAACTCATGTCCCGGGGTCCAGATTGGTCCCAGTGGGAAGGGCTCTGGGGTACAGATGTGGAGACAGAAGAATGAGGAGCACAGGTCCCCTGGGTAGGGGTGCGACTGTGGGGCAGGTGGACAAACTGGAGGCTACTTCTGTCCAACCCATCGAAGCCCCAGGGAGGATGTGGGCCACAGCCAGGCATCCACATGCCGGGACCCGAGGCTCTGACCAAGCCTAATCTGCCTTCAGCTTTGACCTGGAAAATGGATTCTCATGTGGGAGAAGCACCCTGGACCCTCAGGCTGGGCCTGGCCTTGGTCAGGTCAGCCAGGCCCCTGCTCAGCACAGCCAGAGGCGAGAGTCCTTCCTGTACCGCTCCGACAGTGACTACGAACTCTCCCCCAAGGCCATGTCCCGGAACTCCTCTGTGGCTAGCGATCTGTGAGTCCAAGGCTGGTGGGATGACACCTCCCTGTTCTTCCCTCCTTTCTTAATTCCTCCATTCAGCACACCTCCTTCAAGTGGTCATTTGAACTGGGCTTTGAGGTTTAAGTAGGTGTTTTCCAGACAGCTCACTTATGCGGTTGAGCATGCGGAGAATGATAACCGGTAATTCTCTGTGCTTGAACTGAGGCTGGGGTTGGGTGGCAATCTGGAGACATTACGTCCAATTAGCAGCAACAGAACAAACACCTCGATTTGAGATTCCTGGTAGCCATAATGAAAAAAGAAATACAATAATTTCCACCCTGCCTCTATTAAGATCTCTGCTGCCCCTGGTTCCCTATTTGTGAGATGGGGAAGAGACAGGTGAGGGGAGCTGGAGCAAAAGGACACCCAAAGGAGGAGTCACGAGGGGAGGACGCGCTCAGGTGAGGACATAGTATGGATAAAAGCTGCAAGATGGGAACCAGCGTGAGGTCTTCTCCTGGCCGCCCTTCCTGATGTCCCATCTCCCCGCAGACACGGAGAAGACATGATTGTGACGCCCTTTGCCCAGGTGGGTGCCCGCACTTTGCCCCTCCTCCCGTGAGCCAAGCAGGCAGATCCGACCCCCGCTTTCCAACGCTGATCACGCCCCTTCCGACAGGTCCTAGCCAGTCTGAGGACAGTTCGGAGCAACGTCGCAGCCCTTGCCCACCTGCAACAACGCGGGGCAGCCAAGTACGCAGAGGGCGGGGCGGGGGCGGGGCCTGGCGGAGCGAGGTGGGGCCGACAAGCGCAGGCATCGGGGCGGGGCCTGCGGGAGAGATGGGCTGGGCTGGAGGAGGGGGCGGGACCAGGCCTGGAGGGGCGGGGCCTGAAGACAAGGTGGGCCCGGCTGAGGCAGGGCCCGACCCGAAAGAATACGGCCCGCACCTCGGCGGGAAGGGGTGGGGTATGCTGGGTGGGAGCGGGGCCTGGGAGACTTGAAGGCAGGGCTGTATGAGTGACGGAGGCCATCCCTACCGCAGGCAGGCATCAGTCGAGAACCCCCTAATTGGCAGTCAGCCCCCTCCACCTACAGGTAACGTGCCTGCTCCTCCTCCCTCCTCCCACTGCTGGACAGCTGTGAACTTCCTCTCCATGGTGACCTACTCCGCCCATGAGTCCTTAGGCTTTGCTAATTGTAATCCCCCAAACACCCTTGGGGATGGAGTCTTCCACGCCCATATTACAGATGGAGAGGCCGAGGCCCAGGGAGGGCAGAGACCTGCTCATGGTCACACAGCTACTTAGGAACAGATCTATCACTCAGATCCTGGGGTCCTTAATGACCTTATTGGGAAGGGCTCCAGGGTCCAGATGCAGAGATAGAGGCATGAGGGGCGCAGGGTCCCCCAGGGGGGTTGAGGCAGCCCCTGACCAGCTTGGCCCCCAGAGGACACTGGGCAGAAGCTGGCTTTGGAGACACTGGACGAGCTGGACTGGTGTCTGGATCAGCTGGAGACACTGCAGACACGGCACTCAGTGGGGGAAATGGCCTCCAACAAGGTGAGGAGGACCAGATAGCCGAGATCATTTGCTTCTGCCCACAGTGCCCCCATCATCACTGCCCTCACCTTCCCCTGCAGTTCAAGCGGATGCTGAACCGGGAGTTAACTCACCTGTCCGAAACCAGCCGCTCTGGGAACCAGGTGTCCGAGTACATCTCGCAAACATTCCTGGGTGAGCTGTGGTGGGTCACTGCTTGGGCAACATCATAGAGGTAGAAAGAAGGAAGAAAAAGAAAGTCTTGTATTACAGACCTCGATCTGGGGAAGACAGAGTCAGACATGGACACCTCCAACCCCAGGGGTCAGAGATGGACCACAGGGAAGAACAGAGGGAACTTTCAGGAGGAGGAGGACATTAAAGCTAGAGTTCTGAAGCATGTGTAGAAGTTTTCCAAGGGGGACATGCAGTGAACATGGAGACAGCTAGGTCTCCAGCTTGGGAGATGGAAAGGACATTTGGCTGTTTGGGGAAAAATACTGAACCCCAGGTACCCAAGGGCAATGTCAAACAGAAGGGTCCTTGAGATCAGCCATGAACAGAGGAGAAGGGTAGTAGCTACAGGCCAGATAGGGACTTTACTCCAAGCTTACTTTGATACAGGTAAAAAGGAAATAGGTTGGTCCTGAGGCTTGGCAAGATCCAGGACCTGAGGCTAGGCAGGATGACCCCAGCAGTTCTGAATCAGTTTCCCTGAGCCCCACCCTGCTCCATCTACAGACCAGCAGACTGAGATGGAGTTGCCCAGGGTGACCCCCATGGAGACCCCAAGGCCCATGTCCCAGATCAGCAGCCTGCGTGGGGTCCCCCACAGTGCCAGCCTCTCTGCAGCCACCGTCCCACGCTTTGGGGTCCAGACTGACCAGGAGGGGCAGCTGGCCAAGGTGGGTCCCCAACTGGAATCCTGAGACTTGAGTTTGAGTTGTGGCTCTGCTTGGATGCCCTATCTTGGGCCTCAGTTTGCCAGCTTGTATACTGGGTAGGTGGGGCTCATTGTAGGACCTGGGGCCTGGTGGGGGGTGTCAAGGGTCCAGGGCCTGAGGAAGGTGAGCTGGAGTTAAGCTCCAGTTCTGCACATTCTAGGAACTGGAAGACACCAACAAGTGGGGGCTTGATGTGTTCAAGGTGGCAGAACTAAGTGGGAACCGGCCCCTCACAACCATCATATTCAGCATCTTTCAGGTACCTACCTGCCCTCACAGGGCGACTGGAGTTTCTTTCCTTCACATCTTCCTACCCCAAGACCTCCAGGGACACTCATTTTCAAATCCTCCCTGATACTCCTGAATGGCATATTTTAAGCTGCATATTGAAGGATGGATTTTTCATGTTGAAAAATTCATTGTCAACAAGCCTCAGCCCTGAGCCTGGCCCTGAAGAGACCCAGTCTTGGAGGGAACAACTGGACAAAGATAACCCCAGCCTTGTGAGGTCAGGGATAGACCAGACGGGAAGGACAGGGACCAAGGGAATTCAGAGGGAGAGATGGGAGGGCATCCTGGAAGAGGGGGCATTTGAGGCATGGATAGGAGTTCAGAAGGAGGGAAGGCATAGTGACTGGAGGCCTGTGATGGACCAGGAACGGGACCTGCTCAAGACATTTCAGATCCCAGCGGACACACTTGTCACCTACCTTCTGACGCTGGAGAGTCACTATCATGCCGATGTGGCCTACCACAACAGCCTACACGCCGCTGATGTGGCTCAGTCCACGCATGTGCTGCTGGCCACACCTGCCCTCGAGGTACTACCCTAAGGCTAGAGGCAGCCAGGGTGGGTGCAGGGGGCAGAGAGCCCACCCCTTACCTCTCGTGCCTCGCGCCTGCTCAGGCCGTTTTCACAGACCTGGAAATCCTGGCTGCCATCTTTGCAAGCGCCATCCATGATGTGGACCATCCTGGGGTCTCCAACCAGTTTCTCATTAACACCAGTGAGTTGGGGGCGGGGCCCTGCCGCCACCTGTCAGTCATGTGATCATCTCGGGCCCACCCACTCCTATTCTGAGCCTAGTTTCCCTGTTTGCGAAAGGGCCGAGACCATCCCTCCCTTAGGTGCTCAGAGCGGTTCCAGGTACACAGTAGGTGCTCAATAAATGAGAAAATAACAACTGTGGCAGAACTGCCCTGGGCCACAAAGATTTTAAAGCTCAATAAATGAGAAAATAACAACTGTGGCAGAACTGCCCTGGGCCACAAAGATTTTAAAGTTCAATAAATGAGAAAATAACAACTGTGGCAGAACTGCCCTGGGCCACAAAGATTTTAAAGCTCAGTTTCTGAAGAACTCAGTCAAATAATTATTGGGTGCCTTCTGTATACATCCTTGGAGAGCTGGGGACAGGAGTGGAGCCTTCTTACTCAACGATCCCAGAGTCTAATAAGATGACAACTCAGTTGTTCAGTCAAGCAGCACTCAGTATGCACTGTCTCCTACCATGCCAAGGCCTCAAGGAGTCCCCTGTTTCGAGGAGGCAGAGCTGAACACAGATGCCCCAGCCCTGCAGTCAGGGCAGGGCTAGGGGGAAAGACAGAATTTTAGAAGGCTTCATGGAGTAGAAGGCATTAGAGGTGGGGCCTCCACGGATGAGTAGGAGTTTGCCGAGGGCTTGCGAAACCTGCCTTTGGGTGGAGTGGGCAGGTGCACAGGTCTTGAGGCTCTCTGCCTCCCCCGCAGACTCAGAGCTTGCACTTATGTACAATGATGCCTCTGTGCTGGAGAACCACCACCTGGCCGTGGGCTTCAAGTTGCTGCAGGCAGAGAACTGCGACATCTTCCAGAACCTCAGCGCCAAGCAGAGGCTGAGTCTGCGCAGGATGGTCATCGACATGGTAAGGCCACAGCTAGGAATGGGACAGGGTGATCTTGGCCTAAGTCTGCCCATTTGATATTTTTCAGATCGGAACACAACATTAAGTTTTGGGGTCTTGTGCCTCAATTCATTAATTTTATTATTATTATTATTTTAATTAAGCAGCCTCCACACCCAACATGGGGCTTGAACTCATGACCCTGAGATCAAGAGTCACATGCTCTACCAGCTGAGCCAGCCAGGAGCCCCTCATTCATTAATGTAACAAGCATTTATTGGACACTTATTGTGTGCTTTCCCTGTGCCAATGACCGGTAGAGTTCTGGCCTTTATAAGACTCATGGTCGGGGGCGCCTGGGTGGCTCAGTTGGTTAAGCGACTGCCTTCGGCTCAGGTCATGATCCTGGAGTCCCTGGATCGAGTCCCGCATCAGGCTCCCTGCTCGGCGGGGAGCCTGCTTCTCCCTCTGACCCTCCCCCCTCTCATGTGCTCTCTCTCTCTCATTCTCTCTGTCTCAAATAAATAAATAAAATCTTTAAAAAAAAAAAAAAAAGACTCATGGTCGGGCGCCTGGGTGGCTCAGACCGTTAAGCGTCTGCCTTCGGCTCAGGTCATGATCCCAGGGTCCTGGGATCGAGTCCCGCATCGGGCTCCCTGGGAGCCTGCTTCTCCCTCTGCTTCTCTCTCTCTCTGTCTCTCATGAATAAATAAATAAAACCTTAAAAAAAAAAAAGACTCATGGTCTGTGAGGGAGATGGACCCATAGGCAGAGCCATAATGGGAGACCTGAAGACAGAGCCAGGGTGGGGGGGGGATACTCAAGGTGGAGGAGGGCTTCCCCAGAAGGGAACACTGAAGTCAGTGGGGCCTGCAGGGTGTGGAGGGCCATGAGGTGGGAGAGGAGTGTTCCCAGCAGAGGGAACAGCATGTGGGGATAGCTCAGAGGAAACCAAGGCTCTGAGTGAAGGACAATTAAAAGTTTGGTGAGGTGGAGTTAGGCCTTGGGCAATAGGTACCCCCAGTGGGTGCATCACTGAGGCAGATGGGAGGTTTGGGGAGAATTTTTGAGATTTTTATCTGATTCTCAAAGAAGCCCATGGGCTACATGTGGATCACTCCTGGGCTGGCTCTGCATGGGTCCAGTTAAGTTGATTTTTTTTTCCAGCTGACTTTTAAACAGCTGTGCTCAGAGCTGAACTTCCTTCCAAATGGCTGAAAACAGCCCTTTTGGCCACGTGGTGGCCACAGGGGAATGGTTGGGGAGCGCCAAGGCAGGTCCTTCCTGACTTTAGATCCACCTGTGGCTCCCATGGCCCTCTGGATAAATCCCCCACTCCTCCCTGAGACCCACTGCAATCCTCACCCTCCATTACTACTGCACTCACTCACTCCAGCCTCAACTGCTTCCTCTATGTTCCTCAGCTCATCCAGCCCCAGGGCCTTTGCACAGGCCGTACCCTCTGCTGGGCCTCACCACTGCCATCAGGCACAGCTCACCTCAGTCCCCAGTTTACTCTCCCTCCCCCTTGCCCTGGTCCCATATGTGGGATGCGCCCCAAGAACCCAACAACCTTGGACAAGGGACCATTGACTCAGTTCCCCTTGTGAACTGGGTTTGCAGTGAATCTTGTTACAGCCCCCCATTTCACAGATGAGGAAACTGAGGTTCAGGGGACTTAGGGTCAGAGTGGGTGTGGTGTCTGGAAGGTGGGGAGTGAGGGATGGGACAGGTGCGGTCCTCATACTTGTCATCCTCTCTTGTCTGCCCCCCAGGTCCTGGCCACAGACATGTCCAAACACATGAACCTTCTGGCTGACCTCAAGACGATGGTGGAGACCAAGAAGGTGACAAGCCTTGGAGTCCTGCTGTTGGACAACTACTCCGACCGCATCCAGGTGTGTGGCCGGGAGGGCCCCGGCCCCGCCCCCCCCCCCCCCCCCCCGCCGTGTCCATGGCTCTCATTTCGCTTTATTTCTGAAGCACCAACTGTGCATCCAACTTGAAGAAACAGAGGCACCTAGAATCCCACGCCTATGCCTTAGCCATTCTTTCCCCGGCCTCAGCTTCCCCCCCGTAAGATGGGTGTGTTCATGGCGCCAGCCTCTTGGGGATGCTACCAGGCCTGAGAGTGGCCCGGCCAGAGCCCGCCTGAGCCGTGGTCTCTCCAGGTCTTGCAGAACTTGGTGCACTGTGCGGACCTCAGCAACCCTACCAAGCCACTGGAGCTGTACCGTCGGTGGACGGACCGCATCATGGCCGAGTTCTTCCAGCAGGGCGACCGGGAGCGGGACTCAGGCCTGGATATCAGCCCCATGTGCGATAAGCACACCGCCTCAGTGGAGAAGTCCCAGGTCTGAGGGCCCCTGGGCTGAGCCACCAGCAGACACGGGGGATAGGGAAGGGAAACGGCGGGTGAGCCGACCCCAGGAGTCCTGGCTTGACCACAGCTGACCGGGGAAGGGGAGTGGCCTCAGGGTGAGGTCTGCACTGGGCTGGGTGGCGTCAGGCCTGGGACACATTCTCTCTGGGCTGCAGGGAGAGGGATCTGCCCTGGTGGAGTTGGGAAATGTCTGTTTTGGGTGATGTGGGGGGTCCCTGAAGGGGAACACATCCATCCAGCCCTGAGGGGTCAGGGCTGGGATAGAAGGAAAGATTTAGTGGTTGGGGGGTGTCCAGAAGGGGCCGGGGAGAGTCCCTAGAGGAGGGGTTGTTTGAAGAGTGTTTTGAAGGATGAGTAGGAGTCGGGAAATGGCATTCCAGACAGAGGGAACAAGCTGGGCAAAGGCCTGGAGGCTGGACTAGGTCTAGATTCCATGGTGACTCACACTGCACAGCTCCCCCCTCCCATATCAACCGGCAGGTGGGTTTCATTGACTACATTGTGCACCCGCTGTGGGAGACGTGGGCTGATCTGGTGCACCCAGACGCACAGGACCTGCTGGACACGCTGGAGGACAACCGTGAGTGGTACCAGAGCAAGATCCCCCGCAGTCCTGTGGATCTCACCAGCCCCGAGCAGGGGGGCCCTGACCGATTCCACTTTGAGCTGACTCTGGAGGAGGCGGAAGAAGAGGAGGAGGAGGAAGGAGCTTTGGACACGGAGGTCTCGGAGTCACCTGACACTGAGCTTCTGGCCCCTGAAGCTAGCCCTGACCCTGGGGCCCTACTCCTGGACAACCAGAGGACTGGGGGCAAGCCCTGCGTGGACCAGGAGGCCAATGTGGTGGCTGAGCCCTTTGGTACCTAATGGCTCCTGGCAGATGGATGGACCTTCCAGAAAGAGGTCCCAGGTGGCCCTTGCCTTGCCTCCCCCCCTCCACCCTCCTCCCCATTGAGGGAGACAACCAAGCTTCTAGTTATAGGCAGACCTTGGGGCCAAATTGGAGGCACTTGGCTGGGGTCCAGTCTGACCGCGGGCTTTGCCGAGAGAGCTCTCTGAGGGGCTGGGCTGGGAGCAATCTCTTCCAGCGCCCTTGGGATCTCCCTCCTGGGCTTCCACCCCCGGTGTGGAAAGAGGGTGTCCGCCAGGCCCCTTGTCCCCCTTCTGCAGTGGTCATTCTGGAGGCACATCCATCATTTTATCTTTCCACTCTTGATCACGTATTTATTGGGCACCTACTGTATGCCAGGCTTGCACCTGCTGTGTGCTTCTAGGGTAGCCCCACACAAGGGGGTGGCAAATCAGTCCCAGGAGACCTACCCCCCTCAGGTGCCTCCCCTTCATCTGCCACGCAGCTCCATGCAAGAGAATGGAAACTTGAATGGGGAATTTTTAGCACCAAAGCTTTGTCCAGACCGGAGTCTGGCTCAGGAGCTCCGGTGGGGCAGGAAAGACAGGGTTCTGTGTCGGGAACTGTCTCTGAAGACTGACTGAGCCTGTGGCTGTCTGTGCACCAGTTCCGGCTTTAAGTCACTGTAGTTTCTGTCTTGGGGTCTCTGGGTTCTGTTCTCCCTAGCCCCGGGACTCCCTGCTGGGTCCTCCCCCCACTTTCTCCCTCTTATAGAACAGCAACAAAGCACAGCGTTCGGACTCCCGATAGGGGGAAGGATGCCTGTGAGGCTTTCTTCCAAGTCATAGCTCCTTCTGGGCCTCAGTTTCTCCTTTATGGCCTGATCTTAGTACTTGGGTAAATTGTGGTTGGAGGGTGGTGTCTGTGACCTTTCCAAAAAATCTTAGAAATGTGGGGGCATTGAACGTGTCTCTGGGGTTAAATAACCCTATTACCCCAAATTAAAGCCATGCCCACCTCAGGGATGGGGAAACGGAGTTGCAAACGGGTCGTGGTGCCTGCTCGAGGCTCTGCAGCTGGGAGCAGGACGTTAGGCAGCGCCGCCCCCTGGCGGACGGAGGCACGGAGGGGAGGCGGGGTGAACCCCGGGATTCTCCTTGCCTTTCCTGCTGTTTCTCAGGCTCCTGGCCTGGTCGGGCTGGCGCTGAAGGGGCCTGCCTTGCCCGAAGCAAAAAAGGCGTCTCTGCTTAAGTATCACGTTCTGTTCCCGCCTCCAGAAGCCTCAGTATCTCCCCCACCCGCCCCTCCTTCTGTGCCTGGAAAATTACAAGACCCAAGTCATCGAGCAGCACCCCCCACCCCCCACCCCGCTTCAAGAACAGCTGGCTTCATTCCTGAATAATTCCATTGATAATTCCATTCCACTGATAATTCATTATCATCACAAGTAATGATCAAATTCCACAAAAGGACAATTAAAATTCATCTGGGTCATGAACTTAGTGCATTTCCTTCCGGACTTTTAAAAAGCAAAGATTTAGGGGCACCTGGGTGGCTCAGTCGGTTAAGCTGGGACTCTTGACTTTGGTTCAGGTCATGATCTCAGGATCCTGGGATAGAGCCCCGCATCGGGCTCACCCTCAGTATGGAGTTGGCTTGACATTCTCTCTCTCCCTCTGCCTCTGCCCCGCCTCCCCGTGTTCATTCGCTCTCTCTCTCTCAAAATAAATAATAAAAGCTTAAAAAAAAAGTAAAAGGCAGAGATTTAGGGATTTTTATTTGTAATTTTGTTCTCCCTCCCCCTTTAGTTATAAGTAATATGTATTTACTGTAGAGAATTTGGAAATAATGTAAACAAATACAAAAGAAAATAAAATTCTGCTATAACCTCCCTGTAGATCATCTGCCTTCAGCATTTCACCTTATTTCCCTGTTTCTTTCTCCACAGATTTATAAGAACATATGTGCCCCTTCAATTTGGGCCACAGGCATCTCTCCGTCTCCCTCTTACTGACTGCACTCCACCCATGCTGGCTTTCCATACCCCAAGATGTGGCCCCACCTCAGGGCCTTTGCACATACTGTGCCTACCACCTGGATTGCTCCTCCTCCACCCTCATCCTCACCCGTTGGGTCTCAGCTCAGCATCTGCTCCCCTGCAAAGTCCTCTCAGACCCGCCCCCCACCCCCAGGCTGGCACTGGTGGAAGTTCTCGGAGATTCTTTGATTCATGTCTACCACCCTCTCCACACCCTGGTCCCCATAGGTCTGGGCCAGATCCACCACACCATCCTTGGTATCCCCTAGAGATGGATATTGACAACTTCAAGTCTCTTAACCTCTCTGAGCTTTTATTGTTTCATAGGTAAAATGGGCTCTTTGTGAGGATCACATAATTGCCACAGGTAGCATTTGAGAAGAGTGTGTCCTGAGCCAGGCATGGAACTGCCTTGCTGTCCCCCCTTTCTGGAGCATTGTTCCCTCACCTCTCCCTCTGGCCAGCTCCTTCTCCTTCAGGCTCCTGCTCAATGTCACTTCTTGAGGGAGATCTGCCCTAACCTCCCGGGACAAAGTCACCCTCTCTCTGATCATTCATTCATATATATCATGCCATCACAGGGCACTTACTATGTCCACAGGTCTAGGTGCTGGGGACACCAGTCCCTGTCTCTCAGAGCTCTCAGATGGCTAATGGATAAATAAGTCAAATAATTATTTCTTTCTTCCTTTCTTTTCTTTTTCTTTCTTTTTCTTCCTTCCTTCCTTCCTTTCTTCTTTTTCTTTCTTTCTTTTTTTTTTAAGTAGGCTCCACATCCAACATGGAGGCCAATGAGAGGCTTGAACTCATGACCCTGAGATCAAGACTTGAGCTGATATCGAGTGGGACACTTAACTGATTGAGCCACCCAGGCGCTCCTCAAATAATTATTTCTGATAGGGGGTGTGTCAGGAAGGAGAAATATGGTGATGCGATAGGGAGGTGACATGAAATTGGAACCTCTGAAAAGAGGTGGGTGTCCATCAGAGATCTGAAGGGGATGAGTGAGCCAGGTTTAGAAGGAGGTTGGGGAACAGTGCTCCAGGCAGAGGGAACAGCAGGTGCAAAGTCCCTGAGGGAGGATTGCACCTGAACCAAAGGGAGCATCTAATTGGAGGAGAAAGATGAGATGGGGAGGTAGCTGGTGGGAAGTGAGTGGCTAGGGGGCCTGGGGCTGTGAGGTGGAGTCTGGGCTTTACTCTGAGTGGGGTGGGACTTGGAAGGGTATAAGGCTTTTCCCTCATCAGCTCTGGTGTTCCGCGCTGCGCAGCAGTTCCTCATCCAACCATCCCTAATTCTGGAGTGGAATGCTGATTCTGAACAATAAAGGCCTTGCATTATTTTTACTTTAAAATACAAATCCCTCTGTGCAGCAGCTGATGCGCATTGTTGTAGGCCTTTTCCCCTTGGTGGGGGAGAACAAAACAGGTATTTCTTTCTTTTTTTTTTTTTTTTTTAAGATTTTATTTATTTATTTGACAGAGAGACACAGCGAGAGAGGGAACACAAGCAGGGGGAGTGGCAGAGGGAGAAGCAGGCTTCCCGCCGAGCAGGGAGCCTGATGCAGGGCTCAATCCCAGGATCCTGGGATCATGTCCCCAGCCCAAGGCAGTCGCTTAACCAACTGAGCCACCCAGGTGCCCCCAAAACAGGTTCTTTTTTTTTTTTTTTTTAATATTTTATTTATTTATTTGACAGAGAGAGACACAGCAAGAGAGGGAACACAAGCAGGGGGAGTGGGAGAGGGAGAAGCAGGGTTCCTGCCGAGCAGGGAGCCCGATGCGGGGCTCGATCCCGGGACCCTGGGACCATGACCCAAGCTGAAGGCAGGCGCTTAACTGACTGAGCCACCCAGGTGCCCCCAAAACAGGTATTTCTGAGTGCTACCCACGTACAAAGCGCGAAGCATGCGTTTGGGAAGTGAGGAAGCTGAGAAGCCTTACACGTCCTCACCTCCACCGGGGTGCGCGGGCCGGTTCCTGGGCCAGCCGTGTTTGGGGCACCACCGACTGCCGGTCTCCCCGTAGGGGGAGATTGGGGGTGAATTTATTTTTATTTATTTTTTATGTTTTTCTCAATTTTCCAATTCTCCGCAGTAGGTTCGTAATACTTTTATAGTCCTGAGTGGAGGAGAGGGACAAAAATGTCACCCTTAATCAAAATAGATTTCCCAAACGCTTGCGGAAAGCGAGGGACGTCCGCACTTCCAGGGGGCGGCGAGGTGGGCGGCGGAGGGCGGGCTCGAGACGCTAAGTTATTCTGGTCTCTAGGCGCCTCCGCAGCTGGCGAGCTTTTTATAAACAGGACGAACACCACCCCCCCACACACACCCCCGCCCCGCGCCTGGGGAGGAAGCAAGGAGATCAGGATTCTCTGGGGACCGGAGTTGAGGGGCAGGGATCCAAAGATAGGGTCTCTTTCTCCAACCCCCTTCCGCCATTCTGATATTTTCCCCTCAAGATTTGGGGAAGTAAACGACTGAGCATCTCAGCCCCCAAAGTCTCCACTGAGTCTTGTTTCCCCAGGATGGAGGGAATGGGTCGCCTGTCATTTAAGTCAGGAATCAGGGTCGGATTAAGCATCTCCCAGCCCCATCTTTACTGTTTGGGGCGCCACCGACTGCCGGTCTCCCAAGCCCCAAGCGAGGTCTTTGAACCTCGCTAAGACTCTCCCTGCTTCGCGTTGTTGTTGTTTCCTGCAGGTTTGGGGGGATTTAGGAGGTAAGCCATTTCTCTGCCCCACTTCAGCATTATCTTCGAATTTTCCTCCGGAAGGTGGGGCTTAGGGAGAGGAGGGGTTCTTGTGTCGATTAGCCCCTTCTTTCTTTTCGAGAAATTAGTTCTCTTGATCCCTATTTTTCTTCTTCTTTTTCATCTCAGAAACAGGATCGGACATCTACCAACCCGGTCCTCTTTGGAGATCTTACACCTCAGAAATTGGAAGGGGTCTCTCGACCCCTATTTTCGCTTTTTTCCCCATTTGTACTTATTTTGGGGTTTTTTTTTGTTTGTTTGTTTTTTGTTTGTTTTTTAAGATTTTTTATTTATTTATATGACAGAGAGAGCACAAGCAGGGGGAGCTGGAGAGGGAGAAGCAGGTTCCCCACTGAGCCCGATGCGGGGCTGAATCCCAGGACCCCGGGATCATGACCTGAGCCGAAGGCAGACGCTTAACGACTGAGCCACCCAGGCGCCCCCATTTGTACTTATTTTGAACTCATAATTAGGGGGCATGGAGCGTCTCTCAGATGTTTGTTCCTCTTTTCTGAGATTGGGAATTGGGAGTGTTTTTAACAAGAAGTGCGGCACCCAAGACAGGGCGGGGACCGCGGAAGTCTCAGACCAAAGGTGGGAGGGGGCGGGGAAAGAGAACGCCCCCTAAAGACCCAGGCTCAGCGAAGGCCTCAACCTCTCAGCCCGGCAACCACTTGGGAGCCACCATTGGACAAGAGCAGAAAGGTGATGATCTCTGACTGGCTACTCAGTCCGTCGGCTCGGGCGCTTAAGCCAGTGAGAGGGTACCACTCAGTCCCGCCTCCCTGACACAGCCAGGAGGCGGAGCAGGTAGGCACCGCCCCCGCGCTCTACTGGATGAGCACATTGATTCCGCCCCATTCGTGCGTCAATCCACGCGGGAGCCCCGCCCCTCCAGGCTCTGCGTGCGTCAGTGGGCTGCTTCTCCAGGCGCCGCTCCGCCCCAGGATGGCGTCACGACTGTATCTGCATGTGAGGCCCCGCCTCACTCTTTGCAGGACGTCACCGCGGACTGCAGGGGCCTGAGCCGCTACTGCCGCCGCCTCTGCCCCTGTCGCGCAGCCCCACATCAACGCAGGGGGCCCCGTCACCACCGCCGCCAAAAAGTCGCAGCCGCTAGGGTCGCCACCGCATCGGTGCAGGGCAAGGTGAGTTCCGGGGCGGCCTGATTCCCCGCCTCTCCGAACACCTACATAACCTTCATTTGACTGATGGGCTTGCCAGAGTAGGGGACGAGGTTGGCTCGGGTTAAATGGGAAGGATGCGGCGGTCACAGCCCTTGTAGGGGTAGGGCCCTGGCTTCCCCTACCTGCCCGCTGCTCACCCCCACCCCCCACCCCTGGCCTCTGCGGCGGAGGGGGAAGGGAGGCGAGTGCCTTGCGGGAAGCTGTGCGCACGGGAGGCTGTGTGCGTGCGCGTGCGTGTGGTGTGAACACGCGTGTGCGCGCCCGCCTGTGCCAGCGGGTCTGTGTGCATACCCTTTTGCTTATGTACCGGGCTATGCTCGTGTGACCCGGTGGGTGTCCCGACCCCGGTGAGTGCGTGCCGCACGCGGGTGGAAGGAGACGCATGGACTGTGCGTGTGCGTGCACGCCGTGTGCATACGTGCAAGGGAATGCGTGTCCGCGTGGGTGACGTGTACACGCCTGCATGGGTGGAGGGCGCTTCGCGCACGGGTGGGTTTGCACATTTGTATATGCGTGTTGGTGTGCGGACAAGTGTCTGTGTCTCTTTCCTGTGCACCGAATGTATTTGACTCTCGTGTGCACACGCGTGTACGGGTGTGTTCCCTACTGCGTGCACGTGAGCGTGTGCACGCCCCGCCCCTATCACATGACCAGCTGTCTCAGCCCGATCTCTTCCAGCTTCGGAGTCTGGGGGAAGGGGGTGCTGCGACGCACATCCTCGCGGGAACGTACACGCGTGTGCACTTGCGCCCGCGCGCCTCCGATCTGAGGAACATGAATGATTGATGGGGGGCGGGGCCGGCCGCAGTCACCCCTACCCGCTCAGCCTTAGGGGTTAGGATTACAGCTCGATCTGGGGTGAAGGCATGCTGGAGGGGGCTACAGGGGTGTCCCCATCCCCATCTCTCTGAGCTCCTCCCTTGACACTTCCAGCCTTTCAAGGTCACGGCCCACCCTTTGCCATGGGCCCCACCGTTAGTACTGGGGCTCCTGACGAGTTAAGGGTCATCTCTAAACACTAGACCCTCTCAGGGGCTCCGGAGTTCTCTGCACCCTGTTCTTGGGGCTTGGGCAGTTGGGGGCGGAAGGGGACTCCTCAGGCTCACCTACACCCTGCACACCCAGATGGCATCCGCCACAGACTCGCGCTATGGGCAGAAGGAGTCCTCGGACCAGAACTTCGACTACATGTTCAAGATCCTCATCATTGGCAACAGCAGTGTGGGCAAGACGTCTTTCCTGTTCCGCTATGCAGACGATTCCTTCACGCCTGCTTTCGTCAGCACTGTGGGCATTGACTTCAAGGTCAAGACCATCTACCGCAACGACAAGAGGATCAAGCTGCAGATCTGGGTGGGTCCAGCTGCGGAGCTCCTGTCTCTATCAGTTTACCTTCCCAGAAAAGCAGCCCCAGCTTTGCCACTTTCCTGTCTGGATTCGTTCATTCACACCCTGGGCATTTATCAGGTGCCTTCAGTGTATCAGGGGCTGGAGGCCCAGAAGAGAGTGCCCTGTTCTCCCGTGGGTGCCTCATCACTGCTCCCCAGGAGTGGGGAAGGAGCAAATACTGGGTCCTCTCTGCCTGCTGTTATCAAGAGCATCACTTGGCTTGGTACCTCAGTTTTCCCCCCTTTAAGTACTTTCATGAGTCTGTATGAGGTTTCAGCTGGATCTTGGCCCCCAACTGCATTCTCTGGGACAGGAGCAGACACCTTCCCCAGGGTCTACTGGCCACCTCCCTTAACCCCATGGAGGCCCGAAGGAACCTGTTAAATCCCAAGCCACAGCTGTCCCTCCTCTGCTCATGGCGTTCCCCTGGCTCCTACCTGACCTGTCCCCTGGCCTGAGAGACCTTGCCTGGTCTGTCTCCTTCCACCCCCGCCTCCTTACTGTTCCTCAGATGATTCAGGCAGACCCACTTCAGGGCCTTTGCCTTTTGTCTTTCCCCTAATCCCCACATGGTTCCGTCCTCACTTCCTTCAGCTTCTAAAACCATACCCTCGCCCACACTGCCCAGCCTTCTTTGCCCAACTTTATTTTTCCCTTCAGTCTTTTTCACCCTCCAACATAGGATGCATTTTCTTCCTTTTTTGCGTGTTTATTGTCTGTTTCCTGTACTGCGTAGTTGGTTCCACGAGGCAGCAATTCTTGTCCATTTTGTTAACAGCTGTGTCCCCAGGGTGGCACACACAGGTCAGCGCCCAGGTATGTTGAGTGAATGATGGAATGATTCTGTAGGTACCTGCCTCCGGAGGATGGTTGAGCACCATGTTCTCCATGTAGGTGGCCAGCCCGCTTTCCCTGACCCACTGTGCCAGCTCCCTGCTTCTCTCCGGTCCTCAGGGGGGCTGGACTGGACAATCCCGGAGTTGGTTTCCACTCGGAGGAGCTCACATGTGGGGCCTCTCTGACCCGTCTTTTCTTCCCCCCAGGACACAGCAGGGCAAGAGCGGTACCGGACCATCACCACAGCCTACTACCGGGGTGCCATGGGCTTTATCCTCATGTATGACATTACCAACGAAGAGTCCTTCAACGCTGTGCAGGACTGGTGAGCACACCCTACCCCCTCCCAGACGGTCTTTGGTGCTGGATTCTCAGACCTGCTCTCGGTCTGTAATCACTAAAACGTGGTGGCACTGGCTCAAACTAAGGGGGAAAAAGGGTTTCGTTTCAGGTAGAAAAATGAAATTGTAAATGTATAGGTTAAAAAAAAAAAGGAGGGGGCAGAAAATATAAGGATAGTTTGCATAGGATGAAAGGATAGAAACATTTACATTTCTGCCCAAAATAACGGTACATTTTAGGGAAATTTCTGAATTGGCAGAGGAGGGAGAAGTTCTTGTGTCTGGGGGACAGGGATCTGGGAAGGGTGGGCAAGACTGCATGAAAGGGATTTCGAAGGTCAGGGAGCCGTGGGACTGTGTTCATGGCAGGACAGAGGCCAGGAGGAAGGCCCAAGCCTGCCAAGTTCAAGCAATACTGGGGAGGTGGGGTGCTAGAGGGTGCTGAGGGATGGGGAGACGAGAGGTCAGCGGAGCTAGGATCCTCCCAGGCCTAACCCACCCATCACTGTCTCCCCCAGGTCGACCCAGATCAAGACGTACTCATGGGACAATGCCCAGGTGCTGCTGGTGGGGAACAAGTGTGACATGGAGGATGAACGGGTGGTGTCGTCGGAGCGTGGCCGGCAGTTGGCTGACCACCTTGGTGAGTGCCTAGTGGGGCTGCCCACCTACAGGCTACGAAAGGGATGCTGAGGCCCTGAAAAGGGAGGGGACACACCCAAGACCTCCCAGCAAAGCCAGGACAGGGCCTGGATTTGAATCCAGACAATTCACTTTCTCCAAATGGCCTGGAGCCAGGAGCTGGGTCTTGATGGATACATAGGAGTTCGTTGTGCAGTAAGTTACTGATTCACTCTGACACCCTCACTGCTAGCCTTGTGTTGGGTTGCTGGGCCCAAGAGGCCTCATTTTGTGGGGTAGAGGGAGACCCGGGCTGGGGGAATGCATGGCGGAGGGGGGGGTTTGCCTGGTGTAGGTAAGACCTGGAGGAAGGCGCTGGATCTGGTGCTCGAGCAAAGGGTGGTCTCTCAGGCAGAGGAAACAACTTTAGACAAAGGCCGGAGGCGGGGAAGATCCTGGGAGTTTTGGCAAATCATGTGGTATGGCTGGAACTTGAGGGTCATTTGGGGGAAACGTGGCTGATCACGCAGGGCCTGAGTCATATGCCGAAGATCTGGGACTCCTGCAAGGGCGACTGGGAGCCAGAGGGTGTGTAAGCAAGGGAGGGCACAGGTGGATGGAGTGTCAGATGCTGCCAGGGGCCAGTGCACAGGTTAGGGTGGATGGCGGGAGCAGGGAAATAGGTCTTGCCAGGGGCCTGGAGACGAGAAGGGGACAGTTTTAGGGCGAAGGAAGGAGTACAGGAAACAGGGCTGACCTGCTTCCTTGCAGGACTTGGCACCTCTCACAAGTGGTTGGCAGCGGGAATCTCCAGATGTTCCCTGCCCTCAGAGAAGCATCTCTGGGGGGGTGCGGGGGGACCAGGGCCCTCACCCCTCCCTTCCCCACTCACAGGCTTTGAGTTCTTTGAGGCAAGCGCCAAGGACAACATCAATGTCAAGCAGACCTTTGAGCGCCTGGTAGATGTCATCTGCGAGAAGATGTCTGAGTCCCTGGACACGGCCGACCCTGCGGTCACGGGCGCCAAGCAGGGCCCGCAGCTCACGGACCAGCAGGCGCCTCCACATCAGGACTGCGCCTGCTGAGAGCTGCTCCTGGCCCCATCCTGGCCCCACCCCTGCCCACCCCCTGGGCCCGATCCAGCCCCCACTGGCCCAAGGCGTGAGACCCCCCCCCGCCCCCAACTTAGCCCCTCACCCTTATTTATTATCGTAGTTATTTATTTATTTATTGGAGATGTCCCCCAGGGGCTCAGGCTCCCCACCCACCCCATGTCCCGCCCTGTACATACAGCCCTGTCCCCACTCTGCCGTGGCGTGTCGTGGCCCTGTGAACTCACTGCTCACCCTCCTCTCAAGACCCCACCTTTTTTAAAATTCACCCCCAACAACAGTTACCGGTTTTGCAGAGGGGGCCCGATGACCCCCCCCCCCCAGGGCAGGCTGATTGGGTGATGGGAGGTAGTCGGGTCTGCCAGCCTCTCGGCTGTGACACGGTGGGCCAAGGCCACTGTGGGGGTCTCAGCATGGACCATGGGGTGGATCAGAGCCAGGTAATGGCCCGCCTGGCTCCTCACCCCAAAAGTTTTACCCTTATTTGGAGGTGAGGGCTGCTGTGGGTACTCGCCACCCTGGGACCCCCCCCAACACCAGACCTGTTCTGAAGTCATGAGTGTCAAATGTTCCCCCCAGATCCCCAGGAGATGTCATGACAACACTACACACACCCAATAAAGTGAATGGATGACACCGTGTCCCCATGAGTGCCAGCCTGCCAGGGTGGCCTTGGTCATCCACAGGATTTTCAATGACCAGAGAATTTAATAGAATTTCCACAGTCTGTGACCTGAGTGTGAGACTGGAAGCCACCTGGCCCTGCCCAAGGCTCCAGATTCTGGGGGCTAACTCCAAGCTGGGCCCTGCTCCAAGGGGATGGGCTGTGTCCCCACCTTGGGCCCAGGGCCCAGCCCATAATAGTGTTGAGGGGTTGGGGCTTGGGACGGGCTGGCCGGGGCCCAGTGCTGCGGATAGGAACATCTGTCACTGGTTCACGGAGAGCCTGCAGTGAGAAGGGCTCCTGGGTGACCATCTTCATGGTTGTGTTCCAGATGGGGAAACTGAGGTCTTACCCTAGGCTTGGAGGGGGCAGCCCAGCCAGATGCCTAGGGGTAGGGGAGGGGCCAGGACCAGGCCTGGCCTGCTCAGAGTCAGTCCTGCTCTGTCTGGCATCCAGTCAGGAGGGCTGGGCAGCTCAGTCTGCACAGTGCCCAGGGCCACGCAGCCTAGGGGTGGACGGGCCCAGGATCTGTCCGTGCAAGAGGAGTCTGGTCACACACCCCGTTCACCCCTCTGGATTCCTCTTCACCAAGCGAGAGTCCTCACCCACCTGTCTTCTGGCTGGACTCAGTCCTGCGGGGCAGACGCAGCAGGTCCTGGCCGAGGTCACATCAAACAGCAGATAGGGGGCTGGGTCTTCACCCAGCCCACCTGCTATGGTTTGCAGATTATCACAGGCCCAGGAGGACCTCACCCTAGAACGCAGCTGCACCGCCATTTGGGGTTCACACGTGTGGCCCCTGAGGAGCCCCCTGGGTGTCTGGTCCGCCCACCGAGCTCACCCGGTACTTCAGGTAGGAGAGGTACGTGTCCCAGCCCAGCGTCAGGCCATTGATGTAGGTGACTCGGAACTGGGGGGGCACGAAGAGGAAGTTCACCAGCTGGGCAGCTGGCCAAACGCACCAGTCGGCCTGCGGGGAGGGGCGGAGTGTGGTGAGGGGCGGGGCCTTGCAGGGCGGAGGCTGCGAAGGGCGGGGCAGGGAGCGAAGGGGTGGGCGTGGCCCACCTTGTAGAATTCCCAGAACTTGTCCCGCAGCTCCTGGCAGCTCTCATCCAGGGATTGGCCCTCCAGGCAGCCAAGGCCTGGGAAGGAGACCAACAAATTAGAGTGTCTGAGGCTGGGGAGTCCTGGTGATGGAGGAGATGGGGCAGGAACCCTGAGGAACAGTGGTGTCCCTGGCAGACAGACCAAGAAGTTTAAAAGTTCCTTGTGGTGGGAAGGGCCACACACAGCAGAGTGGCTGGTGTAGAGAAAGAAAGCAGAACAAATTGGTTCCAGTGAGGGAGAGGTCATAAATAAACACGTACTCCCCCTTAGAGGCACCTGGGTGGTTTAGTAGGTTAAGTGACCAACCCCTGGTTTCAGTTCAGGTCATGATTTCAGGCTCCTGGGATTGCGCCCGAGTTCGGCTCCGAACTGGGCGTGGAGCCTGCTTAGGATTCTCTCTCTCTCTCTCTCTCCCTCTGCCCTTCCCACCTCCCTCTCTAAAAACAGACAGACAAACAGGCACCGCAAAGGATGAAGATGCACCCTTCCTGAGGCTGAGGCTGTTTTATTTCCTTTCTTTCAAAAAGGAGGAAACTGAGGCTGGGGGGGGGGGCCGGAGTGACACTCTTCCCAGAGCCAAGGGCTGGATGATTGTACCCCATCAACCCCAGCCTCAGCAACTCTTCCTTCAGCCTCAGGGCCTTTGCATGGGCAGTTCTTCATGCCTGCTGGCTCCTTCTTCAAGTCTCAGCTGAGTGTCCTCTCCTCTGGATGGCCCTCCCAACCACTGCCTAGGGCAGCCCCACCTGAGACTGCTTCATCCCTCCTACACTAAGCACCATTGTCTGATTCTGCCATTCATACCTGCCCCCAGTGGGTCTGTCCTGGCAACAATGTGACCCAGCACCCAGTCCAGAGCCACACACAGAAGAGGCCCATCAGAAATGCACGTCAGCATCCCTCTTAACACAAAACGGGCTCTGCCCCTCCTAACACAGGGAAGGACAAAGCCCAAGCTCACAAGGCTCCTTACCCAAGAAGTACCAGACGCCTAGCATGGGAGAGGCCACCAGCTGGTCGACGAGGACCTTCCTGAGGACGTTTGGGAGGCCAGGGAGGCCAGACGCTGGGAGCAGGTGGTCCAGCCAGAGGTACCAGTAATGCAGGAAGGGACCCATACTGCAGCCCACTGCAAACATGCTCGCTGAGAGCAGTTCAAGAGTCAGGGGGGACCAGCAAGCCCCCCAGTCCATTCCGTCCCTGGTTACCCTCCCTCCCTGGTAAACCTGAAGCCCTCCCAGAGCCCACCTGTATGTTCTCCCATTACAAGCCCCACTGCCAGGCACCGTCCCAGTGGCTCCTCTCCCGTATTCTCTCCTCATCCCCTTCACCACCCCGTGAGCGGGTTCTACCATTGCTCAGCTTTCCGGAGGAGGAAACGGGCACAACAGGCTGGAAAGTGCAGGGCCAGGGCACAATCCCAGGCTGGCTGGGTCCAGACGCTGAGCCCTTGACTATCCTTGGTGCAGTTTCCAGTGCTCAGCGCTTGGTCTCAGGGACGGAATAAGGGAAGCGGACGAGGGGGTGGGCGGGAGTGGACGGAAACTGGGCCCGGGAGGAGACAGGGACCAGGAAGTAGGAGGAGATGGAGACCTAGGTTGGGGAGAGGCCTGAGACCCCGGCGCGGGGAGAGGGGACGGAGACCCGAGCGTGGGCTATGAGGGTCCTGGATGCACGCCAACGTCAAGGGTCCCGCCGGGAATTGAGGCCACAGGTCTCCGATTCTGAGGTTGGGGTCAAAAGTCTCCCGGGGTCAAGGGCCAGCAGCGCCGGCCCCCTCACCTGAGCGCCGGGGATCGAACTTCTGGCCAGGCCGGGTGCGGACCTCCCAGGATTGGCGCACGCCGTCCCCGACCGCCATGAGAACACCACAGCCCAGCGTGTTGGTGACGAGCAGCGCACGGCCTTGGAACAGGGGCTGCCCCACGGCCCGCAGGCCGCGCAGCCAGCGCCAGCCGCCAGGAGCCATAGCCCACCGCAACTCAGGACCCGGCGCCGGGGATGCCGTCCCGGTGCCGGCCAATCGCACGCGGTCTTCGCGGTCTGCGCGCCCGCCCCAGTCCCGGGCTCCGGACGTAGTAACCAATAAAAGGCCGGCATCCCATCCCCGGGCCAATCGCTGAGCGAAGCCAAACGCTGCCCTCCGCACTTTACGGACCAATCGCAAATAAGCGTCTCTACGCATCGCGCAGCGGCACTGCCACCCTCGTTTCCCCGCCCCTTTCTGCGCCGGCCTATGGACAAGCGTCGCTGCTCTCTAACAACCCGCCCAATACTGCACTGACCAATCGCAGACTAGCCTTAGGCGGGCGACTCGCGCCGGTTGTCCCGCCTCCCGTGCCGAGGTGGCCAATCTTGCTCGGTCGCCTAGTTGCTTTGCAGATTCTCCGATTCTCTCGGAATTCTTGAGAAGGGATCCGAGCCCCGACGTCGGCGGCTCTTGCGGCGGAAGTCTCGTCCCGCAAACACTCACGGAAGTCGGGGCAGGGTGCATGCAGTTCGGCTGCGCCCTCGGCCCGGTAGAACCCTGGCCCAGCCATTGACCTTGACTGGAGCTGGGTATCTGACCTCAGTTCCAGAATAGTAATAGTTAAAACGTTAGGCACTGTTCTGGGCACGTTACGTGCATTAATTTATTTCACAGGCAGCTCTGCAAACAGCTATATCCCTATACTTTACTTCCTGTGTTCCTGTAGGGGAAAAATAGGAGTTTCCATGGAAACGTATGCGTTACTTACAAGGAACCAGGGTGTCGCAAACTGCGGCCTGTGGTCCAAATCCCGTTGCTGTTCTTGTGAGGCTCAAGAAGTAAAAATGTGTGAAATAGTATAAAATTTCTGGACGTGAAAGAATCCGTTTTGAAGCCCTATTTTCCTTTCCAACGGATGAACTCTTGAACTGGGCCAGAAGCAGCAATAGTTTTACAAGCAGTAGCTCATAAAATTTCAACAGAGCAATTGGCATTCAGATCATATGGAGAAAGTAAAGTTAATAAATACCCGGGACAGTTTCATTTGATAGCACCAGTAAAATTACAATAATCAGAAGTGACTCAACTGGTCAGTGATGTGGGAAACAAAAGGCAAAAGAAAAATTTAATTTCCTTACTACCTACAGCCCACAGACAAGTCCTTGAAACAGGCAGAGTGACATTCCTCTAGGGACTCAGCTGCTGCCTTGATGGTATTATCATTGCTAAGGGCAAAAGGCAATCTTAGCCCGACCGCCAGGATCCTGTAAGTCTACTTTAACGTAAAAATTCCTTCGGAAACTTCCTTTATCTCTATCCCCTACGAGACATGTTGGCAATCAACCCCCAAGCATATGGCCCACTGACATACATCAGAAGGGTCTCATGACTAAAGTTTTACTAGACGGTAATAAATGGCCTTTTCCCAACAACAGCTAGCCCCCTCAAGGTCCTGGAAACCTTGCTTCCAAAATTCCTTAAAGATTTACACTCTCCCTAACCCCCTCCCAACTTCAAAGTATATAATCAGCCACTCCTCATGACCCCAGTGCAACTCTTTCTGCCCGCGGGGTCCTGTCCCTGTGCTTTAATAAAACCACATTTTTACACCAAAGATGTCTCAAGAATTCTTTCTTGGCCATCAGCTTCGAATCCTAATGTCTTTCTTACCTCAGTCAGCACCAAATTAGTAGGGTTTCTTTCTTCTTTATCTAAAGCAGGTAATTACCCCTTCCTTCTTTCTCATAAAAACCCTTTCCCTCCATGAAGGAGACACTTTTCTGGTTACTCTGGAATCTGTGCTCCCAAATTGTAATTCTGAGACCCCGAATGAAACATTTGTTCCTTTTCAGTTTTGCCTCCTTTTCTCAGTTGACAAAAGGTTGGGGAAAAAAATCAATAATATCCTATGACATGAAAATTATTCAAAAATCAAATTTCTGAATCCATAAATAAAGCTATATTGGAACAGAGCCATGCCCATTTGTTTCTGTATTGTTTCCTCTCACTACAATGAGTAGTTGCAACAAAGACAGTATGGTCTGCAACAATGAAACTATTTAACGATGCTCCTTTACAACGAAAGAGTTATTGGGACACTGCCCAGCTCAGTCCGTGGAGCTGGTGACTCTTGATCTTAGGGTTTTGAGTTCGAGCCCCACATTGGGTGTGGAGATTACTTAAAAATAAAATCCTAAAGGTGTCTGGGTGGCTCAGTCGGCTAAGTGTCTACCTGGGATCCTGGGATCGAGTCCCGCATGAGCCTGCTTCTCCCTTTGCCTGCCGCTCCCCCTGCTTGTGCACGCTCATTCCCTCTCTCTCTCACAAATGGATAAATAAAATCTTAAAAAAAAAGGTGTCCATCAGGAAGAAGAACCTTTGCTGTCTGGACCTGTGATATTTAGTGTTTCTGTTGAAAGAGGTCAGGATATGCCACCCCAAAATATGCCGCTCTGGCAGATTGATTTTTTTTTTTTAAAGATTTTATTTATTTATTTGAGAGAGAGAGAATGAGAGACAGAGAGCACGAGAGGGAAGAGGGTCAGAAGGAGAAGCAGACCCCCCTGCCGAGCAGGGAGCCCGATGTGGGACTCCATGTGGGACTCGATCCCGGGACTCCAGGATCATGACCTGAGCCGAAGGCAGTCGCTTAACCAACTGAGCCACCCAGGCACCCCCCGCAGATTGATTCTTTTAAAAGATAGCAAGATGCATAAAGGACATACTGAGCTGCTTTTCTCTTCCTAAGAGCAGGAGAGAAAATTCCCAAGTGGAAGGTGCCCTCCCTGTACCAGGAGGAAGAAACACCATTATCACCAGAGAGGGGGAGTTGAGGCTGAGGGGATCCGGACAAACAGACCTTGTTAAAATAATTTATCTTCCTATAGTCTCTGCATATCCTTTAGTTGCTTTTCCATCATTGTCTCCCTCTGTTGAACCTAGTAAGTAAACACTGAGGCCTAATTACTTCTTGGGTCTCCCTTTTTCTTATAAGGGCCCCTATGGTTTGGTAATGAGGATGGGATCACATTGGCTGGGGTTCTGTTGGCTCTGGGATCTGCCACTGAGAGGTCCTGGGGCCGACGAAGCCAGCAGGTAAGGTAAGAATTTTTACCTCGTTTGCTTTCTGGATCTCTGTCCTTTGGGAGAGGATGGTAAAAATTTCTTTGTCCGTTCCCTCTGGGTTCTGATTGGCAAGAGAAAAGCATTTGTAAGGATTAGTTCTTTGGATCCTTTGTGACTCTTGTAAATTTGGTTTTGGATACCCACTTGTTGATCCCTCCCTCCAGGGACAGCTGTTCCTTTCTGTCTGTCTCCTTTTGTGTGCTGAAAGCTTGGCTTGGCTTTCTGCATGCTGCAAGAGACCAGACATCAGGTTAGGAGCCCTGAGAATATGTTGATGACCAGACAGAAATGGGAGTTGTACTCCTATTTGTGGCTAGGGTCATTGCCAGCTCTCCAGAGAGAGCTGTCTGTCTGTCTTTTGTCTGTCTTTGGGAATGGCTCTGGATCTTGGGAAGAGTGCATCTTTTGTACCCTCTTGGGGGCATCTCTTGTGTCCCTGGTTAGATCATAAAAGGCTTTGGTTTGGGTTTGGGTGCTAGATCACTTGGAATAGGTATACTTTTGGTTTAAAAAAAAAAAAAAAGAATTCAGTAGTGCCAGAAAATTTTAGTTTGTCTGAGCTGAAACCTGATAAGATATTTGAAAGGACTTTTTAAAATCTTTTTTTTTTTTAAGATTTTATTTATTTTTTTGAGAGAAAGACTGAGAGGGAGAGAGCATGAACAGGGGGGAGGGGCAGAGGGAGAAGCAGATTCCCAGCTGAGCAGGGAGCCAGATGTGGGGCTCGATCCCAGGACCCTGGGATCATGATCTAAGCTGAAGGCAGATGCTTAACCAACTGAGCACCCAGGTGCCCCAGGACTTTTTTTTTATTATTATTATTCTTAAAGGAACTCTATGGACAGAAATTGGCCTAATTGAAGGCTAATATTCCCAGGCTGACAGGAATTATTTCCGAAGCTAAAATGGAACTACCTACTCAGAGGACTATTTGGGAACAAATTAGCATGTGAAATCTCTTAAAAGTCTTCTTTGCAAATATTAGTAACTTTTTCCATCTGCCAGAAATACAGTTTGGATTAAACTATTTTTTTAATTTTTAAAATTTGGGGCGCCTGGGCGCCTGAGTGGCTCAGTTGGTTAAGTGACTGCCTTCGGCTCAGGTCATGATCCTGGAGTCCCGGGATCGAGTCCCGCATCGGGCTCCCTGCTCAGCGGGGAGTCTGCTTCTCCCTCTGACCCTCTGCCCTCTCATGCTCTCTCGCTCTCATTCTCTCTCTCAAATAAATAAATAAAATCTTAAAAAAAAAATTGGGGGCGCCTGGGTGGCTTATTCGTTAAGCGTCTGCCTTCCGCTCAGGTCATGGTCCCAGGGTCCTGGGATCAAGCCCCACATCAGGCTCCCTGCTCAGTGGGGAGCCTGCTTCTCCCACTCCCACTCCCCCTGCTTGTGTTCCCTCTCTGGCTGTGTCGCTCTCTGTCAGATAAATAAATAAATAAATAAATAAATAAATAAATAAATAAATAAATAAATAAATAAATAAAATTTATTTAAAAAAATTTTTAAGGCTTTTTATTTTTTTACTTTTAAGTAATCTTTTTACCCAATGTGGGACTCCAACTTAACAACCCAGAGAGCGAGAGTTGCATGCTTTACCAACTGAGCCAGCCAGGTGCCCCTAATTTAATTTTTTTTTTAATGTAAGCTCAATGTCCAATGTGGGGCCTGAACTCATGACCCAGAGATCGAGTCCCATGCGCCACTGACTGAGCCACCCAGGTGCCCCCTCTACTATTTTTTTTAAAGATTAAAAAAAAAATTTTTTTTTTTTAATTTTTAAGTAATCTTTACACCCAACATGGGGCCTGAACTCATAACCCCGGGATCAAGAGTCACATGGTCTTCCAACTGAGCCAGCCAGGCACCCCTCAACTATATTTTTTTAAAATATTTTTTTAAACATGTGAGTTTTGTATTCTTGCACCTGTCTCATGGCCTAAAATTTAAAAATAAGATCTATAAGATCTCTGATTGTATGTGTCTCTATGTTTATGTAATATTTTTCTACCTCCAGAGATATTGCTAAAAAGTAATTGTCAAGAGCTCTATTTAATTGACCTGTTTAAAAAGTGCTTACATAAATTAAGATTAGTCAAACACACTCATTATCTCTGTGTTTAAGATTATAAAACTATAAATTCAACCCTAAGAACAAAACCTAGAATAAAAGTGAATTGTTTAATGTATATCAAGCATGACAGTAAAAAAAAAAAAAGGAGAGAGTTGTATGTTTAACTTTTTAGGTTCTCTACGTCTGTAATTTTTGATACTTGCCTGATTTGTCAACAAGAAAAATAACTTAAGATGATGGCTAGCTGTCTCGTGACTCATGAAATGTTCGTAAGTCATCTAAACATAATTGTTAAAAAGGAGTAAGTTAAATACATGTAAATGGGATAAAAATTTACAAGTGAACTTTTTCTTTTTTTTACATTTTATTTATTTTTTAAATTTATTTGACAGAGAAACAGCAAGAGAGGGAACACAAGCAGGGGGAGTGGGGGAGGGAGAAGCAGGCTTCCACGGAGCAGGGAGCCCCATGCAGGGCTCGATCCCAGAACCCTGGGATCATGACCTGAGCCAAAGGCAGACACTTAACGGCTGAGCCACCCAGGTGCCCTGAGAGAGGCAGGATTCTAAGATGGCCCCAAGATTTCCGCCTCAGGTGTGCATCTGTATGCCCTCCTCCAGTGCAGGTAGATCTTGTCGATATGATAGAATGTGAGTATGATATTACGTTATTTTGCAGGCATAATTATCCTAATCAGTCCATCTAAAGGGAGATTGGTTAATGCTCTCACTGTCTGCAATATATTTCTATTTGTCAGATTCCTAGAGGTGCCTTGGCTGATTTGAGGCAAGAATAGTACCGTTAGTCATAATTCCAGTTATTCCTTAAAATGTTCATTTGGCCAGGATCCCACTAAGTTAGTTTCCTGTGGTCAGTGACACTTTCTCCATTTGTCCCTTGCTGTTTGTGACCTTGGCACTTTTGAGGAGTACTGGTAAGATATCTTATAGAATGTCCCTCAATCTGGTTTGGGGTGATGTTTTCTCATGGTTAGACTGGAGTTCGGGGTCTTTGAGGAAAGTCCCACAGAGACGGAGTGTCTTTTTTTTTTTTAAAGATTTTATTTATGGGGTGCCTGGGTGGCTCAGTAGTTAAGCGTCTGCCTTTGGCTCAGGTCATGATCCCAGGGTCCTGGGATCGAGCCCTGCATCGGGTTCCCTGCTCCTCGGGAAGCCTGCTTCTCCCTCTCCCACTCCCCCTGCTTGTGTTCCCTCTCTTGCTGTGTCTCTCTGTCAAATAAATAAATAAAATCTTTAAAAAAAAAGATTTATTTATTTATTTGAAAGAGAGAGAGAGAGCACGCACATGAGCAGGGGGAGCAGCAGGCAGAGGGAGAAGCAAGCTGAGCCTCCCACCAACCTAGCCACCCAGGCGCCCTGAGATGGAGTATCTTGATTGCATCATATCAGGGCATGTGATATGTACATGGTTTAACATGAGTCATGCTAACCCAGATCACACGGTTAAGGTGATACCAACCAGGTGTCTCCACTGTCAAGTTACTCTTTTTCCCTTTCTCTACTCTTTGGAATCAAGTTACAAAATCAAGTCCCCTCTCAAGGTGCTGGGGGTGGCGGAGGAGTTAGAATTAGGTTCCTCCAGAACCCGAAACACCTATATACGTGATTTGACCAGCCAATTTCCAGAAACTAAGTTTGGCTTTTGGGAGCCAATGCTTGCAAAATCCTCACAGGAAAACTGGCTTGTACCTGGCTGGCAGGGTCAGTCTTATAGGTTGGTCCTGGTCAACTAAGATTCTTGTGCTACTTTAGGGATGTCCAGAGTAGAGCAATTTTCCAGAAGGAGTAGATACTGCAAATGAAACCCAGTGGCGTGGTGAAGTTTCTTGCCAGGAGTTAACAGATGTTAGAGGTTTTTAAGAGTCCAAACTTGAGATTCCTTAAGGAAACTCCCAGCAAAGCAAACTGAATGCCTGCTGCCTTTGTGTAAATAATCAGGGCATATCCAGTGAGCCCTGCCAAGGAAGGTCTTCCTTTGAGATTACTTTGAACAAAATGGTCAACTCAAATATTATTCAGCCATTAAGAAAAGGAAGGAAATCCAGCTAATCATGACAACACAGAGGAACCTGGAGGGCATTATGCTAAGTGGAATAAGCCAGGCAGAGAAAGACAAATACTGCGTGATCTCACTTCCGTGTGGAATCTAAAAAGACAAACCCATAGAAACAGAAGAACATTGGCTGCCAGGGGCCGGGGGAATGGGGAAAATGGGTTGGTCAAAGGGTACAGACTTTTATTATAAGATGAGTACTTTCTGAGGCTCGAACGCACAGCATGGTGACTCTAGGTAACGGTACCATATTGTGTACTTGAAAGTTGCTGAGCCAGGAGCTCTGAAGTGTTCTCATCACACACACAAAAAGGTAACTATGTGAAGTGATAGAGGTGTTAACTCGATGGTGGTAATTGTTTCAGGATATATACACATACCCAATCATCACATTGTAGATCTTGAATATATACAAATTTCTCAATTATATCTCAATAAAGCTGGGAACACCCCCTCTTTCTTTTGTCTTTAGCTAAGGATGGTATTTAAAGTGGTGGCTTAGGGGCACCTGGGTGGCTCAGTCGTTAGGCGTCGGCCTTCGGCTCAGGTCATGGTCCCAGGGTCCTGGGATCAAGCCCTGCATCGGGCTCCCTGCTCTGCAGGAAGCCTGCTTCTCCCTTTCCCACTCCCCCTGCTTGTGGTCCCTCTCTCGCTGTCTCTCTCTCTGTCAAATAAATAAAATCTTAAAAAAAAAAAAATAGTGGTGGCTCAGGGCGCCTGGGTGGCTCAGTTGTTAAGCGTCTGCCTTCGGCTCAGGTCATGATCCCAGAGTCCTGGGATCGAGTCCCACATCGTGCTTCCTGCTTGGCAGGAAGCCTGCTTCTCCCTCTCCCACTCCCCCTGCTTATGTTCCTGTTCTCGCTATCTCTCTCTCTGTCAAATAAATAAATAAAATCTTTAATAAAATAAAAAATAAAAAAATAAAGTGGTGGTTTAGGGGGCGCCTGGCTGGGTCAGTCGGTGGAGCATGTGACTCTTGATCTCCAGGCTGTGAGTTCGAGCCCCACGTTGAGTGTGGAGATTACTTAAGAATAAAGGGGCACCTGTGTGGCTCAGTCGTTAAGCGTCTGCCTTAGGCTCAGGTCATGATCCCGGGGTCCTGGGATCGAGCCCCGCATTGGGCTCCGTGCTCAGTGGGGAGTCTGCTTCTTCCTCTGCCCCTCCCCACTGCTTGCATGCACGCACTCTCTCTCTCTCACTCACTCCCAAATAAAATCTAAAAATAAAATAAAATAAAAAATCTTAAAAAAGATAAAGTGGTGGCTTGGGCCACTTTGGGGAGTTTTACTCAGTTCTAGTGGGTATTTCCCATGTATTCATGAGGTATGCCTCCCTCTGGCCCATATCTGCCCAACTCCTATCACCCAGTGTGGCGTCTGCAAAAGGGAGTAGTTACGGCTGTTTGTTGAATTACTGAATACGTCTTCTGCCTCATGAACTCCTAGTCACCCTTCAAAACCCCAGCCCCAATGCTCCTATTCCCTAAGCAGAGCCTTCACTTCCTCTCTGGGCTCCTCCAGCCCTGGTGCCTCCCTCTGGCCCGTGTCTGCTCCCCATGGGGCGAAGAGTGTCTCTCTGACTCTGCCTCTCCTAGAAAGGGGACTTCTCAGGGGGGTCCCAGCAGCGTGTCGGTCCAGGGGGACTTGCTAACTTATCAAAGGGATCACAAAATCCAGAAGAAGTGTTTATTAAACTCATTCAATGTAGCACCATTCTCAGTGGGGCGAGATGCTTGATCTGGGGGCCGGATTCTGAGTCTGGGCTTTCATGGAATGTGCAGAAGTTATCTGGATGATGGCAAGCAGCTGCTGAGAGTCAGGGATCAGGAAAGACAGGGACAGGTGCCCTCTTGCTCTTCCTCCAGTAGCTCCTTCTCGGGCACCAGCTGTCACTTGAAGGAGACTTTCCTCTGGGAGCTGGCCACGGGTTGGCAGACGTCTGGCTTCTCACCCTGGAGGAGACGGCCGTGAGCTGGGGGTCCCGAAAGAAGCCGCTGCCCACCCGCGCCCCCAGCGGATCCCTCCGGTCCCCTTCCAGCTTGCCTGGTACAAGTGGCAGACGAGGCTCAGGAGCTGACTCGGATCTTTCAGGGGTTTCTGCACGAAGCAAGACAGGAAGTCATCCAGTCCCACTTGCCCCCCCACCAACCCGTGTCCGACCCAGAAGGGGCTGCAAATGGCCCCAAGTCTGGCCCCTGCCTCCCAGACCAGAGGGCACATCCGTCATCCTGGTGCTGGCGCGTGGCCATACCGAGGGCTAGAAAAGTTCTTACCCCATTGACGACGACCCAGGGCACATACTCGTGGGGTGGCTGCAGGGCATCTGTAAGCTGGGCATTGACGTGCAAGAGCTGCATGCCACGGTCCCCCATTGCACACGCCATGATGGTGTCCGGGGACACATCTGGTGCATAGATCTGCAGGCACTGAGGGTGGACAAGGGTTGCTGGTTGAGCGGGAGCATTGCCTCAGCTTCCTCTGTGTTATCTCCCCAATGGTTCCTCCTCCAGTACCCGCAGGGCCAAGCTTGTACCTTCCTGGCAACAGGAGACATTTGGGTGCACAGCATAAACAGCATGTGCTTAACACTTACCTGAGTGGAGACCCACAAGGCAGGGGCTCAGGCTGCTCCTGAGTCTCAGAAGACCAGACCTGCAGCCCCGGACCCCTTACGGTATCTCATTTCCCTCAGAGCTTCCGTATGTGCTGTTCCCTCTACCAGGAACACCCTTCCCCTTCCTTCCCCAGAATCTTCCGAGTGCTCCTTCTTCCTCTGCCCTCCTCTGGCCCCACTATGACTCTGCAGGGCTGGGGGTGTCCCAGGGTGAGCCTTTCGGGTGGTCCAGATGTTTGATGAATGAATCAACTACTGGTGTCAATGAGTCACTCCACTGGGAGGTGTTTTTCATAATCCTCCAGAGAAGTAGGTGGGCCTGTCCTGTCATCCCTATATCCCAGAGGAGGATCATCATCTGTGTCCCTGAACATTTCTGTCCATCCAAGACCAGCTCAGAGGCACCTCCTCCAGGAAGCCCTCCTTGATCTACCCATGCTCCCCCAAAGATCTCTGTTCCCTTCCTTCAGAGATTTGAGGCGTCCAGAGGGAAGGCCATTTTTCTGGGGCTACACAGAGAGTGGTGGTCAGGCCAGGACCTGAACCTGGGTCTGTCTGGGAACAGGGAAGGCCAGGGTCTCCCAACCTGGGGCCAAGTGAGGGGTGTTGCTCACCGGTTTCAGATTTTTCTCCATGTCATCCATTTCCTCCATGCAGACAATGGTCAGGATGGCCAAGTTCTTCTCTAGCTGGTCCCACAGGCAGGCCTGTGGGATAGGGGGTGGACAGGCAAGGGCATGAAGCGGGCCCAGAGCAGCCCTAGGCCACTCTGCGAGTGATCACGGGTGTTCACCTAATGAAGCGGTGAACGGAGATGTGATTACAAAGGCACACAGGCAGAGGATGGAGCTGCTTCCAATCCCTTCTGAGCCTGGCTTTTTGCCTTCCTTACGATGGGCAGTCTCCCTCCCCCCCCCACCTCTGTGCTCCCACCACTCAGGTACCTTGGGGGCTGCTCACCTCCACCTTGTTCAGCTTGCATTCCTGCTCACCGTGCTGGCATGTGAACTCCCACCTGCTGCTGACATTTTGTTCCTGAAAGGCAGCTAGGTGAGTGCTGGCACCAGGTGCCCCCTTCCCTGGCCTAGTGCCTCGGTTTCCCCAGGACCAGCATACCTGGGCATTTCCATAGGGCACCAGTGTGACATTGAGGATCTCTAGGACCATCAGCCAGGTCGGGAAGAGTTCTCGGACCAGGAAGGCCCGGCAGCCGGGGCACAGCGTCTCGTAGTAGACGCTCACGTTGACAGGCGGGGCTTGTGACTTCCTGGGGCACAGGTCCCCAGCCTGTGCGAGAGGGAGGAAGGGGTGTGAAGGGAGCATCGCCCTGCTTGGTTCTCTTGCAGCTACAAACAGTAGGTGCTCCATCTTGCACTCCTTTCAGACGGTGCCAGGTAAAATCCTGACTCTCAGGCTTTACTGCATCCCTCAATCTTCCTCAATCTCAGTTTTGTTTTGTTTTTTTAAGATTTTATTTATTTATTTGACAGGGAGAGACACAGCGAGAGAGGGAACACAAGCAGGGGGAGTGGGAGAGGGTGAAGCAGGCCTCCCCCAGAGCAGGACCCTGGGATCATGACCTGAGCCGAAGGCAGACGCCTAACGACTGGGCCACCCAGGCGCCCCTCAATCTGTTTTTCCGCAAGATGGATGTGACAAAGACTTGCAAACAGTAGGCACTTAATTTATGAACAGCTCTTGCTTTCCTTCAGTTGAGGTGAAACCCCTCGCCCAGGGGAAATGTATGCAGTAAGGACTCAACGCATGCACATTTCTGGTCACTGCTCTCCATCCTGCCTTCTCGGAGATGCATACCACAGGAGACTAATGCATGCTCATTTGTTGCCACTTCATCCCCAGAGCCTTGGCCCTGAGCTGAGCGAGGCCCTACACTTGGGCTGACCCCTTATTTATTCTTCCTCTCAAGGGGCCCAGGTGAACCCCCTCCGAAGCCCTACTGCTGAGGCGGCGCCTAATATGTGCTGACTTCCGGTTTCAGCTGCCGGGCGGCAGGCAGCCAGCGCCGGTGCAGGCGAAAGCAAGTGGCTCAGCCTCCGGGCCATGCGCTTGCCCCGCACCACAAACACGCGAGCTCTTCCCTGGCCGAAAGGCACTCGGGAAGCAGCACCCGGAGGGTCGGTGCCACGGGCCCACTTCTCTGGGCTTCCCCTGCACCCCGAAAGGAAACTCCTTCCCGCCCCAGATGAACACTGTAGGAGCTCAGCGCACCCTCGGGCGGGGCGGGCGGGGACGGGGTGGGGGACAGCTGAGTGTCAGACGCGAGATGGGGAAGTGAAACGACTCGGATTGGGGCCACAGCGCCGGGGGGTTTTCGGTGCCGACCCGGGGCAGCGTCCCCCCGCCCCGAACCCCGCTCTTTCCCGGCAAAATCTGGGGAGAGGGGAGGAGCCGCCGCTCCCGCAGCACCCCGCTGCCCGGGCGCCCGGGCCCGCTGTCCCCATACCCGCCGCGTTGCCGTCCCTACCTCGCAGGCGGCCGCCCCCTCGGGGAGGGTTTCCAGCGGGGACGCCCGCGCCGCCGCGGGGACCTCCGGCGGCAGCAGCAGCAGCAGCAGGAAAGGCAGGAACGGAAGGAGTGGCGACGAGGCCATCACAGCGGAGCGAGGGAGCGGAGGCTGGAGCAGCGGCCAGGCAAGGAGCCGCCTTTAACCCGGCGGTGGCCCAGCCCCCCCCCCGGCCGGACCCGCCTCCCGGGGGCCCACGCCCCTGGGGGCTGGGTCGGGCGTCCCTCGGGGTCGGCTGGCCTGCCTGGGCCCCCTTCCAACCTGGCCCGCATCCTCACTCCCGCCAGGTGCCGGGCCCGAAGTCACGAGGCCGCGGCGCCGCCCTCCCCCGCGCCCCCCGCGCCCCCCGCTCCGACCCCTCCGGGCCAGCAGGGCCGCCCGGTCATGTGAGGCTGGGGCCAGAGCGCCGCGAGCCGAGATTAGGTGGCGGCTTCAGAGACACGGAGACAGGGACGCAGAGAGAGACGGGAGGGTCTCGCCGCGCCCGCCCCGCGGACCGCCCTGGGGGCGGCCGGGGTGAACCAGGGCCCCCCCCCCCCCCCCCGTTCCTAGCGTGGGCACCTCGCCTCGCAACCCTGCCCTCTTACGGCGGCTGATCCCCTGCCGGAGAGTGGGCCCCCTCCCGCCACCTGCCCCTGGCGCCCCCTCCTCGTCTCAGGCTCCCCAGCCCCGACGCTGCAGTCCCACCAAGCGTGGTCGCGCGGGGCTGACTCAGGCGGCGCCACCGCTGAGCGAGAAGCAGAAGCCAGCGCCGGTCCTGGCGCTTCTTGGTCCTCGCAGCCCTCGGGGGCGGGGGTGGGGGGCATAAAGAAAGCTGGCTCCTCCTTTCCAGCATCCAAAGCTGGAGGGGGTGGGGGTGGGCGTGGGGGTGGGCAAGCAGGCCCGCAGGGAACTCCCGCGGGAGGAGAGAAGCCCCGGGTTGGGGCAGTCATTACCTGAAGCCTATACTGTGTACAGGGGGTAGGCTGGGGGGGTTGGGGGTGTGGGGCGCAAACCTGCTGGAGTCACCTGGACCCGGTTTGCCTCTGGATCGTACTGGGCACCTCAGGCGATGGACCCTCAGCTTCCCTTTCTGTCAAATGGGGATAAGAGTGAAGTTTGGGGGGGCGCCTGGGTGGCTCAGTCGGTTAAGCGACTGCTTTCGGCTCAGGTCGTGATCCTGGAGTCCCGCATCGGGCTCCCTGCTCGGCAGGGAGCCTGCTTCTCCCTCTGGCCCTCCCCCCTCTCATGTGCTCTCTCTCTCAAATAAACAAAATCTAAAAAAAAAAAAAGAGCGAAGTTTGGGGAATAAAGCCACAGGGAGGGCTCAGAGCCAGAGGGAGAGTTGCCCCAGGCTGGGGTGGGGGTGGGGGGCACCGCTGGAAAAGTGTTGGCCCAGGACAGTAACCAGGCAGAGAATAGCCCGCCCAAAGGCGTGCAGGCTGGGATGGTGAGGGAGTAACCCAGATGTTCAGACTTTGCAGGGCCTCAAATGCCAGGCGTGACACAGGACCTGATCCCATGGGAGGAAACGCCCACACCTGGCCCAGATTGTATCAGAGGCCCCAGCTCCCCCGCTCCTGCGTCTTCTTCCGGAGTGGGGGAAGTCCCCGCTCATTTGATTGTCTGGCCCTCAAGAGACTTCCCCTAGGGGGTGGGAGAAGCAACTATTGACCCTACTTGGTCAGAGGAATCTGAGGATCAGAGGTGGGGGATGACCTTCCCAAGGAGACACGGCTGGTGGTTGAGAGCAGACACCTGAGGACGCCATGTGAGGACACGTGGGCTGTTATCTTCTGTCTGCAGGCTCAGCCGGCTGGGGTCATGGGATCTAGAAAGTGACCTTTATCCTGTGTCCCCCTGTGTCTCCCTGTAGGAGTGGGTGAAGCCTGCAGGGCAGGCAGCATCTGGGCTGGGGTTACTCGTGGGGCACCTCCTGACCTGGGCACACAGCAGGGGCAGCACCTGGAAAGGCCCGCGGGCTCTGAGGCCAGGGGAGGCAGCTCCGTTCCTCTGAGAGCCCAGTGGGGGAGAAATGGATCAGAGGGCAGCTTTGTTCATTTACCCCCGGCTGCCATGGGCATGCTGGGCCCTGACAGGTGCGGTATGGGGAGAGGAGAGGGCCAAGGCTTAGTCTTCTAAGGAGGGAAGGGCCGAGAGACGGGGACCCTGGGGAGAGGAGGGTGATGAATGGTCCAGGTCAAAGACACCATGAGGCCCCAAGTCGATGTCCCCTGGGACCTGGCAGCCTGGCTGTCAGGGGCAGGTGTGGAGAGAGGGGGTCAGAGGAGAGTCAGCGGGGAGGGGCCGGCACTGAAGGCATTAAGGACATGGGGGCCCTCTCTGGGCAGCAGGGGAGGGGTCGTGCTACTGACCCCACCTGGTAATGAAGAAGCTGCACATCAGAGGGGAGGGGACTTTCCCGAGAGCCTGGCTGGTGGCTGAGTGCTGGGACTCAAGCCTGAGGGGCCGGGGCGGGGGTGCAGCCTGGGCACTGGTGAGAAGCTGGGTTGGAGTCTGGAGTGCCTGGAGCAGGCCATGCTGTAGGGCTGAGCTCAGGGTTTGAGCCTCTCTGTCCTGGCACCTTGGGCAGGTCTCTCACCTTCTCCGGTCACAAGCAGCTAAACTGGGTGGTGGTGGTGGGGGGTGAGGGTTGTCGGCCTTCCTTGGTTCCCTGGAATTATAAACCCAGGGGCCAGATCTGTGTGACCCTGGGAATGCCGGGGTCCCCAGCACACCGTGGCCTTGGAGAAGCCCCGCCATCAACAAGAGAAGCATCCACATGTTCCAGGTTTTATATCCATATCAATATCAACGTACCATACAAAAGCTGCCCGCCAGCCTAGCTGGGCAGGCAGGAGGGGGGGTCCGCGGGTAGTGTAGAAAACCAGGGCTCTCGTCCCACAAGAGGAGAGAAAAAAGGGCTTTACAGTCAAGAAAAAATACAATCAGAACCTAACATGATCGGGGAGAAGCCTTGAGCCTCCATCGAGTGGAAGTGCTGTGGGCAGTGGTGCGACTGGCATGCGGGCAGCCCCGCTTCTGGGAGGCCTGTCGCCGGGTGGGGCCGGTTCCCCCGTTTATTTTTAATTCTTTTCTTTTTGGGGGGTTACTTCTTGGCAGTGGCCCCTTTTTGGGGACAACCAAGTGGTGGTTTCACTTCAGGGTTTGGAGGGGAAGTTGGGGTCTGTGGGGCGGGTCCCGCCCGGCCCAGAATATCCCGGCCGAGGTGGTTCTTAGAAGTAGCCAAGTAAAGTTCCTTCCTGCCGTGACCCCAGGTCTATGGCTTAAAAATCGGGGCACCCAGGCTGGGGCCGCACAGCCCAGGGGCCTCTGTAAACATGGCAGGTGCGGCCAGGTGGGTCTTCGGGGACCCTGGCGGGGGGGGCGGCTCTGGTGGGCAGGGCATGGCGTTCGGGGTGGCCCGAGGGCGGTGCCCACGGGAGAGGGGCGTATGGGGCCGGGGAGGCAGGACCCCCAACCCGGAGACACGGAGGGACAGAGAGGAGGACAGACGGACGGGGAGGGGAGGAGACAGAGTGACAGGGAGAGACGGAGAGAGGCTCAGACAGAGAGAAATGGAGAGAGAGACAGACAGACAGACGGAAAACCCCAAAGACGGAGCCCTCCAGGCCGCGCAGGGGCGCCTCGGCTGGGCGCGGGCGCGCGGCCGTCAGCGGGCGGCGGGCGGGGGCCCGGGCCCGGGGGCGCGCACCGGGTGGGCGAGCGTGACGGCGAGCGCGTCGTTGTGCTGCACTAGCGAGGCGTGCTGGTAGTGCAGGACCAGCTCCTTCAGCGAGCCGTACAGGTTGTAGGGCTCCGCGAAGCCGAAGCCCGTGGCCGTGCGGTAGATGACGCAGTGCTTGGTGTCGCCGTCCACCCTGCGGGCGCAGGCACAGGGGCCAACGGTCGGGGGGCTGGCGGCGGCTCCCGCAGGGGCTCTCCCCGCTCCTGCTCTCCCCTCCCGCCCCGCAGGTGACCTCTGCTCGGGACTCGCATCGCCCCACTTCCCGGACCCCAACCTGGTCCAGATGCCGGCACGTCCTGCCCGAACGCTGCCCTTGCTTCCTCCCTCGCCCCCCAACAAGCCCTCGGGCGGGCGGCAGCCATGGCGGCGGCGGGCGGGCGGGGCTCCTTCCTGGCCGTTCTTCCCAGAGTCCAGCCCACGGCAGGTGCTCCATGAGAGCGGTCAGGAGTGTGCAGACCCCCCAGCCCCCCGCTCGCTCTGGGCGCCCCCACCAGGCACTCACACCACGGAGCAGGCATAGCAGCCCCGCTGGCTGCTCTCCCGGATGAGGAAGGTACCATCCCGCTTGCCACTCAGCATTTCCTCAGCCTGTGTCCGGTTGATCTTGCCCACATACCACGTGCGTTCCTCATGGTGGGGGAGGTCATCCTCATCCTCCATCAGCGCATACTGGCTGTGCGGGAAGCAGGGAGGGGACCCGGTCATTCACCCCCCCAAGCCTCTGAGGCTCCCCGGCCGCGTGGACGACGCTCCTTCCCTGGTGAACTCCTACTCATTCTGCAAAACCCATTGAAAACGGTCCCTCCTCTGGGATGCCTTCCCTGGCCCCCATCAGGTAGGTGTTCACTTACTCCTCAGTCTCATTTTTGATCCCCAACCACTCGTTGATTTTCTTCTGTCGGGCGCCCTTCTGGGTAAGCCACCTGGAGGAAGAGGAAAGGTGGGCTCGTTCCGCTCTGCTGGTAGGGGAACAGAGGCTGTAGCACAGGCCCGCTAGCCCAGGGTGGGCCAGTGCAGCCTGGCCGGAGCCAAGGGAGGACGTCCGAGGGCCGGTTCTCGGTGCAATGCCGCCAGTTGCCACGAGGGGTCAGCCTCGGCTTGGTCAAGGAAAGCTTGAACCTGGGGGCCTTCCAGGGAACGCCCTACTTATTACTGTGTGTCTGTTAACTCTTATTGAACCCCCAGAATGCGCCATTCCAGCAAGGTCTTTATCACTACCAGAGGCTTAGGACTGAGGGCTGCACGGCAGTGTGCCTTCACACAGGGCAGCTGTCTGTCCTGTACCTCAGTTTCCCTCAGCTGTTAAGGGGCAACTTTATTTTATTTTTTATTTTTTTTTAAGATTTTATTTATTTATTTGACAGAGAGAGAGAGATCACAAGTAAGCAGACACGCAGGCAGGCAGAGGGAGAGGGAGAAGCAGGCTCCCCGCAGAGCAGGGAGCCTGATACGGGGCTCGATCTCAGGACCCTGGGATCATGACCTGAGCCGAAGGCAGACTGCTCAACCGATTGAGCCACCCAGTCGCCCCAAGGGGCAACTTTACAAAGAACTTTGAGAAGACAGAGTGAGCTCATGTGCACAGGGCACCCAGCACAGAGCCTGGCGCATGGCAGGGCCGTGGAGGCACCTAAGGCAGTGGTTCAGCGGGCAGGGGCGGGATTTGTGCCCAGGCTGGCGCTGCTGGGGCCCTAGCATGTGCGGGGTCATACAGCTGGCATTCACGGAGTGGATCCTGGTGGAGGCTCCCAATGACCCAGCCCCGTGGGAGCAGTGGTCCCATTTCACGGACAACTAGGAGGCTGGGGCCAACCCATAGGGAGCCCTGCCGAGGGGGCCAGGAGGGGCCTGATTGAGAGGGAGGGGGCTCGGGGACAGGTGAGGGGTCTCAGGGGCAAGGTGGGGCCACTTGGAGAAAACACTAGTGAGACACTGGCAGAGATCACCTCACCAAATGGCCCTGAACCGAGGGGCCCGCAGGTGAGCCTGGAGCCAGGCACTCACACGAGGTACTGGTCTCGGATCTTGCGCAGCTGCATGAGGTCTGGCTTGAGGCTGTTCATGCGCTTGTCGATCTCTCGGTTGTCTGAGGCCTGTGCCCGCAGCTCGTGCTCCAGCTTTGTGCGACTCTCATGGATCTCGGCGATGCGAGACTTGAGCCGCTCGGAGTTCAGCAGGATCCTGTGGGAGGAGCGGCTCTGAGGCCTCAGATGGCTCCCAGCCTCTAAGCCTTTGCACATGCTGATTTCCCTGATTTCTTTTTAGTGAACTCTTATTCATCCATCAAAGCCCATTTCAAATGACCCCCCCTCCTGGAACTCAGGATGCCCCATGTTTCCTTTCTTTCCCCACTTGCACTGCCCCAGATCAGGGTGGGGCAGGGCAGGGCAGGGCAGGGCAGAGGAGCTGACTCACCTCTGCATCTCTTTCTCATTGCCCTCACGTCGGAAGCGCTCCAGATATTCCTTGCTACACTTCTCTTGCGTCTGGCCCTGCTCTTCAAAGATCTTGATGGTCTCATTGAAGGCTTCAATTGCTGTGCGCTTCATCTGCAGTTCCTGCGGGAAGGGGGTGAATCTTAGTTTCTGACAAGACTCCTTACAAGTCCCTCATGAGGGATGAAGGCAGATTCCAACTCTAATATGGAGACTTTGCTCAAGCTGTTCCCTCTATCAGGTGCATTATTCCTCTAGCTCCTACTGTACTGAACAAACTCCTATTCAGCCTTCAGAACCCCATTCCCCAAACCCAGTCTTCCTTTAGATCCTCTTTTGGGTACCTTACCAACAACTGGATCTGTTAGCACTGCTGGGAATTAAAGACAAATCTAGTTCTGACATACAGTTCGTGGGGCTCCCTCTCAGGGTAGATGCTTCACGGAGTACTTTCTATACATCATCTTGTAGAACCTGCCAATAGCCTCCTACAAAGTCAGAACTATTAATGGGGAAACCGAGACTCGGGGACCCTACGTCACTGCCAAGATTCTGATGTTCATAACCAATCCCAGACAGGCATCTTGTCTACTCAGAGCCTCCGTTGATCCATCGGGTAAAACGGAGACAAGAAAGAAATTTCTTGGGGATAACAGGGGGGATGGAGGTATTCTCTGCCTGAGATGGGACGTTTTGTCTGAATAAGCTACATCCCGACTTACGAAAGTAATTTATTTATTTATTTATTTATTTTTACGAAAGTAATTTATTAACAGAGTCCTCATGTGATAAAGCCGTCCTCCCCCTTCCCTGTTTTAAAAGACGCTGCCCTTTCCCATGACCTCCTGACTCTTTGTCTCTATCAACTCTTGTCAGGTTATTAGGTAGCACTTTGAGTAACATCCAGGTTCAAGGGCAGGGAGAAACAGACCATGGCCCCAGTTTACAGTTCCACATGGGGCAAGTGAGGCCCAGGGAGCCACAGAGGCTCAAGGAGACACCTAGGTCCCGACTCAGCTGCTCCCAGGGGGCTGGCTGGTGCTTTCTCATCAGTTCTTTCTTTCTCTCTTTTTTTTTTAAACACTGATTTGTTTTTAGGGCAGCCCAGGCGCTACATGGCTGCTCTGTGACCTGGAAGCAGATGTCTGTCCCCAGGGCCTCGCCACTGCCCCTCCGTGCCTGTGGTACCTGGGAGGAGCGGGTGTACTCTTCATAGAGCTGGTCATACTCGCGGCTCTTATCCTGGTACTGCTGGTGGTAGACTTTGAGCTGGGCACCCACCGCCTCCACACTGTCCTCCTTGACGATCTGGTCCTGGGGACACCCGGTGTGATCAGAGAAGCTGCCCGGGACACTTAGGCCCGAGGCTGGCGCCGCCCTCCCTGGCTGCCACTCCCCGGGCCACAGACCTGCTGGTACTTGGACACGGGGTAGAGGAGCCGGGTGTCCAGCTTGGCATTGTACTGGGCCAGTGACTCATGGCGGTAGTGGGTGATGAGGTCCACAACGGAGCAGAAGGTGAGTGGCTCTGAGAAGCCATAGTGCCCGTCGCGGTGGAAGACCTTAATCAGCTTGTTGTTCCCGCCTTTCCTGGGGTGCGGGTGGGGAGGGGTCAGCAGCCAGGGGGACCCCCAGCCATCCTGGCTGACACTGCACATTTCCCACTCCCCATGCCACCCCCGGTCCTTCTGACCTGGTGGCGTCCCTCCCAGCTCTCACACCCAGTCACCCCCTGAAGGGACAGGCCCCCACCTGAGGGTCAGTGTGTACTCCCCCTGGATCTTGCTAGACGCATCTCGGACCAGAAAGGTGCCATCAGGCGTGTCCCGGAGCTTCTCATTCACCTCCTCTCTGTGGGGACACCCAGGATTGGGATGCCCACCCAGAGACCCTGCCCTTCAGGCCCTGCCCGCCACGTGGCCCCATCCCACAACCCTACCTGGAGATGTCACCCCAGTACCACTCAGCGTCCTGCAGGGAGGGCGGGCTCCCCCCATTGGCCAGGCCTGCAGGAGCAGGCTTTGCCTTGGGAGGTTTAGGCGGCAGAGCTGGGGGACAGGAAAACAAATGCATATTGAGTACCGACTGTATACTGTGGCTGGCTCCTACTGCAACAGAGCCTGTGGATACCGGCAGGGCCCCAAGTCAGCATTCAAGGCTCCCGACAATAAGAGATAATACGGGGAGGGGGGGGGGGTCACCTGGGGGTGCGACCTCCTGCTCCTCCAGATGTTCCTGAAGCAACTTCTCCACCAGCAGCACCGGGAAGTCAGGGCTGGACTCAGTCCTGGGGGGAAGGGGAGTGTAGTGTGTGGGGCCTGACGTGCACCCGGTCCTGCACTATGTGTGCACGCTTGGGGCAGATGTACGGGAAAGCACGGGTAGGGAAGAAGGGCAGACGACAGGCAGGTGTAGGAGGCCAACTCCTGTTTATGTACATGAAGCGAGCACTCAATAAATGTTCATACAACGAACGCATAGAGGCCAGCACCTGCGGTGTGTGTGTGGGGGGGTGGTGGGGAGAAGTGAAGGTACGCGTACCCCTCACGTGCCTTCTCTCTGGTCTAGGTCTCATTCCTCCGTCTCAGGCCTGCTGGGGTCTTCCTGGAGCCCAGGTCCCAGCCTTGCTATCCTATCAGTCCTGCTATCACAACAGTTCTGGCCTCTTACCCCCAGGGCCCTGTTCATACTCCTTTAAGTGGGTCTGGACTCCCGCCCGGGGCCAAGGCTCCCGGCCCTGCCTCCATTTAAAGCCCCGCCCCTCGCTCGGCGGGCCGGGGCCCCGCCCCCTCCGGCCGCTCACCCGTCGGGCGCGACCCCTGGCGGCGGCGAGGGAGGCGGCGCGCGCAGCAGCAGCGGCCCGAAGGTGGCGCCCAGGGCTCGCACGGCGGTGCCCTGAGCGGGAGCGCGCCGGGCCACCCGGCCCAGGTGCTGGAGCAGGAAGCGCAGCGTGAGCGCGCGGTGCAGCGGCAGCGTCGGGGGCTCCAGCGCCGGCCCCACCGGCCCCGCGGGCTCTGCGGACAGACGGCCAGGGCAGGGTGAGCCGGGGCCGGCGCCCGTCCGCCCCGGCCCCCTCCCCACCCGGGCTTCCCGCGAGGCTCACCCCGCAGGGCCCGGCGCGCCTCGGCCGCGGCCTCGGGAGTCACGAGGGGCGCGGGCAGTGCCAGCAGGAAGCCCTTGACGCCGTCTGTCAGGGCTGCGGTGTCCCACTGCTCCACGTCGCTCAGGGACCAGTCTGCGGGTGCAGGGGGACATGTCGGTCGTGATGTCCAGGCCGGCTGTCCCTCCAACCCCTGCCCATCGAAGCTTCCCCTCACCTGTGCGCAGGGCGGGCAGCTCAGGCCTGTAGAGGGATTCGCTGTCTAGCCCTGGGGAGAAAGGGGAAGGGGTGGTTCAGCTCTACCCCAGGTGGCAAGCCCAGCCCTCAAAGGCTTCCTGGAGCCCTTGTGGGGCCTGGGATGGCTACTCAACCTCCCAGAGATAATTGGGGCCGGGAGGGGTAAGGGAGAGAGATGGTGCCAGAGGGCACAGTACATGCAATGGTGGGTCTGGTGACCATATTCCCATCCACATCCTAGGAGTCACTACTGCCCCAACTCAACACGGAGGCCCAGAGCATCCAAGCTCAGCTTCTTTCCATGCAGAGTGAGTCTGGCAGCCCCATGAGGGGAGGAGTTGCCCATCAACAGAGGTAAGCAAGCAGCATACTGGGGTTGTAGGCTGAGGCTCACCTGTCCGCTCAATGGCCTCCACCAGCTTCACCAGGATGGGGGGAGCCACATCAGGTGGGGAGAACTGCTCTGGCAGGTCGGGGAGTGTGAGGCCTGGCAGAAGGGGAGAGCATGTTGGTGGGGTTCCCTGGAAGGACCCCAGTCCCTTTCTTTGCATGTTGGACCTCAGCTTGGGCAGCTCCAGGTAGGGTCTGGTCTAGGCAAGTGCCTGGCATCTGTACCACCATCCCAGGGAAGCCAAAACCTGGCTGGAGGGGCTGGGAGGGCCGAGTTGGTGGTAAACAATTTTCTGGGTTAAAATATCCGTTTACACAACTTCAGAGACCAGGTATAGTGGGTTGATTAGTGTCCCTCAAAATGATACGTCCACATCTTAATCCCTGATACCTGTGACTGTGATCTTACTATGCAGATATAATTAAAGTAAGAATTCTGAGACAAGATCTGAGACTTAGGGCTCGCAATCCAATGACTGGTGTCTTTATAAGAAGAGAAGGCCATGTGAGGACAGAGGCAGAGATTGGGGTGATGCGGCTGCAAGCCGAGGAACATCTGGAGGTACTAGAAGCTGGAAGAAGCAAAGAACCATCCACTCCGAGAACCTCCAGAGGGAGCACGGCCCCGCCGACACCTTGATTTTGGACTTCGGGCCAGAACAGCAGGCAAGTACACTGTTGCTTAAAGCCACCGAGCTTGTGGGAGTTCAGGAGAGCAGGTTTAGGGTGCTGCCATTGCTTGCTGTGCAACCTGGGGCCCAGGACCCACCATCTCTGCGCCTCGGTCTCCTCAGGTAAGAAACTGGCTCCCGGTGTCCTCTCTCCCTCCTTAGGGCGAACAACAAAGCGGTTGAAAAGAATAAAAGGACAAAATCCCTCTGCGGGTTAGAACACCTCAGTCCAAGGGCCTTCCTCCATTCTCTAAGTCATCTTGTTTTAAAAAAAAGTATTACCCCCCGTTTTAAAAATGCTGAAACCCTTCCCAGCGGGTGCCAGGGGCCTTCCCGGCCCTGCGTTTCTCGCTCCACCGGGCCCTTTGTGTGCAGGCTCCGGCCGACGGCAGGGACGCCCTGGCATACAGCAGGGGCAAGCCCAGGCCTGCAGGGCCTCCTTGAGTGATGGGCCAGGTGGTGCCTCAAGCTGGAGAAAGGCCCAGTTAAGTCAAAAACGCTGAAGGAAAAAAAAGAGAGAGAGAACAAGGGGAGAGGAGGTGGGTGATGGGGGGGAGGGGACAGTTCTGAAATCTGCCTGTGACGAGTTTGCAAAACGGGGAGGGAAAACTCATCAGAACATGTGTCACCCCCATTTTATGGATCGGGAACTGAGGCTGAGAGAGAGAGCAACCTCCCTCTGGGGGGCCCAGGTGACACGGACGTTCTGCTCTCGGCTCCCGGTGTAGGGTCGAATGGAGGAAACACAGGTGGCCACAGCATGTTGCTGGGTGGTCCTAGGACCCCGGAGGGGCAGGGCCTGAACGTGCAAAGGACCAAGCCTTCTGGCTGCCAGATGAGGAAACTGAGGCCGGGGCAGGGCTGGCCCCAGCTGCTGTCACACAGCTCTGGAGGATTTGGAGGGCGGGGCTGGGCAGCCACCCAGAGTGGGCATGTGTGTAGAAGCTGGATCGGGGCCAGGCAGAGGAGGGAGGTGGCTGTTACCAGGGGGAGAGGCAGATTTTGGCTGGGAGCCCGGATGGGGCCGCCTCCTGCTCCTCCAGGCTGAGGCGGGACTTAGGCCCCGGCCCTGGAGGCACCAGATGCTGCAAACCCTCGCCTCGGTGCTTCCCATCTGGCCCTATGCTGTGGGGCTCTGGCGTGACCCTCTTGGGGCACCAGTGTCCCTCTAGCCCCAAACCAGGCAGGCCAAAGGTTGGGGCCATGGCGCTTCCCAGGGCCTTGGCCTTCACTGGGGAATGGACCCCGAATGAGTGGTTTGACCCCTTTGCACCTCGGTCTCCCCATCTGTACACGGGGCCTCCCTGGGTTGCTGTGAAGGTTGGAGCAGACTACCAGGCACTCGGCACTTAGCCTCCTTCCCACAAGCTGAGCCTCAGTTTCCCTGGCTGGAACCCATGCGCTCTGCCCAGCATACAGCAATTTCCACATACACTCAGTGCCCTCAATTCTTCACTCCTAGCACATCCCTTGGAAGTGTAGATGGCCAAGGGTCTTTGGGGAGGGATGTGCGGTCCTCATACCCCAGTGTGCTGCATGGCCTCGAGGGATCATCCCATCCTGTTTTGGCTTTGTGGCTTCCTTCATTTTGGTTACCTGGTTAGGTAACAAAGGGGGTTTCTCAAGGGACCCTATCTGCAAAACTGAGGGATGAAACTAAATTGAACCTCTGAATCCTACTGAACGCTCCCCACTGTCCTCAAAATCAATCCCACAGAATCTCTGAGGCACAGCCCCCATTGCCCTTCCCTTCCCACTCGACTCCACTGGCTGTTCCCCAAACCTGCCATTACAGTCCTACCTCGCAGCCTCTGTCTTTGCTGTGCGTGCTGCCTGGAGCCCTTCACCCCCAGCTCTCCCCATGTGAGGCTCCTTCCTCACAGCATTTTTCATTACCTAATCACATTCTTGTCACTTCTTGAACCAGGAGCCCCACAAGGGCAGGGGCCAGGCCTATGTCCGCCACTGTGTTCCCAGTGCCATGATTTGAGCCCAGCCCTTGACAGCAGCATAGTCAACACTTATCGACTGACCAAATGTGCTTATTCCTCCTCCCCTGGAAGACGTGCCATTGCCTCACTAGAAAGAAGAGGAAACTGAGGGTCTGAGGGGACCCCGTCCCTGCCAGGGTCCCTGCCTGCCGCTCACCTGGCTCAGGGGGCCCATCCCGGGGCCTGGCGGGCAGTGGGCGGGGGCCACGTGGACGAGGGCCAGGCCGGGCCAGGGCTACAGGACCCAGGAACTCGACGTAGGTGCCGGGGAAGTCACCTCGTTGTCGCGTGCGCTCATTGAGGCCAGGCATCCAGCCCACGCTCTGTGGGCAGCGCTCGTTGCCCTCAGCCACGCCCAGCACCTGCAGGGCTGCCCGGCTCACCACCAGCACGTCGCCCGGCAGCAGCTCCAGGTCCTCCGGCCGCTCCCGGCGGAATGGGTACAGTGCGCGGTACTGGAAGCCCTCAGCACCGGCCATGGCTGGGCAGGGTGGGGTCTGGACGGTCAAGCTGTTGCTCGGGGCCCCAGTGGCCCCATCAGCTGGGGCGAGGGCCGGGAGGGTCGGCTGAGTCGGCTTGGGGCACCGAGACCACTATTTCTACTGAGAAGTTACAGGTGACCACGGGGGTCACTCATGCCTTGCTTCCCACCATTATTCCATGACCCTGACATGGGTCATTCATTGCTCGGTCCACCATTCGTCAACTGGTGGGAGGGGGTCGGCAGCGTGGTCTCAGCTCACTCAGCCGCTGCGTCCCCCCTCACTCCGTAGGGCAGGGCCAGGCTGCTCACTCCCTCACATGGGGGGCCATCGGCGCCCGAGGCTGGCGGCTCTTCCGGCTGCGCCAGACGAGGGGGCCGAGGGCACAGGCTGTCACCATGCTTGGCCAGGACGCCGACCTAGGGGGAGATGGGCAGGGTGGCATCAGCCAGGTTGGGCTCCTCCCACCCCCACCCCAGAGATGGGCCCAAATATGGGGTCAGAATCCCCTGACTCACTAGGTAACCTTGGGCCAGTCCTAGCCCCTCTCTAGGCTTGTTTCCCCAGCTGTAAAATGGGTGTAACAACAGCCCTCCCTTGGGGTCACTGGGAGCAGAGCTTCCAAGAACCTGCCCCAGGCATAACGCATGCTCAGTAAATAAGCTCTTCATTGCCCCTTCATTAGAGATGGAGAAACTGAGGCTCAGAGCAGGGAGGTCTTTGTTGGACCACTCAGTGGGCCAGGAAGCCAGGACTCATAAACCGAGATCCACCCAACCTCAAGGCCCAGAATGGATCGCAGGAGGTAGCAGCCACATGGCTAGATAGTTATACCCAGAGTGGGTGGAGTGTGATGGGGAATGCTCAGGGTACTGTGGGAGCCTGGAGGAGGGGCCGGGCCAGCTGAGCACAGAAGGAGGCAGTAAGGAAGCAAAGAGGTAGGAAAGCAGGTCCAGGCAGAGGCCCCAGCACAGGCAAAGGACTAAGAAGTGAGTCCAAGGTCTCTGCAGGGGAGAAATGAAGTGGGGGGATGGTGTTCCGGCTTGGCTAAATGAAGGGCCTAGAACAGGATCTCAAAACACGTGGGGAGGTCATGGGAGACCAAGGGGACCTTGGCCCCAAGGCAGACATGGAGCCAGGACAGCGTGAATGGGAGATGGGCATCACAGCTGCCAAGGGGGGAGGCTGCTGGATGCAGGGCAATGCTCAAGCCCCAGGAGCCCCAAGTCTTGGGGAAACAGCCCACCCCAGACAGCCTTCCCAGTGTCAGCCCTGCAGGTGCGGTTCTCCTGAGACTGGGTGGTGGGGGAGGGCGTGCTTTTCTAGGGGGCGGGTCTTCACAGAGGACAGGAGACAGCACTGGCTAGAGGAAATAGTGCGTGCAAAGGCTTGACAGCGGGAAGTTGCTTGCCAAGAGTTCAGGGTGGCTCTATGAAAGCCACCAAGCCACCACGCTGGTCCTCGAGTACCAGTTAGAGAGTGGGCTTTATCCCCCCGACCACGAGAGCCCCAGAAGGTGTCGGAGCAGGGAGCAGAGGCTCCACATTCCAGGGCGCCCAAACTTACCCGCTTCCTGGCCTCCCGTACTCCCATTCTACAGGTGGGGAAACTGAGGCCCAGTGAGGGGACATCCAGGAAAGCACCTGGATCCGCTTGCCTGCCCGCCTCCGCGCTCCAGCATGCACAGGTTTGCACACGCCCCGGTGTGTGCGCCCGGGGAACCAGCGCTCCCCGAATCCAAAAGGCGGGGTGGAGGGGCCAGGCCTGGCCAGGGGCTGGCCGGCTGGACGCAGGGCCCGCGCGCGCTCACGCGTGTTCAGACGCGCACTCGGGCCTGCGTGGACCCGGCAGCCTAGCCCGGGGAACGGAAGTGGAGTCGACCCCCGACCCTCCTGCATCCCACTATGTCCCACACAATGCCTGGTGCCCCTTATTACTGCTCGACGCTCCACTCCAGGCAGGGCCTCCTTCCATTCGGGGCCGCAGCCCCAGTCCCTTATCTCGGCCTGGGGGTACCCCGTTCCTGTCCCACGGTCCCGGGCAGGCAGCACTGCTGCTAGGTCCAGCCCGAGGCCTCCCTCCCGTTCCCTGGGGCCCCCAGTTCCCGCGGGGCGCGATGCAGCTCGGCGCTCGCGTTCTGACTTCCACCTCGGCCCCACACTCCACTTAGGAGCCCCGCATTTGAGCGCACCCCAGCCCGGCCTGCCACGCCAGCCGGCCTGGACTTACCTGGTCGCGGCCGCCACCGCCGCCGAGGCCGCCGTCACACCGAGCCGAGCCCGACCCGTGGCTCCACCGCGGCCGCCGTCGCCGCAGCCGCGGGATCCCCGCCTCCGCCACCGCCGCCGCGGTTCCGAACAGCCGGGCCCGCCCCCGGCGGAAATGGCCGAGCGCATTCGGGCCGGGCGGGTGAAGCTAGGTGGAGGCGGAGCCTCGAGACGTCCGAGTATTTCCGGAAAGAACCGAACATACTCCCGCGGGACTGGCGGGTAGAAGATGCCCCGAGATCGCCGATCATTTCCGGAGACAGCCGAGTGCAATCGAGTCAGCTAAGCCTTTCCCTAAGCTCGGCTGGGCTTTGAGATGCCCGAGCGATTCCGGAAATCGCCGAGTGCCTTCCAGCTGGACTGATGGAACAGAGGCTGAGCCTCCGGACTGCGGAGAGTTTGGGAAAGAACCGAGTATGCTTGGACCCAGATAGAGGCCCTGGAAGTTTAGACCCAGAGGCTGACCACTAACTTCCCGAAATTGCCAAGAATGGATGACTCCAAAGGGCGAGTGAGGCGGCCCCGAGCTCAGGGGAAGAGGAGAGACGTTAGGGTGGGAAAGGAGCTCGCCACAGAAAGCTGAGCTTTTCGGGAAAGCGGAACAGGCCGGGGTTGAAAGCGTTTCCATGGCAGCCTAGAGCGTCCGGAAACAGCTGAACGAACTGCAGCCCTGCGAGCGCGAGAGCACGCCCAGGGCCCAGATGCGGACGATTGTTTCCGGAAATAGCCGAAGACACTCGGAAACGGGGGGGCGTGGTCAAAGGTTTCTGGTGCTACCAAGAGCTCAGGAAGTAACCCAAAGCACTCGAGCTGGGCTGGGTTGGGGGATTGGGGCGGGGGTGGGGTGGTATGGGGCACGGTCCAAACAAAAACCTGTATAGAAAGGACACAAAGATGGTTTATTTATTTTATTAACACAGCTCAGGGCCCCAGATCGGTGTCTGGATGAAGATTTTAAGGGCAGAGCCTATGGTGGGTACTCAGGGAGAGGGCAGCAGGAGGCCAGGGGCCTGAGAAGGCATCAGGGAGATAATCCCATTGGTGAACTCCTATGCAGCCTTCAAAACCCCTTCAAATGAAGCCAGTTTTCACCCTGTCCCCACCGCACTCTTCCCTTACCCCTTTCTTTGCCCCTCACAAATCCAGACATTGGACCTCCTCTTTGTAAATGTGGGCTTTTATTCACGGTCAGCTCCAGGATGGAAAGAGGGAGCAAGTCATGCACAGCCTTGGTCTAGCTCCAACACCAGCCAGTGCTGGGTGGGGGTCTCTGGGAGGGATGCAGAGTGGGCTGCAGTGCCTGGAAAGTGCCCTCACCATGTGGGGCACAGTGATCTTGCCAGGCACCTCCAAACAGGAAATGGAGGTTCTGTCTGACATGCCTAGTGGGTCACATAGCATCCTAGGGAAGAAAGCTGGAAATGGAGTCAGCTGTATCTGGCACCAGACTCTCCTCCATTCAAGCTCCCTTGTTGACAAGGCCCACCAAAGGGCCTGGCTGCATGATTTTTACCAGGTGATTGTGGGACAAGTCTCCACCCCTCACCAGGCCTCAGTTACTTGTCTGTAAAAAGGGGGATGACGACACCACCTGCAGCCTTCTCAAGGCTGGCTGAGGGAGAAGCCACAAGTAAAAGCGTTTGGCATAGAGTAGATGCTTAATAAATAGTCATTGGGATTAGTTTTTGTAAACACAAGGAAACTGAGGCACAGAGCGGGAAAGCCATTTCCCCAGAGCCACACAGGGAAGCCAAGATTCAAACTTGGGCCCCATTGCTCCCCAGTTGGGTTTTCTCACTTGAATTTCATTCTAGGAAGGCTGTGACACATTGAGGGACACCCCGTGGGGTGTATCAGACACATCATGGTCAAGGGCTCACCCTGGTGGGCATTAAGCACATGAAATCTTGTGCAGGGCGGACATTCTTTTCCTGCCCTGGTAGTACCCTTGGAGTCCTGAGTCTCCCTCCCAGGGCATCAGTGTCACCCTGTGGGATGGGTGACCCCTCTGCCTAGATCTGGTGAACTCCTACTCATCCATGAAAGTCCCAGTTCCCACACCCCCTCCTCCAAGCTGAAGCCTTCAGGACTAGAAGTAAACTCTAGCAAGACTGGCCTAGGGATGGAGGCTATGATAGTGAGAAGTAGCTTTCAGAATCCAGTCCATCATCGAGATTGCTTGTTTTGTGGGAGAGGGGAATCCTTTGTAGACTCTCCAAGTCACATCCAAACTGGGCCCGGACAGGTAAGCTTGCCTGTATCCCCTCAAATCAGTGGGTGTTGGGCCAGGATGGGATCAAGTAACACACAAAAAACTAAAAAATACAGAAAACCTAGAAAACACGAACATACATGACTTGTCCAAGTGCTTCCTTCTCAGCCCAGGGGGCAGCGTCTGCAAATGGGGTCCCAGGTGCAAGGGGCAGGACCCGGGCAGCCGCCTTCACAGTGGCGGCTCAGTCTACCTATCGCTTATAAAAAGTAATAAATTAGTCGCAGGGATTTGCTGCTATTTACAATGCCACCCTTGTCCCCCATTCCTGCCCCTACGGCCCCTGATCTGTACCAGAACAGAGGGAGGTGCCGTTTCCGCCTTCCAGTAAGGACCGAGATGGCTTCTCGCCTTCCAGGTGTCATAGTCTGGTGGCTCAGTCTCCATCCAGAAGTCACTTTACGGAAAAAACATTGCACAAAAAAAGCCCAACTTCTAGGCCAGGGAGAGGCCAGGTGGGAGGGATCAGTCCTTCCCGGCAGGTCCAAGGGCTCCCAGCACAGCCTCTGCGCCCTCCACGGCAATCTGTGGTACGGAGGTGAGCGGCCCGGTGGCCTCCTCGGGCGGCTCATCAAAGCTCACCTCCTGCACAGCCTCCTGCTTCTTGAAGGAGTCTCGGCGCTCGGACAGGTGTAGCCGCCGCATGACCACCAGCTCCGAGTCTGGCCCGCGGCCACGGCGTCCCAGCTCCCCATCCAGCCGTTCACCCGAACCCAGCTTGTCAGCTGACTGGCCCCGGCGCAACCTCGGAGACCGGGCGGGCGCGGGTGGGTGTCCGGGGAGGGGTGAGGGTGAGCGGGGTGGGGGCACAGGCACGGGTGGGCAGGCCAGTGGGGAGGGCGGGATACTGCTGGTAGACTTGCGGCGACCGGTCTTGGGGCGGGGTGGCCCGAGCTTGGCGGCCAGGCCATGCAGGGAGCTAGGGCGGGTGTGGCCAGCGGCGGCGGGAGAGGCAGGGCTGCTGGAGCTCGGGGAGGCACTGGGAGGGGATGCCGTGTCTGTGGAGGACAGATGAGGGTCAGGGCCACCAGCCTCCATGTGGGGCCGTGGGGCTGAGCGCACCTGCCAAAGCCCACGTCCTTTCCCGTGGCCACCCAGCATGCCTGCTTTTCTTGTTTCCTGTTCCGTGTGCAAGTTGTTCCCTGGTGAACTCCTACTCAGCCATCAAAGCCCTAGTTCCTATCCACCCGTTTCACATCTAATGACCTACCACTCAAAGGGCCAAAGATACGCTCCACCCCATGAAGTCAGGGTGAGCCAGAGGGGTAGCAACTGGGGTGCCCAGGCCTCCTGGAGGCCCTCCCTGCTTCCCCTTTGGGTTGCCCCAGCCTGTTCCTCCCTTCAGCTGGATGCTAACCCAGTGGGGCTGGGGGTGTCTGTGTCTGGCTGTCTCACAGACTGGGGGTGCTCAGCATTGGGCCAAATCACCATCCTTTCCTGCCCCAGAATGATCTTTCTAAAACTCAGACCCCTCTAAAACATGCCCTCTCCAGCTCACACACCCTCCATGGCTCCCAACTGCCCACCAACGTAAGCCCAGCTCCTTGGCTTGACTCATCTCCCAACTTCCTCTCTCCCCTGCTTTTGTAACCCTCCTGCCCAGCCCTCTCTGTTCATGATGCTCCCTCTGCTGGGTACACTCTTCCCTGCTCTCACACCTGTCTCCTACCACCTCCAGGCTGCCCGGAAAGGCCCTTCTGGTCACCTCATTTCCCACATCATGTCATTCCCTCCTTTAAACCCTGCTGGCTCCCTCAGTGGGGCCAGGCACCACAGGCCTGAGCTGCCCTGGGGTGGCACACATACCTGCTGGGGGATCAGGAGCTGGGCTGCGGCAAGGCGTGGTGGGGCTGGGGGAGAGGCTGTGGGTGGGTGACCCCGGGAGGCTTTCGCTGGATGACAGGGAGTGGTGGAGGCCGGAAGAGAAGCTGCGGCTGGTGTGTAGCACAGAGGACTGTTTTGAGATCTTCTTGAAGAGCGACTTCCGCCTGAGGGTGGGAAGCCCTGATGCTTCAGAACCCACGCCCCCAGTAGCCCGGGGAGCTGGCCCCCGGGTCCTCCACCAACACTCCGTGGAGGGCCCACCCGCCGCTCACCGGTCCTGTGTCTCCCGCCGGCGGCTCCGTTTGCTCCGGCGTGCCATGCGGCCCTTGGCCACATTCTTCCGGGCGGGGCCCACCTTGATGGAGGTGTTCTCCAGGGCGGTGGTCCGGAGGGCGATCTTGTTGCCGCTCTGCAGGAGGGATGGCGAGGGGTCACCTGGATGCCTCCCATCTAGGGAGCCACCCACCCACCCGCCTACCTCCTCATCCATCGAAGCCCCCGAGCCTATCTGCGCACTTCTCCCCTAATGACCCACCACCCGGTAGGCCAAAGGTACATGTCCGCCATCTGTCCGTCCGTGCAACGAGCTGCCCACCCACCCACCACCCACCGGTCCTAGGAGCTATCCAAACAAGGCCCTGCCTCCTGGCCTGTGTCTGCCTCCCTATCGCCAGGCCTCAGCCCCGGAGGACGCCTGATCTGAGGAAGACGAAGACAGTACGGATATCCCCAGCCTCATACGGTCAGGGTGAGCCAGAGGGAGGGCCAAAAGTAGGGGAACCTGGGGGACTAAGAAGGAGGTACATCCTGGGCAGAGTGGAGGGGACATGCAAGGCCTGGAATTGGGCCCAGGTGTGGAAAGGTGTGGTTCCAGGGCGAGAACCTCAGCATCAGGGGCTGTCAGGGGGTCAGAGGAGCAAACCAGAGGGTAGGCAGCGGGGACAGATCGAGGGCCCTGAGGATGGACAGGGGATAGGGGTTCTGGGAGCCCCCAGGGTGGGCAGTGGTGGGCGCTGTACCTTCAGCAGCAGCTCCACGACATCCATGTGCACCAGCCCCAGGACTGACTCCCCGTTGATGTGGGTGATGAGGTCCCCGGCTCGCAGGCCCGCCTCCTGGGCGGGGCTTCCCTCCTCCACATTCTGGGGGTGAGGGTGGATGGTAGCGTCAGTGCTCTGAGGCCCCGCAGCTGGAGACCCCTTGCCAGCTGGGTCAGCCATGGGACCCCAACAAGCTGCTGCCTCCTGTGCTGTTTCCTTGACCTTGGGGGCTGTTCAGAGAGTGACTGGTGGGGCGGGAACAGGCCCTGGGCTGGGAGGAGGCAGGACGACACTCCCACTGTGCATCTGTGGGCAGGGGCTAGGAGCTTCATGCCCAGCTGAGGTCTCTAACCCTCTGTCCATCCCTGTCCATCTTGCCCAAGCCCCTCCCCCTAAGGAAGAGGGACCGCAAAGATCCAGGTGGCACCAGCCCCCTGCCCTGGGTGGGAGGGAGCTGCAGGCAATGAGACTAGAAAGTGCAGCTCCAACAGTGAAGCATCTTCCCAGGGGGAAGCCAGACTCAAACCAGGTCCCGCTCTTCCTGCTCACCAGACCAACTTACCCAGACAACGTGGTGCACGGTGTAGACATCGCTGTCGCCCATGTAGACGCGGATGGCCCGCAGGCTGAAGCCGTACTTCTTGCCTGAGCTGTGGATGACAATGGGGGGCCGCAGGCTGCCACACACGGGGGACGGGTCTCGGCTTGGAGAGGAGTCTCGGGACGATGGGTTCGAGGACAGCGAGCGTGGGGACAGAGGGCTCATGAGGGGGCCGCCGCTGCCATCATCTGTAGGACCAGGGTTGGGAGGGGGTCACTCCCTGGCAGGGACCAGGGCCAGGAGGGCAGCCCCCCACCAAGCTGATCACTCTGGCTGCTTTCCTGTTGTTCCAATGCCCCCAGCACGGCGCCCCCCCCCCCCCCCACCTGGCCTTTGCACATGCAGTGCCCTCTGCCGGGAATGCCAGTCCCCCAGCTCTCCCTGGGGCTAGCCGCTTCCCCCGTCCTGTGGCACGGCCCCAACCCAGGGGTCAAAACAGACATGGACAGACAGGCAAAGACAAGGCTGGGCCACGCGCGGTACCGGCTGTGATGATGAGGGACAGGGCGGACACTGAGGCAGACTTGGGCACGCGGCCCCCGCTGGGGGACACCCGAGACTTCTCGGGAGCTGGGTCCCTTGAGCCCCCAAGGCGGCGGCCCCGACCAGCATCCAGGGCCCGTGGTGTCGAGTGTCGCGCACCAGTGCTGTTGCTTCGTAGGCGTGCGTGGCTGAGGGCGGCTGTGTCGGCTAGGGGTCAGCAAGGTTGGCGGTCAGCCTGGCCGCTCTCGCCACTCCGCCCCCTGCCCTCGGGAGGCAAAGCCCCTTCCTCCCCGGTCAGCGTGTACACCGTTCAGCCTCCTCCTGGCCTTTCTTCAGGCAGTTCCCCCTTCCTACACTTCCTTCCTACCCTGCTCTCCCTGGAAAGCTCCACTCTTCAAGTCCCCTCCTCTAAGGAGCCTTCCCCCACCCCTCAGACCCCTACACCCCTCTCAGAGCTCCCCAGCCTCATCCCCTTCTCCGGTCCCATCCTGACCCCATGAAGCTGGGGGTATCATCGCTAGACTGGGAGTAACACTGAGGCCTGAGGCCTCTCTGAAACCCTGGCCTCTCCTATCTTAAGGCATTTGTTAGACAAGCGAATGGTCTCTCTGTAGAGCTCCTACTCAGCCTTCAAAACCCATCTCAAATAGTCCCTCCTCTGGGAAACTTTCTACAATACGATCCCTCCCATCCGGGACCTCACCTACCAGAAAGGCTTGAGGGCTTGGGCATCACTGGGGTGGCTGCTGGGGGTGGATCAGGCTCCCCCAGAATGAAGATGGGCCTCTTGGGGCCTGCAGAGGCTGGGCTGGCTCCCTCATCCTCTGATGAGAAGGCAAACTTGGGCATTGTGTCCAGGATAATAGTATTCAAGAGAGATGGGCTAGGGCCCCGCTCAGGCTGGGAAGATGACTGGCAGGAAGAACCAGAGGATGTCCAGGACCTCAGTCTGCAGCAGAGGAGAGCCAAAGTCACACTTGCCAGGTATCCTCGCCCCAGGACACCCAGTCACCCCTAGTGGCCATATTTTAACTCTCAGCTTAGAAACAGGTAATTTGTAAATGCGGGGTGAATTCCCTCAGCATGCTCGGTCCTCTGTCTGCCCAGAGAATTTCTGTCTGTCTTTTATTATTATTTTTTTAAAGATTTTATTTATTTATTTGACAGAGACGCAAGCAGGGGGAGTGGGAGAGGGAGAAGCAGGCTTCCCACTGAGCAGGGAGCCTGACATGGGGCTCAATCCCAGGACCCCGGGATCATGACCTGAGCCGAAGGCAGATGCTTAACTGACTGAGCCACCCAGGCGCCCCTCTGTCTGTCTTTTAAAAACCCAGCTTCCAACACCCCTCCGTTAGCAGACATTGATTATTTTTCTGTTGAGTCTGGTGTTTGAAGAATGAGCAGGAGTTCGTCAGCAAAGGGTATTCTGGAACAGGGCAAGCAAAAGTCTAGCAGTATGACCGCGCAGTTGCTCTATGCTCGGTGTGGTCTGGGGCACAAAGCCAGGGGGCCACGTTGGCGGGGCTCTGACACGCCAGCCCACGTGTTTGATCCTTTCCGACTGGGCCACGGGAAGCTCTCTCCAGCATTAGACCTTGTGGTCCCCCCCTCCCGGCAGGCTTGGTGGCTGGATCTGCGCACGCTCCCCAGCCCACCTACCGGATCTCCACGCTCAAGCGGCGGCCGGACTCGCCCTCACCGCTGCGCTCCCACCCTTCCTCCCGGTCCTCACTGAAGCTCCGCTCGGCGAAGGTTGGGGTGGGCTGGGCGGCCAGGAACTCGGAGCTGCTATAGACCTGGCAGCAACAGAATATAACGATAAGGACACGGAGACAGGCGGCCACACCCCTGGGGAAGAGCCGGCTTAGTTGAATGCTTCCTATAAGCCCGATGCTTCCTTGTGAGTCATTTCCTTCTATCCATGCTCGCCACATCCCTAAGAACAGAAGAGTCTTTAGCCCACTGTACAGATGGAGAAACTGAGGCTCAGAGGGCCCTGGCTACCAACGGGGCCACAGCCGGGGTTCCTGCTGCTGATCAGGATGCTCTGCGTGGGTCTCAGGCCCGCAAGCAGCACAGAAGGTTTTTTTCATCCAATTATAAACGAAGGAAGGCGCTTAAGCTGGTGAGGCTCTAAAGTAAGCAGTGAGAGAGCAGCACTGTTCACAAGCACCTCAACACAGGCACACCCCGAATGTCCATCGATGGAGGGGTAAACACAGTGTGGCCCATCCACGCAACGGAATAGCACTTGGCCATAAAGAGGAACCAAGCTCTGACACGGGTCGAAGACGTCGTGCTGAGCGCAAGAGGTCAGACATGAAAGACCACATGTTATATGATTCCACTTAGGTGAAAGATCCAGAATAGGCAAATCCAGAGACAGAAAGCAGATTGGTGGTTGCCAGGGGCCAGGGGAGGGGGGCAGGGGAGTGACTGCTCGTGGGGGCGGGGGTGATGGAAAGGTTCTAGAGCTAGACAGAGGTGATGGGTGTCCAACATTCTGAATGTACTAAATGGCGCTGAACTGTACAGTTTAAAATGGCTAGTGTGGTACATTTTATATGTATTCTTACCACAATAATAATTAAAAAAAAAAAAGGTAGAAGAACACCCCACCCCCCGCCCCCCACCCCCCGCAGTGAACATCTTGCGGGTTTCCTGAGTGCTAGCTGTGTCTAGGCCCCGGGCCCACCTTGCTGAAGCGGTGGGAACAAGACGAGAACTGAGGGATCTCTGTGGATGACTCCTCGTCATTGGTCTCCTCATCCTCTGAGCCCAGGTGGCGGTAACGTTCCGAACGTGCTGGGGAGGGAAAGGCACGTGCAGCCCACCTGATGCCCACAGGCGGCCGCAAGGGCTGTGGGGTGATGTGGGAAGGGCGTCCCAGGCGGGGAGACACTGTCAGGGCAAAGGCATCGAGGTGGGACCATGGCTGGTGTATTTAGGGACCATAGGAGGCTTGAGTTGCAGAGTGAGTACCTGGCAATAAACAACCCAGCTGCATCCCTACGATCTACAGGATCGTGGGTGGGAATTCTTGTGTCTGACCCTCAGTCTTCTCACCCCTGAGATGGGTCACCCAAGAAGTAGGTAATACTGGGCATCTTAAAAGGATGCTCCCCATTTTACAGAAGAGGAAACAGATGCTCAGAGAGGACCTCTGACATGCCCAAGAGCACACAGCAAGGTCTGGAGGAGGTGCTGGAAACCGAGGGCATTTCATCTGCCTGGCTGGAGCCCCAAGTGGGCAGAGGAAGACTTGTCTGAGCCCACCCACAGTGTTGGAGGGGTTCCCCCCACAAAGCCCAGCAAAGCGCCCCACCCTTCTGTGTGACAGACAGGGCTCTGTGCCTGGTCAAGGTTGGACACTCAGGAGGCTGAACCTGCTAGGGATGCCAGGCCAGGGTCTGCCACACTCAGCGCCTCGGTTTCCCCTCCTGCAATCCAGAAGGATGCCGTGGCCTCCTGACCCCGGATGCACAGGAAACCAGCCGGGGGGGTGGGGGGGGGTGGGGGGGGCAGCTACCAACAGACATGCTCTGATTTCTCAGAAAGCTCAGGAAGTCAGAAGCTCTAGGCTCAGGGCGAGGCAGTTGGGTGGAGACCCTGGCAGACACCCCACACCGTCTCAGGCAAATGTGGGACAGCAGAGTCTGCCCCCTTGACCCCTACTTACTGTCAAAGTAGCTGGTGTCGTCCTCAGCTTCAAGCTGTGGCACAAACTCAGCTTTGTGTCGCAGAAGCCCGGCCCAGTCCAGTGTCCAGAAGAAGGGGTGCTGCTTTACCTCGTGGGTGCCACCTACGGACATGCCCAGCTCAGCCCTGCAGCCCCCCGTCCCCACTGTCCCCTGGGTCAACTAGGAGCCCAAACTTGGCCAACACAGAACCATAAAGATGGCAAGGGGAGCAGCTGCTGTTTCAGCGTCTGAGGAGGGACGGAGCCGGGGCTAGAACCCAGGCCCTGCTCTTGCCTCTGCTGGATTCTGAGATCCCACCACCCGGAGAAACCCCAGAGCCCTAGGAGGGCTTCCTTCCCAGGCCTTTTCCATGCATTTCTACTCCATGGAGTAGACTGACTGCGTGAAGGTATCCTGTTCCCCAGCCTGAGCCCTTGTGGTCCTCTCCAGTGGCTAGGCTTCATCATGAACGTGACCTGTAGTGGCTGGGTAATGGGGTGCTGCCATGGGTATTGAGTCTCAGTCCCTTAACCATTAATTAGGTGGCTAAGGAAATCAGAACAGTGGGATCCACTGGGCTGGGCCTTTGAGGACCTGAGGACACAGCCCATGATGACCTTGCAGGCTCCCATACTCAGCCTCGGTGCCCCTTGTCTGCATCAGACCCAGCTACCTGTTAGCTCCTGGTGAACTCCTATGTATCCTTCAAAACCCCAGCCCCAAGCCTCCCTCCTCTATGTAGTCTCTCGAGTTATTGCTTCCCCAGTCCCCATCCCACCCCCCTGCCCGCCCCCCATCACATACCAGTGCCCAGACGGTCCAGTGGGCTCTGTCGGAGCAGCCTGGTGATGAGGTCTTGGGCATCAGCTGGGAGGGCCTCATCCCCTTCTGGCCACATGATCTCATCTAAAATGAGGAGAGGGGAAAAAAATTTAAATTAAATTAAATTAATAAAATGAAATAAAATAGGAGGGGGAGTGAGAGGGTGAGGATAGCCCTTCATAGCACCTCCGACCACCTCCCCTCACTCACTGCACACCAAGCCATCGGCCTCCTCTGTTCCTTCAACACGCCAGGCTCAGTCCCACCTACAGCCTTTGCTCCGGCTGTACCCCTCCACCAGGGCCGTACCCCTCTTCTACTTCTGTGGCCCCCTCTTCTACTTCTGTGGCTCCCTCTTGCTCCTTCAGGCTTTGCTCACACTGTCACCTCAGCGAGGCCTCCATGACCCCCTATTTAAGGCAGCCCCCACCATATCTGGTACCCCATCCTCTCCCCTCTTCCTGCTTTTTTTCCTTGGCATTTTTTTGTATCTGATGTTCGGTAATTTGCTTCTTGATCTCCCTCACTGTCTGTCTTGCCCTTGGCCACGTCCCCAGTGTCCGGTTGGGGCTAGGCACCCTGTAGGGGGGCTGCTGCCCAGAGCCCCAGTGGGGCCAAGACTTGAACCGCGGCCATGGTGGGGGAAACGCACCACTGACCACCTGGCCAAAGAGTTCCTCGGGGGTATCTCCGAAGAAAGGCACACAGCCCACCAGGAATTCATAGAGGACAACACCCATGGCCCACCAGTCCACCGGCTTCCCGTAGCCCTGGCGGAAGATCACCTCGGGCGCGATGTACTCAGGCGTCCCGCACACCTGGGTCAGGCAGAATGGGGAAAAGGAGGATGGCCTCCAACTCCAGAGAGGCCACGGGAGAGATGGAGAGGTCAAGGCCAGGCTGGGCACAGGGGTGGAGAGAATTATGGGGGAGGGGGAGCAGTTTATCTTCTCCTTTGTGCTGCAAAATCTCCCCAGGTCCTGAGGGTCAGGATCCAGACAGAGGGAGGTGGTCCCGCACCCACGGCCCCCTGCCCACCCGCACACCTGCTTGTCCACGAACTCCCGGGTGTCCTTCTCGATGTGGCCCTCATAGAGGTTGGTGGCCATGCTCATGAGCCCAATCTTGGACAGGCCAAAGTCGGTCAGCTTGATGTGGCCAAGTGAGGTGATGAGTAGGCTGTGGGCGGGTGGGTGGTGCACTCAGGGCCGGGGGCCCGAGGTGCCTGGCCGCTCATGCCACCCCAGAACTCGGTGCCACCCCAGGTGGGCTGAGGTCCAGCCAGGGCAGCTTCACCCCCCGGAGGGGGTCTGAAAGAGCTTCCTGAACACAGACAGGCACATTATCACAAGAACCAGTAGGTCTTGGGCGGTATTTCAAATCTGGCAAACATCTTGGTGCACCTACTAGATGCGTCCGCTGTCGCTGCTGAGCACCAACTGTATACTCCACTGTTCAAATACAAATTTCCTGAGAATCACTCCGTCTCCCAACTGTGCGTTAAAACGTCTGAACACCTACTGGGTGGATCTAAAATACATGTTTGTACATGTGTCCATTCTTTTTAACAAACTAGACACTTTGCAAGCACTTATTGTTTACATTCCCTGTTGAACAATGAACATACTTTGAGCATCTGCTATATACAGAAATCTTTCTGTGCACCTCATGAGGAGAGCCACTTTTAAAAACTTGGACGCCTACCATGTACCCTGCTTTTCAAGTTTTCCCATCAGCTTAAGTACATACATGTTTTGCTAGGTGATAGAACCACATGGACCATCTTTATAAAGTCACATTTTTTTTTTTAAGGTTTTATTTATTTGACAGAGAGAGACACACTGAGAGAGGGAACACACGCAGGGGGAGCGGGAGAGGGAGAAGCAGGCTTCCCGCGGAGCAGGGAGCCCGATGCGGGGCTCGATCCCAGGACCCCGGGATCATGACCTGAGCCGAAGGCAGTCGCTTAACGACTGAGCCACCCAGGTGCCCCATAAAGTCACATTTTTATGTACCTCCTGGTACACGGGCTGCTTCATTTCTAGAGAACTCACTGTGTATATCCAAGCTGTTTGATAAACCCTTTATTTGGCACATCCTGTATACCTCGACTCTATAAAAAAAATAATTCTGTGCACCTACTATGTGCAGCCACTATTTTTAAAAATAAGAGACGTTTCTTGAGCAACTACTGCATACATCAACTGAGGAAAACCATTTGGGTGTAGCCCCCAGGTGCAGTTAAAACCAAGGGCTTGGGGCGCCTGGGTGGCTCAGTCGGTTAAGCGTCTGCCTTCGGCTCAGGTCATGGTCCCAGGGTCCTGGGATTGAGCCCCGCGTTGGGCTCCCTGCTCTGCAGGAAGCCTGCTTCTCCCTCTCCCACTCCCTCTGCTTGTGTTCCCTCTCTCGCTATCTCTCTCTCTGTCAAATAAATAAATAAAATCTTAAAAAAAACCCAAAAAACCAAGGGCTTGGGGTGCCTGGGTGGCTCAGTCGGTTAAGCAGTCTGCCTTCGGCTCAGGTCATGGTCCCAGGATCCTGGGATCGAGCCCCGCCTCAGGCTCCCTGCTCAGCGGGAAGCCTGATTTTCCCTCTGCTGCTCCCCCTGCTTGTGTTCCCTGTCTCACTGTGTCTCACTGTCAAATAAATAAATAAAATCTTTAAAAAAAACAAAATAAAAATAAAATAAAATTTAAAAAAATATCAAAAACCAAGGGCTTAGGCAGCCCTGGGGCCATCGACTGTTAAGACAACCAATACTTCTGGAGTTCCTATGGGCACATGCCTGTCTAAAAAACATTCACCTCTTGAATACCAACTATATGAGCTATTTAAGAAAAATGTTTTCCTTAGAAATGAAATGCTATGATGCCGGGGATATGCTTCAAATGACCCATCCTGGGGGGAGCGGGGAGCTGGAAGTGGGAGCAAGCAGGACTGGGTGAGTGTTGGAAGCTGCAGGATCAGGATAGATGTGGGGAGTAGACGGCGGGGGCACTGGACCCTTCTGTTCTGGGCTGAACTGTGTATCCCCAAATTCTCATGTGGAAGTCCTCACCCCCAGGAACTACAAATATGACCTAATTTTTTTTTTTTAAAGATTTTATTTATTTATTTGAGAGAGAGAATGAGATAGAGAGCATGAGAGCGGGGAGGGTCAGAGAGAGAAGCAGACTCCCTGCTGATCAGGGAGCCCGACGTGGGACTCGATCCCGGGACTCCAGGATCATGACCTGAGCCGAAGGCAGTCGCTTGACCAACTGAGCCACCCAGGCGCCCTGACCTAATTTGGAGGGACGATGGTCATGTGACTAGTTAAATGAGGACGTCCTAGAACATAGTGGTCCCTCATTCAATAGGACTGGTGTCCTTATGACAAGGGGACATGTGGACACAGACATGCAGAGGGAGGACACCACGTGAAGGCCGGAGTGATGCTGCCACGAGCCATGAAATCACCAGAAGCTGGGGGAGAGACCTGAAAGAGATCCTTCCCTGGCACCTCCAGAGGCAGCCGTGCTGATACCTTGATCTTGGACTTCTGGCCTCCAGGACTGTGAGAATACACTTCTGTGGCTTCAGCTGCCTAGTCCGTGCTACTTTGCTCTGATGGCCCTAGCAAGTGAATGCACCTTCTCTTGACTTCGGGATGTATTTGAAATCTTCCAAAGTGAAAAAAAATTTTTTTTTTCTCGAGCACCTGTTATGTGTGCCCACGTCCCTGAGCCCTCTGGGGCTGGACACTTGCCTGAGCCTTTTTGCAGATGAGGGTCCCGAGCCTGGGAGGGGTGGGTCCTGCTTTGGGGTTTAACCTGACACGCTCGGGAGACCCCACCCCACTCTAGGATGATCCACAGAGTTCTGCTGGGCACAGGGCATCCTTAGGGTGTTGAACACAGAGGTCCAGGGATACAACAGGTGCCAAATACACACTTTATCTTCTGAGTTGCTGGCAAACTACGAGATGCCCTGGAAACAGGCAGGGCTCTTAACGCTTCTGTTCACACCTCCACCGAGCAAGTATCTTCATCTGAGAAAGGGACAGTAGGTGCTCCGTGTTGCTCTCAAAACAAAAACTTTAATACAAAGGCAGCTGAAGTGTTCTGCGCCTGGCACACAGCCATCGCCTAATAACTGTTCCTCTAATCACCTTATACAAAGCTGGTGCCCCATGAGTTTACGCACCAGATTTAAAAAAATGTGCTTTATAAATCCGAAGGGGTCATCACTGTGAGAGGAGTTAGTCATACTGCCATCTGGGTTCCTGAAAACGAGCACATGTCTAGGTATACAGCAGCTGCCAAATACACATCTGCCTTGTTTTCTAAGCTACTCACAAACTGCAAGATGCCTGAAAACACGCAGGCTCTTGACATTTCTGTTCACACCTCCACGAGGCCAGAACCCGAGAAACTCGAGGTTCTTGCCTGGTATCCACAGGGCACGTGATATAAGAACAGCCCCTGGGGGCACCTGGGTGGCTCAGTTATTAAGCGTCTGCCTTCGGCTCAGGTCATGATCCCAGGGTCCTGGGATCGAGCCCCGCATCGGGCTCCCTGCTCAGCAGGAAGCCTGCTTCTCCCTCTCCCACTCCCCCTGCTTGTGTTCCCTCTCTCCCTGTGTCTCTCTGTGTCAAATAAATAAATAAAATCTTAAAAAAAAAAGTGGGGTGCCTGGGTGGCTCAGTCATTGAGCGTCTGCCTTTGGCTCAGGTCATGATCCCAGGGTCCTGGGATCGAGCCCCACATCGGGCTCCCTACTCCGTGGGAGGCCTACTTCTCCCTCTCCCACTCCCCCTGCTTGTGTTCCCTCTCTTGCTGTCTCTCTCTCTGTCAAATAAATAAATAAAATCTTAAAAAAAAAAAAAAAAAGAACAGCCCCTGGCTCTATGAATAGCGGGTGCTCAATTAATGCAGGCAAGAATGCCTTGCAAATTATGTAGGGGTTACAAAGCATGAAGGATTATTCACACATGTGTCTTACAGTCACCCATAGAGGACCCGGCATGCAGCAGGTGCTTCTTAGGTGCTAGAGTAAAATAAACCTCCTGAGGCTCTCAATAAACACGTTCTCTTCCTTTCTTGCCTGCACGAACATACAACAGGTGCTCAAGACATGCACGGTCCCTTCCTTCACATGTAAGGTCTTGCAAAGGGCATATCCCTGCTCCCAGTATACAGATGGTGCCTCCTAAGTGCACGTTCTCTCCCCTTGGAGCAGCAGCTCTGCGAGTGCACAGTCCCTTCCCCTGTGTATTTTGTGCATCCTAAAGGGCACATTCTCTTTGCCTGGCAGCCCCTCCATAAATGGACTATCCTTCCCTTGCATACAACAGGTGCCTACTAAGTACCTGATCTCCTCTGTACACACCAGGTGCCCAACATTGCCACTGTTCTGTGTCTTCCTGTCACCAGGGGCCCCAGGGGCCAGCAGAATCCAGACAGGCGGGGCTCTGCGAAGCCCCACACCCCAATCAGAGGCGCTGCTCCCCCCTTCTCCCGCCCCAAGGCCCCAGGCTGCTCACTTGTCAGGCTTGAGGTCACGGTGCACAATGCCATAGTTGTGTAAGTATTCGAGTGCCAGCACTGTCTCGGCGAAGTACATGCGGGCCATGTCCACGGGCAGTGGGCCCATGTTCTTCAGGAGCGTGGCACAGTCGCCGCCTGTGGGGGGCGCAGATGCATTCACAGAGGCCCTGGGCTCTATAGCCTCGCCCTGGGGCTTCCAGGACCACTCAACCTCCTGCAAAACCTCCCCAGTCTGTACTGAAACAAGGTGGGGAACCAAGTGGGGCAGGAGGGAGGGCAGATCTCGACTCCTGATTCTCCCCCTGGAAGGACAGCAGCTCCGTAAGGGCACAGTCCCTTACCCTGTACACAGCTGGTGCCTCCTAAGTGCTCGTTCCCTCTCCTTGCATAGAAGCACCTCGATCAACACACACCGCTGCACTCACCTGAAGGGCCTGCTCATTCTTAAACGGCAAACTTGCTCCCACAACTCCTCTTCCTGGCCCCCAACCATCCTGGCCCTTCCAACCCCCACCTCCCTCCCTTCCCTGCTCTTACTTCTGGCCTTCAGGCCTCTGCTCACTAGTACCCCCTGCCAAAGGTGTCCATCCTTACCCTATCCCCCAGGGTCCTATTCTCACACTCCTCTTTAGCTCCCTCAGCCCCAACCCCGCAGGATGGGCCCCTACACCACAGACTGAGGGTCCCCCAAGGCAGGCCGGGACCCCTTGGAGGACAGAGCAGACCCCAGCTTGGTCAAAGGATGGACTATCTTTTGGGTAGAGGGTGAGCTCCCCGTCACCGTAGGCATACAAGCCCTCGAGACCGCACCTTCCACATACTCCATGACCATACACAAGTGGCGCCGGGTCTCGAAGGAGCAGAACATGCTGACCACAAATGGGTTCTCGGCAAAGGTGAGGATGTCACGCTCCACAAAGACCTGCTGGATCTGGTTGCGAAGAATCAGGTTCTGCTTGTTGATCTTCTTGATGGCAAAGCGCTGCCGTGTGTCTCGGTGCCGCACCAGGTAGACAGCCCTGGGGGAGCCGGGGTCACTGAGGCTGGACACTGAGGCCCCCGCAGGCAGTGGGGCCTGGCCTGGGCCCAGAACCCAACCAGCCAGGCCTTTGCCCTTGCTGTGCCCTACATCCGGGACACCCTTCCTCCTTCCCCAGCCCCTCTCCGAAAGCAGCCCCCCTATGGGTCTAAGCTGCCCCTCCCTGGTGTCACATCGAGAAGCCAAAGATGGCCCCTAGGTTACTTCTTCACAGTAGATGAAGACCCTTTAGCTTAAAAGCCCCCCGGCACCAGGCTCAAATTGCTTTATGTAGAGGTGAAATGAGCAGATTTTGAACCATTTAGAGCTTGCCAAGTTTATCTAGTAAAACTGCCTCGAACTGACTAGCTATCTGTAAGATAAACCCTGGGGGCTATGAAGACCCCAAGCCGCTACTGCCTTTCGGAGCTGTCTGACCCAGACTCCTGGCCACACTGCTGAGTGACATCACCTAGACGCATAAGCCCCCTCTCTAGTCTCCCCGCTGGATAGTCTTATGCTGTGCAGGACTCCCCCTCCCACCCCACCTCCACGCAAATCCATCAAAGTGGCACTAAGATAATGCTCACTGCATGCCCCTGCTGCCGCACGGCCATCTTTTTCCTTGCGTGGTCCCGAAATACCTACAACTCCCTGTACTTGGGGCAGGTAACGGCCTAGACCATGGATGAGGCCCTGGCCTGGCCGTACCGCATCTCTACTTCCCTCGTCAGGCCTCAGTTTCCTATCTCCACACTCAGGGGCCACCTGGACCTCAGTCATCCCCATGGGCATCTGAGAAATGGGTCTATGGGGGACCCGAGGACTTACCCGTAGGCCCCGTTGCTAATGAGTTTGATGGTCTCGAAGTCGTTCTCACATGGCTTCCTCCGTGATGGGCCGATGAGGGCACGGCTCTAGGGGGCAAGAAGGGGTCAGGGTCCTGCCCCACCTCAGAGTAGGCCAGGCTCTCCCTTCCCTCGAGTCCCAACCACTGGGCCTCGCATCTGATGCTACTTCCTCCTTCCAAATTTCTCCAGCTCAGCTTCTGAGTTCCTGAGCTTTGGCTCAAGCCATGTTTTCCTTCCAGAAAACTCCTATACATCCTCCCAAACTCCCCTTTCCGGTGCCCCCTCCAGTCTGCAACCACCATGGCAGGGTAGTCTCACTTGCCTTTACCTTCTCCCTAAAGTCTGGCATTAATAAGCACCTAGTATATGCAAAACCTCAACAAACCCAGCCTCTCCCATGGCCTCCTGGTCTACCTTGAAAAGAACAAGACAGGTGGGAGCATCACAGCTCTGTGACTTACCTCCGGGGACTCAGGTGCTGGAGGCTGTCCTTCCTCTTCCAGGTGACTCAGAGGCACCATCTCTGTAAGACAAGGGAGGAGCCTCAAATGGGGCCTCCATGCCCTGCCCCTCGATCCCCCAGAGATTTCCCACAGCTTCCAAGGCTCATCCTGGGCTGGGGACATGGTGCCTCCCTGACCAGTTCCCATGATACCATCATTGAGCCCCTACGATGTCCAGGTCTTGGCCAAACCCAGGAGACCAGACTAAGCAATGGCTGAGGAACCTTCTAGAAGGACCAGTGGGAAGCCCAGCCTCTGAATGGCACAGCTGTCATCCTGGCTCCAAGCCTTGGGCCTGTTAACACAGGCTGTGACATGGGCCCTCTGGGTTTTGGCTCCTAATATCCTCCTCAGCTTAGGGTGTGGCCCAGAGGGAGCCCCCCCCGCCCCCTGCAATTTTCTGGCCCTAGGGCTTGGCAGAGGGGTGGTCCCGAGTGAGCGGTTGATGAACATGAACCATGATGATGGCAATAAAGACAGAGTCTCACAGTCACGGGACAGGGCTGGGATGGGACAGTGGAGTCTCACGGGCGAAGGAGGCCTGGGTTTGAATGCAGCCCCTTTCACTCTGTGGGTTCCCCCAGGGGGGCACTGGATAGATGATCTGCCCCATAGTCTCAGCTGCCAACTGCCTGGCCACTTTCTGCCTCCTCTGACCCTGGGGCCACCCACGGCGCCACCTGCATTATCTCCACTGGACAGCCGAATACAGCCGTGGCCACACAGCAAATCTATAAGTGGTCTGGCCTTGGGCCCACTGAGGTCTGAACCCCTGTTCAACCTCATCTACCCAGAGCCTCAGTCTTCCCAGCTTTAAATGGGGACAATGGCAGCTCGGTCCCAGGGTTAACACAGCAATGACGCTGGGTAGACACTGGCCCCAGCGCAAAGCCCTGCCAACCCCATCGCCTCCTCCCGGCTTCCCTCCTTCCTTGGCTCTAGCCACACCCCTCCTCCCGCTGTTCTGCCCACGCACCAGGCATGGTTCCACCGCAGGGCCTTTGCGTTCACCCTTCCCCCTGCCTGGTTCACTGCCTCTCTTCCCCAGATCTGTACCTGGTCACCTCTCCATCCGCCAGCACTCAGCTTACACATCGACCTTTCACCAGAGCCGCCTGTGACCACACCTGGACGAGGCCAGGTCGATGCTCCCCGAGTACCACATCTCAGTTCTCCTGCCTCAGCTGTCTGAGGGGAGTTCTTGACCAGCCTGGTCCAGCCCACGGGTCACCCTGTCTGACTCCGAGTCTACCTCCTGGGCCACAGTCAGATGACATCGGGAAAGTATTTCATGAGATAATAGCAATGCTATTGCTCATGGTAGCTCCCTGGTCCATCTTAACTCGGCATCGGAGGCCCCAGCAGGTCGGAGGGTCTGGCGTGTGGCTGCCTGCCGCAGGAACCCCAGCGCACCTTCCCACAGTGCGCCCTGCAGGTGGCCAAGGGCAGGGCCCCAGAGAGACGAAGGACAGTATGGCAGCTGTGAAGTCAACGGGCTTGGGTTCGAATCACAGCTCTGCCCCAGCCTCTCCTTGGGTTTTCTCTTTCCACTCCCCTGTCAGCTCACCCTCGAGGGGGTCCTTAGCTAGGCCCAGCTGCCCGATGATGTACTGCGGCAGGTCCGTCTTGATGCCCTGGCCCTCTCGGGCCTGGCCCTCGGCAGCCTCCAGCAGGTGATAAAACTCCTCGGGGTCAAACTCCTGGGGGTACAGAGAGGCTGGTCAGCCGGGGCTCAGTCTCACCTGCAGGCCTTGGCACATGCTGTTCCCTCTGTCCAGAGCAGCCCGAGGGGAGGCTCCAGCTCTCCCCCCCGAGTCTCAGCGCCTGACCCTTCCCTGGGGAAAGAAGCCCAGCCCAGCCTGGAGGTGCCCTGTGTGCCTCTCAAACCTCTACCCCAGGGGCACTGTCTCCTGTACCTTGGCAGGACCGTCACCCGGCCGTGTGCGGAGACTCACCAGGCACTCAAGGAGCCTCGCTGGCCTCGAGATGATGATGAGCAGCTTCCGGACAAGCTGGACGATGAAGCCGACCTCCTCACTGTCCGAGCGCTCGTGGGCCTGGGGGCAGTGCTAGTGTCACTTGCAGGTCCTGGGCCCTGGCCTGCCCGGGGACCCCTACACCTCCCCCACTCCCACGCACATCTTGCAGCAGCCTCTCCAGCTTCTCCTGCATCTCCAGGAAGTAACGGGAGGTGACGAGCGCCTCTCCAGACTTGGCCAGGCAGTCGCGGGCCAGCTCGATGATCTGGTGGTGGATGAAGCCCAGGACGCCATCGGCCAGTGCCAGCCGGGCACCGGGCGCAAACGCAGCCAGGAACTCCTGCAGACGGCCTTCCATCTGTGCCGTAGCCTGGGCAGGGTGGACGGGGCAACCTGGTCATTGGAGGGGGCTGGGGAGCAACACACAGATGGGGGCAAGAGACACAGCTGCAGGGAAAGACGTGGCGATGGGGTCAGAGAACTGGGGGGAGGGGAGAAGCAATATGCCTAGGTTGGGGGGGGCGGTGGTTTGAGACAGAGAGATAGGGACAGACAGAAATGGGACAGAGGGGGATATAGAGCCAAGAAGACAGAATGCCACGGAGGGACAACAACATGGAGGGGAGTTAGGGCTGGTCCAGCCATCGGCACTGCCCACCTTGGGGAACCTCTCCCGGTACACATGATTCATCATGACGATTTCATTGTCGAAGGTCCCTGTTGTGCGTCCTGGGCTGCGGGCGGGTGGACGACACACAGTCAGCTTGTGACATGGAACCAGAGACCCAGTCCAGGGGAGGGTCAAGGATCAGAGGCCAGGCTTGGACAGGGTCAGGGACAGACATAGAGGAAGAGCCACAATGTGGGCCCCAAAGCCGGCCCAGGGAGGGGCTGGGGTCAGAGGTCAAGACCCACCTGAGGCTGCGGGAACGGGGGCGAAGGTGGGGTGAGCGGTTGCCGCCCTCCTCGTCAGCCACGCTCTCTGAGCTGCGGAAATGCTTGGACAGGAAGCATAGTTCATCCGGCGTCGGTTGGAAAGGAAGCTGGTGGAGGCGCTCCCGGGAGGATGAGCTTGACTGGCAGGAGGGGGTATCAGGGCCACGAGTTCACAGTCAGCGCCAAAGCCAGAACCCCAGCATTACCTGTCGAGGCCTAGGCTGCCTGCTGGTCACTGGATGGTAATACGCTCCTGCCTGGCTCCTATGCATCCCTCAAAACCCTAGCTCTGATGCCCCCTCCTCCAGCAAGCCTCCCTGCCTGCACCCTAGGCAACCCCAAGACTCCCTCTGGCCAGGCACTAACCCCGTGGGACAAGGATGTCTGTGTCCTCCAGACTGGGGGCTCCTTGGGACTGAAGCTGGGTCTTTTCAGGGACCCATACATTGCCCAGAATGGGGCACAAAGGGGGCAGCCAGGATGTTGGCTGACTGGACAACTATCCAACACCTTGATAAAAACCAAAGACGTGTCCCGCCCCACCTCGCACCCGCCTGTCTGCTGGCCAAGGTGGGACTGTGGGTACCGAGACGGTGGAGCTGGGCGTGTTGGTTCCATAGCCAGAAGATGGGAGGGATGCAAGGGACCATCTTCTGCCGTCAGCCCTAGAGAGGAGAACCAGAATAGTTGGAAGGAAGGCACGGCCCCCAGGGTTTGTGGGGACTAAAGACAGATACCATGGCTGGCAGATTCTGGCCCCGTTGGAGGAAGAATCTTCTGAAAAGGCTGAGAACAGAGATTCAAGGTGAACAAGTCTGCTATGTGTTTTCTCCTCATCCTTCAGACATCTCCTCTGGGAAGTCCTCCCTGACCCAGCTGCCAATGCATACCCCATCAAACTCCGACTTCTCTGAGTTGCAGCTGCTGGGATACATGCTGATCACCCCCACCAGATTGAGGACTCCCCAAAGGCCAGAGTCCAGCTTCCCCTTCCTCGGCCCCCAGCATAGGGTATGGCCCATGGTAAGTACTGAATAAATGTTACGGAGTGAATGAGTGACATTTAAGCGTCCCGATACACAACAGGTCCTTCACCAGCTGTTATTAAGTGAATTCATGACTTTTAGTGAGTTAATAGTTTTTAGACTGAAAGGCGTGCCCTCCTCCTCCCCAAGGGCTCCCTGAAATTACCTGTCCACGCGCGGGATGTGGCTGCAGAAGGCCGTGCATGTTTGCCAGGGGCAGAAGCCAGAGGGAGAGACCACCACGGGGCAGGGGATAGGGAAGGTGAAAAAGTGAATGAGGAGGCAGGCCCAGCCACCAAGCACATGCCCCTGCCTGTCCCCTCACCAGCTGTGCTAACACCATCCCTCAAAGCCAGTGACCACTCACCTTCGGGCAAAGGGGAAGTTCACAGCAGACGCGGCTGAGAAGTTCCGAGGACTATCCAGGGGGCTGTTGCCTGCTGGGGAGGAGGCGGGGGACACTGAGTCAGAGGGGGTAAAGACAGGACGCCGCCCCTGCATGCTTGTTCCCGCACTCACCTGTGGGGACGGAGAGCGGAGACAGGGGCCGGGAAAGGGTCGGTGAGGGCGTTCCTACCACGAGGCTTTTGCGGTTCCCACTGCGGCAGCTGTCGGGAGAGGCGGGGACGGAGTCAGGCGCTGGCCCAGACCTCCGGGCTCAGAGGACCACGTGCCCAGGCCAGAGCACACATATGGCCACACATACGGCTTTGGGGCAGGACGAGAAGCTAGGTGTGACCACTGCCACTCTGGCCCCAGCTGGATGCCCACCCGGCCCCAAGCTCAGCCTTTGAGGCCTGGGATAGCCATTTTTGACAAATATTACCTATTATTAAGATTACGGTGGTTATTATTGGTGATGGCACCAGGCACTTCCGGCCTCCTGATGGACCCTGCCCATGTCCAGGAGCTCCTGGCTCACCTTCTCACGCTTCTGTGTTCACGATCCCACCCCCACACCTTTGCCTATACCGTGCCCACTGCCAGGAGCACTGACAAATAAGGCCAAGGGTGGAGAAGACCCTGGAGCCCACTGGGAATTGAGGCAGGTCCCCACTCCATCCCATGCAACCTTTCCCAGGCCCATGGCCCCAAATGTCTTGGCAACCCTCCTCCGCCGGATCCCCCCAAAATGCCAACATGACCCTTAAAAACCCTCAAGTCAGCATCTTGCAGCTAGGTCCCATCCGACTTAACTTTTGCCCAGGCATTTCCCTCCCTCCATCCCAGTTCCCTTCTTCCAGACCGCCCCCCCAACCCAGGCCACCCCCACCCTGGCCCAGCCTCTCCCACCTGTGCCCCAGCCCCAACCCCCCACCCTGGCAGAGGGAAATTGAGAGCAACCCCGTCTTCCCTCCCTCCCTGGTGCGGTCGCCCAGCAACAGCTCTGCCTGCTCTCGACAAGAGCATCAGCCCACATACTCTGAGCCGCCAACGCAGCTCAGTGGCTCAGGGAGGAAGAGATGAAATCTCAGGGCCTCACGGCCAGGAATGGTGTCCCAGGCAGAAGGCACAGTGCAGGCTAAGGCACGGGACAGCATGGTCAGCAACCGACCGAGGCAACAAGACATCCAGCCTGTCCACGGCTCCAGGTGCAGCTGCCCTTCTGAGCCTCAGTTTCCCCATCTGTATACCTTGCAAGGTGCTGGGAAGATTTGATGAACTACATACACAGTGTTCAGCTTTGGGCCCAGCACTGGGTAGACTGCAGTGGGCATGTACAGTGTCGTCTCTCTCCCCACAACTCCTGCAGGGCCTAGGACGCACAGCGGGAGGGCAGGCAATGCCTCCCCAGTGAAGTCAGTCACCGTTTGCCCATCCCAACAGCCCCGGAGGTGGGAGAGACCACCTGCACCCATTTCCCAGCCTAGGAAACTGAGGCCACAGATGTCAACAGCCGCAGGGAACTGTCCTGTTCGTCTGATGTGCAGAAGCAAAAGTGAAACCCACAGGTTCCTGCAAAACTTCCTGCCAACAACCCCCCGCCCCCCATATAGCCGCCAGTCCCACATCCTCTCCCAGCTCTCATCTGGGTCCTCAGCCCCACGCTGCACCATTTGTCACAGCAGCAGCCTTGGGGAAATACTTGGCCCACCTCCCTCTTGTGCTCAGGTGGGGCCTTCTTGAAAACACAGCCATATCTGAGGTCTCAGAGGGGAACCTGGGCGTCATTTGTTCACTTGCGAGCATCGGTCAAGTGTCCACTATTTGCTCAGCCCTCCCTGGAGAAGGCCCACGACCCTGAGAAGCTGCCTGGCCATTCAATAAACACCCATGTGGGACAACACAGAGTGAGAATATGGCAGGAAACACTGGCCTGAGGCCAGCTGCCCCCACCTGATCCCTGAGGTGCCCCTAAGACCTCTGTAACTCCACAGGACCCGGGAGAAGAGTCTAAGCCCTGAACCTAGTATTTGGGGTCCTTTAGCAGCTGCTGTCCCTGCCCCGCCTTTGCCTGTGCTCCCCTCTACGAATGCCCCAAAGAGAACAGAGAGGTTAAGGAACTGCCTGAGGTCACACAGCCAGGCAGTGGCTGAGCTGGAATTTGGACCCAAGTCCTGTAAAGTCCACAGCCCTTACTTGGCCTTTGCTTTTCAGAAAGGGAAACAGAGACTCCAAGACAGGCCAGGCTTTGCTGTGGTTAAACCCAGTATTTTTCCCGATTTACCCACTCCTGCCACGCCACCTGCACGCCAGCCTCGTGCAGCAAATATCTGCTTCTGAAACAATATTTCCGCTGACGGGGCCCCGGGGACAGACTAGCTTCAGTTTTTCCAAGAAGATCCTCCCCAGGTCTGCCCAGGCCTAGAGACCCGGGTTCGAATTCTGACTCGGTCCCAACTCCTTGCTTCCTGTGTCACCACCCTAGCTGCGACCCTGGCAGGCAGACATCCAACTCCGGGTAACAGGGCGAAAGGAGGGTGTCTGGGCCCCTAGCGAATACCTTGATCCCAAAGCGTCCACCCTCTTCCCCCAACCGCCACACACAGCGGCCCTCGCCACGCCGCCGGGGTATACTTCTGGCAACTCGTGTTTGCTTGGCCGGCCGCCGCGCCTTTGCCCGCACGGTGCCCCCTACCTCTTGGAGCGCTGCAGCAGCGCGCCCTTGGCAAGGCGGCTCCGGTGGCCCGGCGCAGCCACCGCCGTCCAGTAGCTGGGGTCGGACATGCTGCTTCTCTTTGTGCCGCCGCCGCCGCCCGAGACCCAGGAGGCGCGGGGGCGCAGCCGGCGGCGGCGGGGCGCGAACCTCCGCGGCCGGATTGGCCCCGGGAGCCCCGCGGAGCGGGGCAGAGGGTGCGCGCCGCGGGGCTGGGGGTAGGGGGCGAGGAGGAAGCGCGCGCCCCAGAGCGCGGCCGGGAACCCCGCCCAGGCGAGCGCGGGGGCGGGGCCTTTCGGGGGCGGGGCCCTTCGGGGCGGGGCGAGCGACGCGGAAGCGAGGCTGGCGGACCCGCGTGCTGCCTAGTGGGCTGGGCGTTGCCAGGGCCGCGGGCGGAGGGGCGGGGCGTTGCCAGGGCTGCTAGCAGCGGGGGCGGGGCGTTGGCGCCTCGTAGGTTAGGCCGTGGAACTTGGCCCCTTTCCCTGGAAATGTAAATCTGTTCACGTCCCCTTTTCCCTCTGTCCCCCCCGCGCTAACCCATTCTGAGTGGGGCACTTGAGAACTATCCAACGGCCTGGCCTGGCTCATGCTACCGCGCCCACGCTGGCTCCACTCCTCGGAACGTCCTTCCTGCCTGGCAAAATCCAGGGTCCCCTCTCCCAGGGAGCCTTTTCTTGTGTCTGGCTCTGTCTTCCCAAGGGTCCCAGCATCTCCCAGCACTAGACTGCCAGAAAGAGCATGTTTAGCAAACTGAGTCAGAGCATCTGACATGCTCTGCCTGTCTGTGTGATGGAAAGGCCATCAGCCTGGCTACAGTCAGGACTCTGCGGACACCTAATTTAACTTCTCACGCCTGTCTTCTCAATTGTAAGATGGGAGGGGAACCGGGTTGCAAGGTGGCACCCACAGTGCCTGATACATGTTTGATAAATGTTAGTGTCAGGCTAACTTCCAGGCCTCTGCTTCTCCATCTAGAGATGTCCCTTCATGAAAATGGAATCAAATCAGAGGCACCAAAAGTGCTGGGCGTACAGTACCTGCTCACCATAGAAATAGGACTGCCTCACACAGTAGGCAGTGAATTAATGCTTCTTCCTCTCATGACAGTCCCAGAAGGCAGGGATAGTGTCACCCTAATGGTGGCCCCTTCCCAGGCCACATGACACTTCGGGAACCAACCCAAGAGGCCTGACGCTGAAGCCCAGATCCCACATCTGAGTAGAGAAGGCATAGAGAGGTGCTCCTGCCTGGTGTGTAACCCTAACTCTCCCCAACCCTCTTGCCACAAGTTTGCTTCTCGGATCTCTCAAGAGACTCCCCACCCTATCTTCATGGCCAGTGTCACTCTCAGGTATCTCCTGGGTGTGTCCCCCAGAATGCTCTCCATCTCCAGGTCCCCCAGGCCTGGGTCTCAAACACCCATATCTGGTCATTCACTCACTCAACATGAGTACCTACTGTGTGCCTGACCTTGTGCTAAACCCTGAGGACCCTGTCCTCAGAGGCCCCAAGTCTGGTTGAAGAGGCAGAGAGGAAACTGGACACAATGAAATGATCGAGGTAATTTCGAACCCTGAAGTCAAGGAAGGAAAGGAAAGAGGCAACAATGGCAAAGGATGACCTTAGCCCGGAGGCCTCTCTGAGGAAGTGACGCTATAGCCAGCCGAGACATTGAGAAGGAAGAGGAGCCAGCCATGGAAACAGTGTTCCAGGCAGAGGGCACAGCTTGGGCAAAGGCCCTGAGACAGGACTGAGGGGAAGATGCCAGCAGGGCTTACCATGTAAGCCTTGTGCATTGCAAGAGGAATGCAATTGTACAGTGGAAGCAATGGGGAGCCATGGAGGATGTGTGAGCAGGGGAGGAGTGTGATCTGAACTGTTTGTCAGCTCCCCCACCTCCATGTCTGCCATGGGGAACAGGAGCTATCAGGGGCAGGAATACAGATGGCAGGAAGCTAGTGAGACGTTGTGACAGGGTCTGGGGGGGGGGGGGGACACTGAGGCCTGGACCAGGGTGAAGCTGTGGAGAGAAGTGGGTAGATTCTGGACTTGTTTTGAGGCCAATGGATGGGCCCTGCCGAGGGGCCAGATGTGGAAGGGAGGAGGGAAGCGGTCACTTCTGACCCTTAGGTATTCCATCTGAGCCACAGGCCAGGGACAGGGCCTCCTGCGTGCAGGGAATGCAAGATCCCACAGGTCTGGGGACCCAGGGAGGGACAGAGTCATGGTCTCGTGTCACCCTATGCTGACATGCTGTGCCCACGAACCCTCCCCACCACGTGTGCCAGGGACACACTGCTGCGCAGTCAGGAAAGGAACTACCCTGCTCAATCCCAGCTGTGGCCGCACCCTGCACTGCCTACATGCCCCGCATTACGCCCACTGCTCTGGCATCCCCAGCAGCCACTTCTCCCACGCCCATCTGGCCTCGGTTTCCTCCTCTGCAGAACAGGGCTGCAGCTGACAATCCAGAGTGCCTGTGGCCACGGCAAAGGCCTCCCATGAAAGGCTGAGCCACTGATCTCTGGCACCAGCCCACTGCCCACCACATCCTGTCTCTCCCCGGCTCACACACCCTCCATGGCTCCTCACTGCTTTTACAGCAAAACCACACTTCTGGGTGAATCCCTCTCCGAGGGCTCAGATCCTAACCCTGTCTGCGACTCAGGATCTGCCCCCCTCTGCTGGTGCTGATGACTGTGTAAATGGCAAAGCCACAGTGAGCATACAGAACCCGACCCCCAACCCTTTCTTGGTCTGACCAGCCCCGCCCTTCCCACCTGCCCATGTACTGTCCGCACCCCTCCCAGCCCCAACCGCTATATGGTTTTTAGTACCCTGGAGAGAAAAATGCAAATTATTCCTCTCTTTGGCATTCAAGGCCTTAGAGGGAACAGGCTTCTGACAATGCCTTTTGTTGTGACCTTGTCAGAGAGGGCCAAACTCGTGGCCTTCCTCAGTTACCTCCCACCCACCACCCCCACCCCCACCACCGGCAGAGCCCTCCTACCTACTTCCCATGTGTCCATGCCACAAGCATTAACTGAGCATCTGCTGTATACCAAGCCCTGCCCTAGGATAGAGGACAGATCCAGGTCTGGTCCTCAAGAGGCTCCCAAGCCTCTGGGTGAGAAAAACAACCCAATAATCACATAAGAAAACATGGAAATCACTTCCATGATGCAGTGTCCATGAGGGAAATGGACAGGCGTAATGGATGTAATTGGGGCTTGGGAGACCCTGAATGGGGGGCTGTGGTTTGGAAAAGTTTCCTATCTGGGGGCTTGATAGAGACTTGACAAATGAAGAAAGGAGGAAAAGGAGGCAATGGAGCTCTGGGCTGAGGGGCAGCACGTGCAAAGGCCCTGAGATTGGACCAGCTTGTGTTCTGGCAGCCCAGGAAGTCTCATGGCTAGAGGAGCGTGAGCCAGATGGGGAGATAGACAGGGAGGAGGTAGGGGGGTCACAGGGGCCAGACTCACGGGGCCTCAGAGGCTGAGGGAACAAATGTGGGCTTATTCCTAGGGTGCTTGGGGCAGGGGAGGCAGGGACCCATTTCCTTGGCTGGCCCAAAGTGATGTGGTTCTGCTGCCCTCTGGTGGTGGGTGAGGAGGCTTTTCTGCTCAGAGCACCAAACACTCTGCCTCCATTTGCTCCTGGTTAAAACTAGCTCAGCTGTTCACAACAGGTCCCTCCCCTCATCCGGTAACTCTCAGGAGGGTAGAGGCCAAGGAGGTGGTAGGGGCCAAGGAGTCAGTGTCAGATTTGGCCTGATACTCTCTCCCAGGGTGCCCCTGGACAACATACTCTTAAGTCCTGAGTTTCCTCCTCTCCTAAAAAGGGGGTAGAGCAGCCCCTTCCTCCCACTGGACACCCCGACCTGGTCCAGCCCCCACCATCTCCTACCCAGATATTGTCCTAGCCACCTCCCTGACTCTGCCACCTCCATTACTGTCACCTGCCCCCAGCAGACCTTTCTTTCCCCAAAGCAGCCACAGAGGCTTTAAAAATCTTGGTCCTGGGGCACCTGGGTGGCTCAGTTGGTTAATGCCTGCCTTTGGCTCGGGTCGTGGTCCCGGGGTCCTGGGGTCGAGCCCCCCAACGGGCTCCCTGCTCGGCGGGGAGTCTGCTTCTCCCTCTCCTCCCCACTCAGGCTCTCTGTCACTATTTCTGTCTCTCTCTCTCAAATAAATAAAATCTTTAAAAAAAAAAAAATCTTGGGGGCGGCTGGGTGGCTTAGTCATTAAGCGTCTGCCTTCAGCTCAGGTCATGATCCCAGAGTCTTGGGATCGAGCCCCGCATCAGGGTCCCTGCTCAGCGGAGAGTCTGCTTCTCCCTCTCCAGCTCCCCCTGCTTGTGCTCTGTCAAATAAATAAATAAAATCTTAAAATAAAATAAAATAAAATAAAACACCACCTCCCCCAAGAGGTCACCATCTGAATGTATCCTATTTGTCCACTCACTTCTTTATTGCCCACCTCCTGAGAGCTGACTGAGAGCCCCTTGAAGGAGGGGCTATGTCCGTCTTGTTCACAGCTATGCCCTTAGCACCTGGCTTGCAGTAGGTGCCCACTTAATGAAGGTAACTATCTGTTACCCAGCACCCAGTGTGGGCGCCAAATTGTTCTCTCTTCTCCCCATTAAAGGTCTGTGGAAAGAATCTAAGCAGCTCATTCATACTAAGGTATAAATGATTAATGGGCCCTGGAATTCTAGACATCACTGACTCACACCTCCGTCGCCTCCCTGAACTTTTCCCAAGCCGTGCAAAGAGCCCGTGATAATCCTGATAGTCCCTCCTGTATGGGGGGTGAGACCCTGTGATGGGCCAGGCACGGAGGGCGGCTCAAACCCTCAGTAGACGCTGGTAGCCATGCTGGCCCTGATACTTAGTCCCCAGATGTACTGAACCAGGAGAACTGGTGTCTCCTCTCTGAGCCTCGGTTTCCCCAGCTGAGAAATGGGGTCAGGAAGGGCACCTCCCTCCCGGGGTTGTGGAGGAAACAGAAGGTATCTGGTACAGACCTGGCACCCAGTCAGGCTGGCTCTTCCTCCCTACGGCACTTTGCCCGGTTCAGTGCATCGGGCTGTCATGGTGAACTGTCAGCCCTGGTGTGTGTGTGTGTGTGTGTGTGTGTACATTCAGAGGGAGAAGCTTTCCAACCAGCTGAGCTGGGTGTGGGAAAGGCCCCTGAGGTCCTAGCTGATTCAGTAGGGAGGGCCCAGAGCAGCCTGGGAACCCAGCACCTGTCTCAGGGATGTCCTTGGGCAACATCCCAAGTTCTGGCCTCACCTTGGCCACCTGTCGGATGGAGGACCTGTTGGCTAGGGCTGAAAATGGAATTTCCCTTTCAAGGTCCTAGTGTGCACAGCAGTTTCATTTTATGGAGGGGTAAACTGAGGCCCAGGGAGGTGATGTCACCAACACACAGTACCTTGGTGAGGAGGCTGGGTCTAGGCGGCTTCCAAGGCTCTGGGGTGCCAGGGCAATGTCCAAGCCCCGCCCCCATGTGCTGTCACTTACCTCCAGGGGTGCAGGCCCAACGAGGGGCTGCAGGGGCTGCAGGGGCTGCTGGGGCTCAGCAAAGATGGGCTCTGGCTGCTCGGAGACAGACTGCAAAGAAAGAGGCCAGGGACGGTGAACCTGGTGGTGGCCCCTGCGTGTGGCCAAATCCGGAGAGGGACCAGGACTTAAGTTCCCTCAGGGAGAAGGGGCCCCAAGGCCAGGAATTCTGGGTCTCTCACAGGCCGAGAGGGCGGGGCCTGACCGATGACCCCGGAGGGCACCCTGGAGGGCTCCCCGGAGGCGGCGGTGCGACTCTGGGCGACTTAAACAGAGACGCGGGGGAAGGGTGGTTGTCCGTCTGCTTCTCTCCCCCCACCCTATTTCCCCCCTTCTCCGACAAGGACTCACTCGAGGGTCAGCGCCGGGATGTGCAGCTTGTCCCTGCGAGACTTCATGCCGAGGCCGGGGCTGCGTCTATGCGGCCGGGTGCCAAAACCCCCCTTGTGGCCCCCGAACCCCGATCGTGGTGCGATCGGACAGACCCACAGACGCGGACGTGGGGACAGCACGCCTGGCGGGCGCGACCGACGCGGCGCTGAGGCTGGGCCGCTGGGGGCGCGGGGGGCGGGCTCTCTCCTCCTCGGGGCGGGGCTCGGAGCCCCGCATCTGCGCGCAGGCCCAGCCCAGCAGGAAAAGTCGGGTTGCGCGAGGCTGGAGTCGCGGGTGCCACCCCCTCCCGGAGAGCGACGCCAAGGCTGCCGGGTCTCGAGCCCCCGGGCTGCGCGGCCGGAGAGGAAGGGCGGTCACTGTCTCCCAGATTGGCAATATTGCTCCATCGTCTGGCCCCGCCCCTTCCCGGCTGTGGCCGGGTCTCTGCCCTCGCCCCGCCCCCGGGGAGGGGTCTCTCGCACCCGGGATCTGAGCGCGTCCTGCCCCTGTTCTCCCACCCCTAGCAGCTCAGCGCGGCGTTCGGGGCCCCTCGCGGCGGTCTCAGCATCCCGGCGCACACCAGAGGCCGGGTCCACGCCTCCAGGTCTTTGCTTCACCGGGTTCCCTCTGTCAGGAGCGTCGTCCGCCTCACCCACATCCGAGTTCAGTCCCACGGGCCCCTTTTTCGCGGAGCCATCCCTAAACAACGACCCATGGCTCCCCGAGTCCCACCCTCGCTTTTGCCCAGCGCAGGTCCCAAGAGTCCGGGGTTGTTTGTGTCTGGCTATGGCCCCCTTGACACCCCACTTGGACCCAGTCAGGAACACGGCAGGTAGCAGAGAGTAGACAACCCTCAGGGAGTCTCTGTCCTCGTCCTGCCCCGTAGCCCAGGACTTTGCCCTCCATGGTTCTGACTTTTTCATGTCCACCACCCCGCCCCCAGCCTGGGCAAAGGCCAGGGACAGTGCCCGCCTTCTGGTCAATGTCGGAGCCCTGCCCCTACTGGGCCCCTCAGGCTCCTCCCCACCAGCTGCACTATCCCCAGTCCAACGAGAACAGATGGTCTGGGCTTGGGGGCCAGTCTGACCCCATCCCCACCATCAGATTTCAAACTCTCATCCAACCCCCAGGACCTCCCCCTTCTCCTCTCCCTCTACCTCCCCTGTGCTCTCTTCATTCCCCTGTGCTACCCCTGTCTCCATGGTGTTCTTCCAATGCCAAGCTGGTTTGCACCCCAGGACCTTTGCCCATGCTCTTCCCTCTAGCTGGAAGGCCGTTCCCCTCGGATTTTCCCCCTTGCCTCTGCCTCCTTTTCCAGATCTAGGCTCAAATGTCACCTCCTCCAAGAGGCCCCACATCTTCAGGGCTAAAGCTGCCCCCTAGCCCCTCTGTCTGTCTCTGTTTAATTTCTCCCCTGCATAATATCACTTCACCATCACTCTTCCCAAGAGAGTGTGAGCTCATGGACAGGGTCCAGCATTGGACCCCGTCTCTGGGTCCCCCGTGCCTGGAACAGGGCCCGGCACACGGTAGGCACTCAAAAAAAGTTTGTTAAGTGGGTGATTTCACTGCGGGGCAAAAGAATTCCCACCCCTCAGGCCAACACAGCCCCCAAAGAGGGGGTGTCTGCACTCACACACCTCTAGACCACCAGCACAAGGCAAACCCCTCCCTGTCCTGGGCTTTGATTTCCCATCGGTAAACCAGCAAAGGCACTGACCAAAATATTCCGTGAGCTTTTGGGATCCAAAAATGCCAACCTACAGACAAACGCTAATGAGACCCTGAAGGATACACTT